AAAACCGGCCAAACTTACATACAATAATACATCACTTTCACTCTTCAAAATCAACTAAAGGCACTTTAATTTAGTTTTAATTGAAAACGTCCGTGAAATTCGAGATGAGTAACAATTCGTGATAGTGTTAACCTTCTAACTATCCGAAAGGTGTCCTAGGACAGTTCAAAGTGGAAGAAAAAATTCAAGGACACCGAAAAGTATACGATACTTAATTTACGTAAAATTTCTTAAATGTGGCCATTATTTGCGTATGACGAGTCTTGAAGTTCGGAAACCTATTATTAAGGAAAGGACAAAATTGCACCAGCTGGTGCAACGCAAAAAATTTTTGCTGTGTCATAACCTCATAACATTCATTTTCTGACAATGGAACAGAGTTAGTTAATTTGTTGTTCCTATTAAATCATGGGTTTATTTTGACGATGAGACACCTAGATTTGAAATAATACTGTCTCACGTGTGTACCTACACTTTCCGCCCACTTTTGTGCTAAATAATTCGCACACTTGTTAAGGTCCTATTCATACGTTTTATATTTTTCTATGCAACAGTTTTTTGATTTTTATTAACCACACGTAACATTATTTTACTTTATGTTCTATTTTTAGCGTCACTCTTGTCAACTTTTCATTATTTCCTTTATGCGCATGTCAAGATTCAAACTTTTATGTTGTAGTCTCTTACACCTGTTTGCATTTGTCTGACATTCTTCCAACATCATAACCATGACACTATTTGTAGTAGTTCAAGCACTCTGTTCCTCCCACTCCTGTGTCGTTGCACCATTTGTCATATCTTTCTTTCAAATTCTTTTTCCACAGAACCTTTCACCTTAGCATGCTGACCTTCTATTTTCTTTCCTTCTGTGCACATTCTATCACTACTGCTCGTGCATTGTTTATTATTGCTTGTATTTTTTCTATTCTGTGTCAAGCTAGATGTCAAATTTATGTAACCCTATTTAAAAAGTGATGTTTTCATGTAAAGTCATAGCCAACTTAATGAATAAACATTTGTTATTATTACACTGCATTAGTTTCATACGTTAAAGTAAAGTTTTTAAATTTTCTGTCTAAATTATTCATATAGTCACCTTAGGTATTACAAATTTAATGACTATGCACAATTGATACGAAATGTTATTGCACACGTGCGCTACGCGCAATACACACTATATACTTAGTATATCTAGAAGGTAAGACCGCCAGATAAAGTTGTCGGGATGATTGATAGTTATCGGACACTTGTCTCAATGTTCTTATCGTTACTATCCTGTCAATACTTGCTAGATATTGTGTTAATTTTGTATGTGTGTACGTGTATTTTTTCTCTCTCTTTTTGTTATTCTTTATAATTTTCGTGGTTCTTTGTGTCGGACAGACGTGCGCATAATGCTTAAAATATGTCATTCGTTTTTTAATTTGTTGAAATGATAATCCATAGGTTTGAATCTTCACACTTCGTGCTTAGCATCTACTTATTTTTTGCATGTGCGACTTAAATATTCTCTCATTAGGCAAATATTTTTCTAAATTATCACCTAAAAATAAATTTGCACGATGGTCCAAACGTGCCTTTTGTATTTTAATGAATGGAATCCTTCAGCATTTCCGTTCTTCTAATTTTTAAACGTGACGCACATACTGCTTCGTAACAATTCCCAGAACTAAGAACCATTAAACCGAAAAAAAGAAAAGGTAGACTCCTTATTTCCATAATTTTGCATATATAAAACATTTTGATATTTTGACGCTTTGATGCGTGTAGCGTGATAACTAAGTACATTTACATTATTTTAACAGCTGTTTGTCTAAATTTTTCGTCGCTTCATTTTTACGACGGTCGTTTTCAGGTGAATTTGGTGTGACACATTTGGAACAACCGTATTATGAGTAATCTCTGGTATGGTCCGCTGATTAAAAGCGTTTTCATAAATGCGAAGGCCAGAGTTCAAGCTAGGGCTCTACGCAGTGTAATGAAGCGAGTTAGTTTTTTGCTTAAAATAGGTTGGTCGATTTCTTCGACGAGTTACCTATATTTCGACCAAGCAAGGTCAAATGTAACTTCTGGTTTCGCCGGAAATGGCATTTTTTTGTTTCATAAATGGAACACCTGGATTAAATTAAATATTAAGGAGCATACTAATTTAAGAAACCTTCAAAGACCTCTAAAAATTTTCCCTTGTGAAAAAATTTTGCGAAGGACGTTCGCAAATCCTATTCAGAATTATAGACCAAAATAGTGTATGTCCATGGTGGTGTGAACCACTAACACTCAAAAAAATGTTTGCTTGTATGAAGGTACTGGTACGTGTATTGTAATGTAGTTGGTACCCTTGTGTATCAATTTTTGTAAAAATTTCATGTTGTTGTTGCTTGACTGACAATTTACACCACAATGGGTATGTATTATTTAAACCTACGATGTCTACTTACCGATGATTTTTCAGTTAGCATTTGCATTAACATTGTAATTGTGTTGTTATGGAAAGTGAAAATGTTGCTGACCGACTTTGATGATGTAAAGTTGTTGAAGACGACGGTGGGTGCATCTACTGAAAAATATGCCACCATGACAGTTTTTACTAAATTGTAGAAACTTGTAATTGAGTCTGTAATATTTACACTGCAGGAGATTTCAATGGGAGAGATTTTATTTGCACTTTTACTCTTATTACATATTCTAGTCTGTGTCATGGTACATGTTCATGCTCTATCTACTTTGATGCATCTGGTTATGTGCACAAAGACGCTGAACAATGAAAACTTATATATTATCATTATTATTATTATTATTATTGGTGATGGATTAAATTTGAAAACTGGTAAAGCTCTTATTACCCACATCACATAACAAGTAAAGGCTGTTATTATATTCCTAGATGTAACCAACGCAAACTCATCTGCAATAATAACAATCAGACAATAGAGAGGTGTGTGCAAGAGCGAGAGAGATATATCTACACCAAATTTCGTGGTATTCGGAGAACTACCGATATTATTGGTTAATAATCATGACAAAAATTGTAAAATTGTTTCACTACCATTTTAAGGTATTTAATGACAATGACCCTAGCTTTTTATGGACATTAATGGTGTTTAAGGTGTTTTTTTTTTCCACTTTATGAGTTCTTTTCTCGGTTGATAACCAAAGAAAATTGTCTAATGCTAATGTCATTGTCATTGCACAGTTTTACCAACTTGTTAGCACGTACAACTTTTGATAGAACTAAATGTGTTGTTGGTTACATTGTCAATCTGGAGCATACATTATTTCAGGCTATCACTAGCGGTGGTCTGCGTCGTTCTTTTTGTTTCGTAACTATTATAGTCGATCACTTAGGTTTGAATATCTAATGAACTCTATCCATAATTCAACAAATTCTCAGGTCAAGATGTTCGACGGAGGTAACCAATAAATTTTAAATCGGCTCCGAGTCCGATTTAAATCGATTGCTGAAAGGTTACATTAAAATGATAAATAAATTTGGCGTAGATGCAGCCCGGAACTTGCATCTCATTTAAATATGAAATTTGGTATTAGCATTTGAAAATAGTATTGTTTTATTTTCCACCGATTAGACCAAACACCCTAGAGAGGCCCTTGACTACGCCACTGGCAAGGACGTCGTTTTCGACCAACTGAAGAGGTAATTTATGCTTCTTAATTGCTTTTGATCGTATATTTTTATGATAGATTTTCTAGTCTGGGTAGCAAGTCATTGTTGCGAGGTACATATAATCACCATTGTTAATTTGTGTTAAGAATGAGTGAAGGCGCAAACATGACGGTTTTAATTTGGTTTAATCTGAACCCGACTAAGAAATAAGAACAATACGGAGATAACCTACATCCTCCTCGGTCAGATGCCCGCACACAGAACCGGCTTTAGCCCACACGAGACCGCCAGTTTTTAATAATCATTTACCACTTAAGCACAAGCTGGTGACTTAAGTCATGTGTCCTACTTTTTATTATTCAGATTTAATTTGTTTTCTCGGCTTTACGTGACATTGACGTTTTCTCACATGTTTGATTTATGAGCTTATTTCTCACGAGCGAGTGAGAAATGGGTGCAATTCCGTCGTCAAAGTGACTAGTATTGTGAAATTCTGATACGCCGTCTTGGTTACCTTTGACATTAAATTTCATCCGCACATGTTTGCATGTTAAGGAGACGATTAATCTTAACCCTAAAACCAGTTTATGCCATAATACTGACATTCATGCTAACTGAAGTTTGAAAATCGCAGTCAATTCTGATTTACGGAAGTAATTTGTGGCTGGTACCTAAATCGATTGAAATCGAATAATGTGTTTTAAGTCAGTACGCAGAAGGCCGTACATGTTTTACCGTTATTCAGTTTGAGACATATCTTAATTCGTTGAGTCACACTTGCGCACTGCGCTGTAAAAGTTGTGTCTTCGTTTAGTACCTGTAACCGAATTGCGGTAAACCACACTTATTACTAATGCACACGCGTTTGTTTGCGTATAATTAACATTTTTTTAATTGTTATGAGAGGTTATGCACTCCTTGACCATTTTCGCCGATGCTACAAAAGGCTGTGTTAACCGTTAAGTTGTGAAAACGGTTTGTAGTATACAAAAAGTACTGATGCAGCTTTAGGGCGACTTAAGTTTTTGCTCAAATGGTGTACATATATGGTCCTGTCAATAACCTTTTGAACATTATCGATCCCTGTAGTTTTACAAGCCGACTGGTGTAATCGTTTCCGTGTATACGGTAACATGACTCAACTGGTCGCATCACTTCAATATTTTCCTGTATGGGCAGGTAAAAACTGCTCGTTGCTCTGAATAAAACCACAGGCGCAGCGGCGGGATTGTAGCGGTCGTTTCGTGGGTACCATTTACGTGGTCGAGCTGGTACCAGGTGCTGGAAAATTTTGCCTGCATGTGAGAAAACCGTCTGTGGAGGTGCTGGTCCGTCCCTGTGCAAATATTCGGTTATGCTAATCAGTCCCGCGCCGCCTCTATGCCGGTCCGCGCAGTGTTTGGCAAGCCCTGGTTGCGGAGAGTGCTGTAAAGTGTGGAGAAAGTGTGCTGCTTCACTACGCCTCTGTTCTAGTCTAGTGACGTTTCGCTTTCGTCGTCACCATCAGCGCACTTGTGGACTTTTAGTTGTCATCCGACGTGCGCAACTTATCCCTCGTCATGATTTTCACGTATGAACAGGTGAGACGACAGTCTTACCACCTTTCTCTCTCTCCGGTCGAAAACGAAACCACATTCCCCTTTCTCCGATTAAGAAAACTTGATTCGGTGTGTTTCGTTTTTCCACTTTCGCGGGCTTTGCGGACTTCACATAGGCGGCACGCAAAAGAGTCATCTCCGGTGCAGAATGCCGAAAAAATAGATTCGCCTCGGATCAATATACCTATATGTAAAATTTAGACACGTTTTTTTTTTCATAAATAGTAGTCTTTGAGGGTAATTTAGTAAGGGTGAATCGTCGGTGTTCAACTTGATCTAATAATAAAGATTTGAAAGACTGTCGCTGGGTGGTATTATGCATGGAAACATGTTTTGAACTATGTTAAAGCAATTAAGTCCGCACCAAAACAACAGATAATAGTATTGATTATACCGAAACACGTGTCAAATTGTTGTGGTACATGAACTTAATTATTTTGACATAATTTTCTTTCGGTAGAAAAATTTTACAAACGAACCGTAAAATTTTGACGCCAATCAAAAAACTAATTAGGTGTAGGTATAGAGATGTCAAGGTGAACAAGTTGCGAAGTTAAAGGAAAAGACAAAACTTTTGGTTATTAGCTGCTGTGACCCAGTAAAAGCTCGTTTTCGTTCATCTAAATAAATTGTGACCAAATTTAACCTCCGCCTCTGTGGATAATACGAACTCATCCCGTCTTGTCAGGTTTTATCATTTTATTTACTCCCGCTGTAAAGGAATGCGGCGCATGTATTTTAGTATTCTCTGCAACCACATCACCTCTGATATATTTAGTATTCTAACTATCGACGTTGCACATGTCAAATAGCCTTTTTTTTTCTAATGTACCAATCACATACCCTCGTTTAACCTATATACATAAATTTTATTCCAGTGATGCCGTTGACCTTTAATCCACTTACATCATTAAGTTTTTAGTGATTTAAACTATTATAAATTGGTAGCATATATCATTCTACATCTCGTGTCAGGGGAACTATAGACGCGGCGACTGCCTATTTTAATCGGGTCTTAATTTTACAACGACCCACTTCAATAAATGAAGTTTTATCTTCAGATAGAGGGGTGACAACAATTCGAAGCTCGTATGTACGTTCGTTCCTTTAGTTTGTCATGTAATCCTTAGTTCGGGAGATCGTTTTGCTGATTCATTCCTATTAATTTCGACTCAGGTAAATCCACTGCATAAAAATAGCAATACTAAAAAGAGATAAGTTTATTGTAATTTTTCTATGACCGAGCGGTACCAAGTCTTTGCGGCGGATGTACATTAAATTCGAACCGAAAGTGTACCGTCGTGCAAAGAAGAAATGCACCGAAAATTGGGTTATCAATAATAATATTTTCACCTTTCGCGAATTTCATTGCCGCCACAGACAAATAACATTGCAAATGTGACACAAAAAACTGTGGTTGTTTGACAATTTAAGGATTGCTTAATATAAACAAGAGGATCGGTCTATGTTGTGTGATTCTTTGTTCATAGTAAAAAAATATAATGTCTGTCATCAGTGAATAAATGACCATCAACATATGGCTTTTTATTGGGCACTAAATAGTCTGCCGGTACCGGAAGTTGGTGTATGTGAATTTCTTTTGTTGGCACAACTACTTCCCTAAAATGTATACTTTGTATTTAGTTTAGCAGAACACTACATTTTTAAGTTTATGTTGTTGTAAAAAGTCGGCGGTGTTTGATTTTTTTTCTATACTAATTAAAACGTGTGGTTGGTGTTGCAGCTAACGGTACTTTCAAAGCCGCCGATTGATAAATAATAATAATAACAAATTTAAGAATTAATTTAACCAGTTGAGGCTCCAGGCGCTTCCAGTTAAAAGCGAATTAAAAATTGGAGCAAACACGTACCCATTTTTAACCTCGAATAAATAATCCATATTCCATATGTTAAACAGAAACGTCAAATATGATATTTTAGTTTAAAAAAATCTCCTAGAAGACTAAATAATCTAGAAACGCGAAAGTTTGCGTTATTTCCAATGCTCTAATCCATGTAGTCTCGCCATAGCTAATCGAAAACTCAGGAAATGCACTTCTCAGACAGTTTCTATACGTTTCCTGCCACCTCCAACACGTCTGTTACAAGCAAACGCTCGAAGAACGGCCAGAATCTAATTTTAAACCAATTTTGTCGTCATTCGCCGCTATAGGGTAATAAAGTCACGGTGGCTTAAAACTGCAGTATAACTAATCTAATTGATATTTAGGCAATTTCCAGCGTAGCTTCGCTGTAACCACTTTGGAATTTCGAAATTCCAGCTTCTGTAGTGCGTTACAGGAAAAAGTTTTTTGAAAATCTGGGTAAGAGTAAAAAGGAATCGTTGCATTTAAATACGTGTGTCGGGTGTAAGGAAAGAATCGGAGGAACTAAATAGTGGTGACGCGAATTAACGACTCTTAAAATTAGTTCTCGAAATTCCTAAATGTCTGAAGTCTGGCCATTTCATCAAGATTCGTCGTGACCTGTTTGTTTTAAGATGACAACAAGTAATTTACTTCTAGGAATTTGGCAGTTATCAACCGATCAAGAAATTAACAAATTAATCCTTTTGTGTCGGCTTTCCGACTAATTAGCCAAAACGCGTTGGTCATATAATCATCAGATGCCCATCTAAAAAATGCTTTAATGTATACTTACTTATTACCTCGTGTTATATTGGCTGCAACGTTGCATATAAAACAGCACCAAAATGTAATAGTAACCGTAAAAAGCAAGTCATTCACTGTATGTTCTTTGAACGAATGCATATGCATGCCTTTTCGGAAAAAGATAATAGCTATTTTAGTTTACGAGCAATTTTTAACAATTCGAAATTGTTGTTTCTGTCTATTGTGGAGACTTGTTTGGTACTTTTTCGTATTAACGTTTGTGCTATTCCAGAGGCAGCGATAGACTCGGAAAAAGCCCCGAATCAAAATGTCAAACGGTACCAGTCACCTGGCAAACGGCACCATGTGGACCGAAGAGAAACAAAGCAACAACAATGGTCCTTCAAATGGTAACACCCGGTTAGGCGTCGACGATATTCCCGAAGAACAAACAGCCTTGACAAACCAGAACGAAGTGTATCCATCGCAGTGTTTTGTTAGTGAGGGTGATTTTAAAAACGATAGCGATACAGAGTGTGGGTTAGGACCGTTCGCCCCCCAGTGGCTACAGATGTTTGCGTCGAAGCAAGCGTTCCTTATAGTTTTTTGTATTGCCTGGGTCTTGCAAGGGATGTATCACACGTATTTCGTCAGCGCGATAACGACGATAGAAAAACTTTTTCAAATTCAGTCGAAAATTACGGGGATTATCATGAGCGCTACCGAGATAGGGCAGATTGGGTCCTCGTTGCTTCTGACTTATTACGGGGGGCAGGGACACAGACCCAAATGGATCGCGTGGGGTATGGTTTTATTCGCAGTGTCTTCGTTTACTTGTTCCTTACCGCATTTTATTTACGGAAGGCAGCTGATAAGCGCCAATGATCTCACCGGTATCACGAAGGACCCAAATGTGTGCAGACTTCCTAGTTCGTTGGATGACCCACATAGAAACTCTTGGGGTAACGACAGCGTGCATGGACACACCATGCAGATGACCAGCGTTTCCAATATTCTGCAGACGTGTCAAGAGGAGATCGATACCGAACATCGAATCCAGCCTTCCGTGACGAAAATCGTACTTGCGATCTTTTTTATTAGTTTGTTGGGGGTGGGCATGGGTCAGACGGCGGTGTACACTTTAGGTATTCCTTACATCGATGACAACGTCGCGAGCAAGGAATCGCCCCTCTATTTCGGTGAGTCATCTCCTAATAAACCGTCTTTTGAATTAGTTGAAAGAGTTGATGGTGAAATTTTAATTTGCCAATTACGGTTATTTATGGCGGCCGCCAAAATCCATTGTGTAAAAGTTTGGAGTAGGTCCTATTTTATTGTGTAATTGTTAAAGTACCTAAATTGTTCAATGTCAATGTCAAATTTATCTAAAGGACATCTGAACTAAAAATATTTACAATGGCGATTAATAGAACGAAAGCAACAATTAATAACAATAAATTTTAATATCAAAGAATAAAATACATGAATGTCAAGGTTTATCACAAATATTTTATTCTTTAATTAAGTACTGCACGATACATGTACCTACTAAATCTATATACATTTTAATACGATTCTTGTTTGTGCGTATTGGTTTACATTAGTTACTATCTACTCTGAATAAGAAATTTACAAAACAGATTACAGCCCCGTTTGGTTCCAGTCTGCGACTCAGACACATATTTTTAAAAATTATCATACATTATTCTGTATATATGTAAACAGTTCATAAGAAATACGATAACAAAATTTTGATTAATTCTTGTCTTTACGTTAACTATATCACAAGAAAACGAATCACCTATTTTGAAATATAAATATTTAAAGGAGAGATTTTTCGAATTTGAGCGATCTATTAAAAAAGCAAATGACTTTCTAAATCTATAAACATTAATCATCGTGATAGATTGTACACTTAAATACCTAATAAATTTCAATTTCTAAAAATTTTTGACTGATACTAATTACGGTATCCAATGCACTTCTGTCGTTTCCACCGAAATGTATAAATATTCCGATGGATTACATAACCGCTGTATAATACAGAGTGTCTATAAATAATTGTCACATTAAACTGCCTCCGTAAATCTAAAATTCGTAGTTGCCGCCCACTTTTAAGGTAACATAAACGAGTACGAAACGTCACTTTGACTATAGTTCCCGTTTTAGCGAAGCGGCAAATCATACAGTCTGCATAAATGATAATTTTTCTAAAATGATAATAGTACTTAATTACAACCTCTCGAAAATATCTTTTATCCCGATAAGAAATAAGATAAAATATATATAACTAAAAAAATAAAGAGAAGAAAATCTTCGTAAAGTATATAGGGTGACAGATGTGAAAGGTAAGTAAAATAAAAATTTAAATTTAGACCAAATTAACATTAAATTGTTAAAACCTAAAACTGTTTACCACGTCGTTGGTCCGTAAGTTATTAAATTTACACTTCTTTAAATGGTGTATCGTTAATACTTTTGCATACATACTTAGATGTTTATTACAAAAGTAATAACGTGGTATTTTAAAGAAATGAGTTATAAGTATTTAAAAAAAATATTTTACATACAACTTTTTACTTGTCTTGTTTTAGGGTATTATAATTTATTTATGGGGCGTTACCGCATATTTTATTACGTTTAAAATGCTCCATTAAATCAACTTTTTTTTGTACTTAATTTCTTATGATTATTCATGTAGCAAAGGCGGTTGTGCACGCAGTTATTTATGCTGTTTTTATGACGCTAAGATTTTTTTAACACTGCACTAGGTGAAATTTATTTGAATGTGAGAAATCTGTCGATTTCTTCGTATTCTATCTAATTCCTTTCTATTTTTGTTAGTAACGTTGCAAGTTAAATTGCCTTCTCCCCAAATAACCCTGAATTCTTAAAATCCAGTGTCATTATTTCTTCTGGCTATACGTTTGGGTTTTACAAGACGCAAAAAAAAAAGAAATTTTAATGTTTTCGTCTACCATGTGAATGGTCGGACACTCGGTATATCTTTTTGCGATGTAAGTAATGGATCTAGAAGGTACGTGTGTCGTGCTTAGCCTCAGATTGTCACTTGTCAAAAATCTCAAACTTTTTGACAATACATGATATCAATTTTGACATTATACACAAAAGCCTGAACTAAAAAAGTGTTTTAGTCATAATACACAGTAACAATAGTTGCAGTACAACACTTCGAATAACATAATCAGTTCATTTTTTTTTTTATTTTTCCAACAGGATACAATAATAAAAATTTAAAAAAAACTAAAAATTAAGAAATTCTATGATGAAATGAAGAAAAAAAGATCAATCATTCTTAAAGAACAGTTTTTGAAATTGCAGCTATGGACTTAAATTAAATTACGCACACACAATTTGTGTTGTTAGCTAGATCGGACATTAGTGCCATTGGTGACCTAACTAAGACATTAGTTTAATTTATGCAGAAGATACGAGCAGTCGATCCGAAAGTGAACTAGGTTATACAAGAAATGAAGAACGCATAGTATGCAGTGTGGTTAGATTGAAGAATCTGTAGTGTTTCCAAATGATTCACATGAATGTTATATATGGGATACCAAACCACTATGCCGTACTCCAGCCTGGACCTTAGCAAAAGAAGAATTAAAACCGATCTTTACAATTTCTATAAACGAAACAATAAGTTTTGTATGATTTAGCTAATATGTCTGATATATGATCCACGAAGTAAAATTTCTGGCCAAATAAAATACCAAGATCTTTGAATGAATCAACACGATTTATGGGTACCTCATTGAAGACATAATTATGCTGATAAAATTATTTTTTCCTTGTGAAAGACATAACGTTACATTTGAATATATTATGTGTAATAAAGATATATATGGCAAAAAATGTCAAAATTTCTCTTTTCAACAAAAAAAATGAGCGTTCTTGCACCGGATGTTTCCTTAATTAGTGCAGAAATTAATGTGAGAATAGCTATTATTATTTTCTCGGTTCTCAAATTCATGGATATGGAAATCTTATAAAATCAACGTTTATGCAAATTAAAAAATTGTAAATGGATTTTATTTATGCGTATAAACACCATGCATCTTAAGTTCCTGCAAAACATATGGATAATTAATTATGGTATTATATAAGCCGTCAGCGGTCATACAATAAATCTTCGAAAGGTCCGAACAACGTAACTTACAAAAGTTATAGTAAAAGTTATTTTAAATACGCCGAAAAGTAATGTTTCATAACTAAAATATGTTTATGAATGAAGATTATCTCAGGCTTAGATTATTAGATCGCTGCATCGTATAGCAACCGTTTCATTGAAAAAATTCCATATCGTAAAGTAAACGAAAGGTCGTTGACACAGGTTTACTTTTTTCTAAGAAAATCGCACTTGGTTTAAAGTAAACAATGACCGATAATAAAGTAACCATAAAATAATTTTAATGTAATTTCAGCAATAACGATAGGGGTTCGAATTTTGGGTCCAGCTTTAGGTTTTATCGTTGGATCCCTATGTACAAGCGTTTACGCCGATTTGTCTGTTGATCCAAAAATTGACACTACCGATCCCAGATGGGTCGGGGCTTGGTGGTTAGGTAAGTGACTCTGAAACCGAAATGCAAAAATGTATACGTTTTGTGTACGTTTTAGGGTTAGTTTTAATTTCTGGTTTGTTAATGCTGGCAAGTTTTGCCATGTTTGCCTTCCCAAAAAGACTGAAAAGTGCTAAACCCACTCCTAGGATACATCAACCTGGGCGAAAACATCCTAGTATAAGAGGTAATTTATTTGGAAAAGTAAGGTCGTTGATCTTTTGATCAACAATGTGTGTGGAGGTGTGAAAATTTTCGGGCAAACGTTTTCGCTTAATTTATTTCGTAAATAAGGCAAGGATTGATAGTTTTGCAGCAGCTGCTTGAGTTATTTGATAGTCGAAGTAATTCAATACTAGTGGAACGTGCCACTCGATATCAATTATTGTATACACTATGAGTGTAAATATTTTGATATGTTATATCTTCTAGTGGTTATCTTCGATATTAATTGCTCCTTTTTTTTTTCAGACTTTCCAAAAACAGTGAAGCGGTTGTTAAAAAATGATATTTTGATGTTTAGAACCGCTAGCAGCGTTCTACATATTCTCCCAATAGCCGGACTGTATACATTTTTGCCTAAATATTTAGAATCTCAATTCAGATTACCAACACCGTCTGCCAATATGATATCAGGTCAATAACACTCATAAATTGTATTTAGTGATAACTGTTACCGTTTTAGGAGTTGGAGGAATCCTGGTGATGGGAGTAGGCATCATAGTTAGTGGTGTTTTCATTTTACGAGTCAAACCCAACGCAAGATTCGTGGCAGCATGGATTGCCTTTACGGCCATTATTTACGCTTTCGGTACATTTTTGTTTTATTTTTTTACTCACATTTTAAGGATCTGTTAGAAGATAATTTGGGTGGCAATACAAATATTCCTTGACTGCACTGTGGACATCATACTGTCACTAACTCACATTAAATCTTACAAAAATAAAAGTGCTATTTTTACCTCTAAGAAACTTGTTTTCTGTGAGATTAAATTCATTCTAGCTTGACAATGTTTCGGTAAATCTCAATCTTAATTTTCTTTTTCATCCAAACTAAGTTTTACGCTGTCTTGATGGATCTTTAGTTTGTGAAGAAATGATATTTTACTAGTTTCAAAGGTACTTTTACAAAAAGAAAGATAATTTGTTTTGGAACGTCAGAATTGATTTATACTTACATCCTCTGTCACATGTAGTTCTTTGCACTTCAAGCATAGCTAATATGCAAGTCATCTATGATCGCGAAATTAATTTCGTAATAAAATTGTTCCAGGAATGGGTATTCTTATGTTCATTGGCTGTCCAATGGATGATTTAGCAGGAATTCAAACCCGCCACGAGTAAAAAAACCATCCCGCAAGCAGGATCTTCTATTAAATTATGATTTTTAGATTTGCCACTTTTAATTTAGATTGCAACAAGACGACGTGTGAATGCAACGAAGACAAGTTCTCGCCGATTTGCGGCCAAGATGGAAAAACTTACTTATCGCCGTGTCATGCCGGGTGTAGGAATTACACTGAAAAAGAAGGAAAAATTGTTGAATATTCCAACTGTCTGTGCGTTTCGAATGAAACCGATAACGTTACTATAAGGTTACCTGACAGCATTTTTAATGGAAATGCCACAATAGGATACTGTGACGTTCAGTGTCCGAATTTTACGTGGTACATAATATTGTTCTCCATTTTTGTTTTTATACATTCTACGTCAGAAGTGGGATCTATGTTGTTGATTTTAAGATGCGTGGATCCGAGGGATAAAGCAATGGCGTTAGGTTTGATTCAGTTCGCCATTGGTTTGTTTGGGAATGTTCCTTGTCCCATAGTTTATGGGGCGGTTGTGGACTCCGCGTGCTTGGTTTGGAAAATGGCATGCGGAGAAAAGGGGGCCTGTGGTTTATACGACTCGAATATTTTTAGGATGTTTTACCATGGTTCGTGGTGAGGTTTTAGTTGGGCGTTTGATATAACGATATTTGGTTTTAGGAACCACTGGGGCGATTTTATTGTGCGCATTTTTCGTTGATGTGATAGTATGGTATAAAGCAGGAAGCATAAATTTTGTAGACGAGCAAGTACCTTTAGAGGAAGAACTGACTTCGATGACGAAGAAATCATTAACAGAACCCGTCGCTATACCTCAATAGCAAACGCTGAAGGTGGAGGACCCACCAACAAAGTTTTGAAACCTCTGTGAAATTTCTATAATTACCAAGGCGCGGAATTATATCTCATACGCTAGATCCAGTGCTGTCGCGTCGATACTTTTATTACAAATATATTTTTCTTTTGGACTAGATCAACATTTCAAGATCACAAATCTGTAGTCCTGTGATTGAAAAATTAAAAAGGGTATCGAATATTATTATTTGAAGGAATATAGTAATATAGATGCAGTTTATTTCCTAATTGTAAACACTCCTAGCGACGCACTGGCTACGACCTTGTGGACCGGATCAAAGAGTCTCCGCTACTCGCCGTAAAACACACCTTACTCAATTGGGGGATTGCAGCGGTGAGATAGAATTCCGCGTACTGATAACACAGTAGAACAGTGTTTTTGTTACATATATTTTCTAAACATGGTCGGAAAGGTAATTGTGTACTGAACAACTCTTAAAAAGAGATAATATACCCATGACGTCAAAAAAAAATTAAATTTTTATTGTCGTCCGATGAACAATTAGAAAAAATTAAGTGAATTCTAATTTTGCATAGAAAAACGCGCAAGAAGCACTAAAAAAATGTTCCACAGATTTTTGTCGACAGATATTTAATTACGTCTATGAATATTTAACCTGCCTCGAATATGTACAACGATCTGAATCTCTAAAAAACCTCATGCATTCGGAAAGAATGTATACTTCCGTGTTTATCTTAAATATTTCTCCGATTTTCTTGATGTCTCGATAAAAAGATTATCAGTAAAGAAATTTAAATGAAACATAATTTGTGGAACTTTGAATATTCTCATATGTTTCTGCAGTTTGTATGGAGTATGCAGTCGGCAGTACTAAATAAGTATTTATACCCATTATGCATTTCAAATTTTTTTTAACGACGTAGACATAATGTCTGATTAGATAGTTATTCAGCACAAAATAACCTTTCAGAATGCTTGTAACAAGAATTTTTTCTAAAATTGTTCGACTGTGTAATCAGTCAGAGAATTCGCAGTTAGGTTATTCGTGACAGTCTAAACTAACTGTTTTTTCTGAGAAAATAGAATTTTATAATGCGACTGAAATTTTTGTAACGGCAGCTTTGAACATTTTTATAAAGATTTTGTACATAATGGAAAGAAAACTTATATTTGCTACGAGTGTAAATAAGGACAAGATTTTATTTTAACAATTTTATACGTTTGGAATTTTAGCAAATTTTATACAGAATTTACAATACAACATCCAATTTATTCTGCATGATTTTTAAACATTATCAAATTTTAAGATCTGATTCATAAACTGTGATACTTAATATCTACTACCTATGTCTTACTTTCCTATTCTTGGTTTGTAAATATTTTTTTAATTATTTAAGCTTATTTTCAATACTCGATCCTTGTAGAATTCTATGCTATTACCAATTTAGAATAAGTGAAAACACTGTAATTGTATATTTTTTTATATTAGTTTTAAGTTACCATTATTATTTTTAATTTTGTATAGTTTTACAATGCCGTACATTTTTATCAATTTGTTTGTGTGCCATACGCTCAGTAATTTGGTATTCTTTGATTGTAATTTTTTCTTTATTTATAACATATTATTGTAATAATTGAAGCTTTTGTGTTTGTTGATTTGTAGATTGTGAAATATTATGTATATTATAGTTGTAATTAAGTACCAACTATTGTTGCCGTATTACGAAACTAGTACCAAATTTCAAATTTTCAATTTGATTTTTAAGTACTTGACAGTAGTAATTTGAGGTCAAATTCACCACAAATTTATATAGCGCTTTTTACATTAAGAAATGACTGATGATATATTAAAATCAAAATAGACTAAAACAAAGTTGTTTATATTAATGGCCAGCATACACATCAATTTTTTGTGTTGCAACAGAAAGAACTAGAAGCAAGGTATCAATATTCTTCCTGTTCAAGCTTTACTCGTTGTTTATACAATTTTTGTAACTGTTACAAAAATATTGTTTCATTTTCTTATATATTTCTAGGAAACAAATCAAAATACGGGTATAGAATAACTAGAAGGCTTATTTATTATCGTTTTAATGATGTTACAAAGTTATATTGTACATATATTTGTTCAACATCACATGTGCATTAATATAATTTTACCTTAAGTTAAGTAACCACCTACAAACACAAAACTTCATATAGTTTCGACAATAATTGGCAGAATCCTTAAGCATTATCCGTATTTGTGTATTTAGTACTGCCATAATATACTTATGTTGTCTTCTTCAGGGTTACTTTTATTTTGTTTCAGTTTTGTTGATACTTAACTTTAAACTGTTGTTATAACAATTCTGTTGTGAATATTTCTTTATAAGGCTCAAGCATTTTAATCTGTGATTAGCTCACATTCATACACCACTGTTAAACTGTGCAATTTTGTATGAAGAATGTCACTATCATGTTCACCTAATTTTATTCAAACTGTAGTATATGTATACATTATGTTCATCATTAATGAACACAGAGTGATGAGTTTTAAATGTAACGATTTTACATAAGTGTACCTATGCAAAATATATTCATTAAATACAAAGATTGTCTGCGTCTGGTTTACGTCTCATCACCGCCAAATTATCACAAAGGCACGCATGCGCAGATGCCGGAAAATAAGTAAAAGGAGATCACGGATAGATGTCACTCCAAGTAATCGATAAGCATGAGGCAAGATCCACACATTTCAAAAGATTTCTGCGTATGAAATCCACAGTAGACTTATACAGGTTGCTTACACTACGTTATGTCTATAAACACTAGTGGATTTTTTCCTTTGAATTTAAACGTGTTTTCAGAACAAAAACAACTTAAAGACGACACTTTTCAGTAAATCGTAGCATGACAAATAGTGCTATTAATACAAAATAAATTAAATTTGAAAAATTGGAAACTATTTAAATACATTCACAGTAGCAAAATTAAATTTCTATGAAAATATAGGAATTTTAACTGCGAAAGTGAAGCCCATAGAATGGAAATTACACAAAGATTTATTTACAAAGTTTATTTAGTGAATTGTAGTTTGTTTATTTGTTCTTACAAGTATTTGTCAAAAATATATAATTTATATTGTCCGAGCACCATTTTGAATTTTATTGTATAGTACAATATATTTGTTACATTTTTAATAAGTGCTTATTCTTATATTTTTTCATATAAAGATTATTAAAATTTCGTCAGACATATGTTATTCCACGAAAATTACAGTTTCGTTGCAATTTTGTTTGAGCAGATAGCTTGTATGGAACAGTCCCATAAGTAACAAAACACCGTAATAGCTCTTACTAAAATAGTCTATTCTTAAAAATCCCAACGCATTAAAAATAGGCAAGAAAAAACGAAATACTTTTGAATAGTGATATATTAATACCCACTTAACAAATTGTGTGTATAATCACGTTGTTACCGCTTTCCATAGCCCGATCCAAAAGATTGTGATTGGGAAGAAGCCGACGCTGAGGCCTGTGAGCCCCCGTAGCCACCTCCGCCGAAACTTGAAGACTGTGCGGATGCACTGGCACTTGAAGACGATCCACTGATGCCGCCTCCTCCGAAACCAGGACCACCACCACCGTATCCGCCTTTTCCACCATATCCGCCATGTCCGCCACCACCTCCCAATCCGCCGCCACCTCCATGTCCGCCGCCGCCTCCAAATCCTCCACCGCCTCCGAATCCGCCACCGCCTCCGAATCCGCCGCCGCCGCCGAGACCGCCTCCTCTTCCTCCATATCCTTTTTGAATTTCTACATCACCGCCGGCGTAACCCCCGTGATGGTGGTGGTGGTGCGTGGGTGAGCGCGGGATGCGCTCCAGTTTCAAAGGGACATAATATTCTGTAATGACTAATAGTTACACATTAGTTTCGGGGTAGGGTGGATGGTTGAGCTTACCGGGGTAATAGGTGTCAGAGGTTACGAGATGTATTAGGAATGCGGCGAGTACGAACACAACTCTCATCTTGGTGATAGTGAGGCAGAATTGTGATGATCTCTTCTTAAATAGTCTTTATTACGAGTTCCCAAACAGGTTTTTGTTTACTATATACATTGCAGTAGACTAGAACTAATGTATACGCGGTATATAATAGTATGTATAAAAAAAGAATTTGTTTTAGTAGTTAGTGTAAATGAAAACGTTGACCTTCAATTGGTTTTCGGTTACTTAAACACTGCGGGGATTTCCTTCTGTTGTTTCTTATGCAAATAATGACGAGGAAGGTTTTTAGGTAAAAGATGGAATTTGATGACATTATCGGCTTTATTTTTATTGATGAACAAAAAAGTTGATACATTATTAAAATCAGAGTGTTTATTTAATTATGAGTAGTGTTTAAATATATTCGTCTAATTTTCGAGTGCGCCGGGTTTAGCACCTTTCTTGTTAAAGAAGCCACTTCTGAAAAGCGTACTTAAATATGGATCACCGAAGGAGGTTGCGTGACTTGTGGCGACACCACCCTTTCCTGTACTAAAACTATTGGCAATTGCTGTAGCAGAACCCGGGTAATAGCTTTCACCACTCGAACCACCACTCGATTTTCTTCCATAACCGTTCATCCCTCCGAGCATGATGGGGAAAAAAGCGTTGTATGAAGGAGCACCATTACGGGTACCTGAAAATGGCCAGGACGAAGATCCGTCGTCTTCACCGCTGTCATCCTCTTCCGACGGTTTCCTTTTAGGAATTCGTTTCGGTTTAGAAGTGGATCTTTCAACGTCCAGTTCTTCCTCGTATAGAGGACTGCTTCGCCTCTCTGTTGTTTCTTCCGCAGATGTTGGTACATCGAAAGGGTTTTGATCTCCGACGAAAGAATTGGTAGCAATTGTATCGCCGGAAGCAAAAGTCATCGAACCTTGAGGAATATATCTGGATTCTACCGGACGGCCATAGTATCCACCAAACATCACAGTTCTTTGTGGTACCCGAGTATATCCTGTGAAAATAGGAAAAAATATTGATGCGATCTGTCACACGTACAGAGACTCACCTTTGTAGTAAGGATATGTGGCTAAAGCATCCACAAGAAGGAAACTTATGTACAATAAAGTCTTCATGGTTGTTAGTTCTTTACTGAAATTGCCAAAAGTACTTTACGATTTATATTGCGAAATATTATCCCCACTCGTTTACAACCCTTTCTTATGTCCACTCCCAATAAGGATGTGCGAGTACTGATAATCAAAAATTCAATACGTGTTTTGTGTTCATGTAAAATAAGAGTGTCAGTGTTTTTTAACACTAACTCAGACGATGTGATTTGCTTGGATAAGACAAAACTAATTATTATGAGTTTGTCGTACACGCATTCATGTAACTTTGTTACAATGTGTTAATCTTGACATACGCATTTTAAGAGTCCTAGAAATATCTGCAATATTTATGTTTATGAGTGTTGGCATTGTTTCAATTTTTTTTTTGCACATGCCATCAGTCCGTATAAGCTAATTCTTCGAATTAACAATTTATGCATCCGCATGAGTACGTGTAAGCAAACACAAAACACCCCGTATATATTTCTTCTTCGAACTGAGATTGGGGTGCGTCATCACAATTTGCTGACGTATATTCATTTCCGCAAAACAATAATACAAGATTCGTGTTGATGGTATCTGCTTATGGAATGCCAGTAATTTAAAATTATTGAATACTAATACAAAACCCGTTGGAAATTTCTTTTGTTCTTTAGGGTGAACGTCCTACGAACTCTGTCAAATTTGTAGTTAACTGGTAAGATTAACGTTACATAATTATCTGCAAACAGGAAACTGGAACTAATTTATGAATGGTATCTACGTGTAATACAAAATTTTACGCTCGTGAATATTTAGATAATCAAGGTCTTCACTTCTTCAAAACAAATGCTTCGTAATTTATTAACTTGTATTATGTACGATGCGCCACTCTTAACGGTCATATTTAAACGAGGACGGAAATTAAATCAGAAGATGGTCTTTTAATGGCCATATATCTGACACAGCTTGATTGATTCTTTTACGCTTTGATCTCATTGGTATTCCTACTATACACTTTTTCTGTCTGACTGATTTAACGTTTATTAAGCGAAGTGGAACCGCATACTAAGCTCTGTCGGATAAATTTAACACATACGGCACGATGGACCGGGAACATTTTGCTAATTTGTTCACCCGGCGCATCCACCATTCAAACAAAAACAATCATAACTGTATCAGCGAGAATTCGCAACAATTATACACCAACGATGGTCCCTTTAAATGCGAATTACTTTTGCCGCCTTGTTGAAAACATGAATCGTAGCCGAACTGTCAAACTGACATTGCATGCAACAAGTGAACAAGTCGTAGTAAGTGTTACACGAAAAGGTAAGCGCAGTTTGAAAAACTGTGACTGGTAGTACACTTCTATGTAAAATAACACCAGTGAGTGTTATTGTTTTTTTAATGTTAAGTGGCGTTAATAAATTATTGAATTCGTTAATTTTTCAATAGTAGTATATTTTATGGTGTATTGTAGACGTCTGAGATTGTGCGTTCTTTTAGAAACTTATTAAAATATCATCGTATATACTAAAATGCTGCGAAATTTAGCTGAATACGATTTTAGTTAATTTGTTTTTTTTTTTTTAAGAAATATGAGGTTTGAAATATATTTGCTTTTGTTTTCGTTGTTTCATAATATCCAACGTAATTTTATGAACAATAAAATAGCGATAATAACAATAAGCTCAAATTTCGATGCTAAGTAACGAAATTACAGGAAATGTAATAAAAAACAGACAACTCGTGCTTGTAAATAAGAACGGCTGTACAACCGTACGTTAGTAATTTTAAAAAGGAATGAATCACTATTATGTTTTATGGGTTTTACTGTAAAACGACACCTGCAGATTTAAAATTTAAATTTATTCTCTCACCGATGGATGTTATCTCCAACTGTGATTCGATTATTAATTAACGACTTTTTATATTTTATTGTTTATTATTTTCTTAATTACCCTCTGTAGCTTCTCATAATGACATCTTTTATTCAGTAGTTCTGTAATATCGCTCAAGGTTAATAACGTCTTTATGAAAAAAATTCCACCAGACGAAATACTGAAGGCAAAGTTGCTAACAAACACAGAAATATGCGAGAAAACATGTTAATGACGTTTTTAAAATTACCACCGTGAAATCACGAAGATACTTCTTAAAATGCATGGTTGAAGGCAAGTAAATTCTTTTTATTGTCCGTGCATTCATTCACGAAGGTATTTAATGGAATAAATGCGGCAGTGAAGAAATGCATTGAAATCTCACATAAACTGCATCTCTATCCCATCTGAAGAAAATTTTGTGCATATTTTCCGGTTTCTTAATTGGCAACAACGTACGTGTATGCACCTCTCTGTCTAACTTCATTCTTGAGGTTTCTCAAATTTGTTATGCTTCAGCGCAAATAAGAAAAAGCAAATACTAAAATTTGTTATGGTCAAGGAAAAGGATCTAGCGTTTTAAAGAATACATAAAAACCATAGCATTCCGATTTTGTAGAAAAAAGTCATTATTATGGAAACTTGTGCACATTTTATCAAAGTCTTCCTTATTTACACAAATATGTGGTTTGTTTTATTTATATGTTTTACTAATACTACAGTGTTAGGCGCCACGAAACCTTTATTTGACAATCTATTACAAATAAGTAAAATCTAACACTAGCGGAAACCTTCAGACACAACATTTGTATTTACTTGTATTTTTTTTTTCAAAATTGAATAGAAGAAGGATAAATTTAAAACGAATTGATCTATATCTACACTTTGCTATAATTAAAGTCGTTAAAAATGATTTGCGTTCACAAGCATAACTCAACTATAAAATTTATTTTTATTTATTTATTCGTGAAAAAAGCTACTAACAATCGTAGACTTAATCTTGCGTTTCATCTAGTAGTTTGGTTTAATGCATGCATATGCACGAAAATATAAACCGTGGTTGACCCTAGACCTGAGCAGAATTCATTACTAAGTCATCACGTTTTATGAACAACCGGGATCATCAACCGATAATCTTATTTTCCACCAAAAAACTCTCCTCGTCCGGAATAAAAATCAAATTCTGTTTATTTTACTTTATTTTTAAAAATGTACAACTGTACCTACACTAATGGCAATCTGAATTCTTAGTAGTTCTCTACAAACTCTGTAAACCTGACTTTATCCCGTCAATGGTCTTTTTTTCCCATCGGGTCCTGTGATGGTAATAACAGCGCCAGCACCAGCACCCTTGTTCGGTCCAACACCCGAAAAAGCGTTTCCAAAAGCGATGTCAATTGTCTGCCCGTTGAAATTGTACTGCTGGGTTCCTGAGAACCCCGCTGAACCCACAAGTCCGTTTGGACCTACTCCAAAGCTCTGAGTCTGTGAACCAGTAGCTGAAGCTCCGAAACTACCCAAGGGACCGAAAGAATTGAAAGCCTGGGCTTGAGAATTAGCTGCAGAAGCTCCAAACTGTTTTTGGGGTGCTGCAGCTAGAAGGTTTGGTGTTTGCGGTTGTACGAATCTGTAAATCGAGTTACGTTTTTTGGGACATGCGGTATACAGGTGGGCCAAATTTTACTTTACAGGCAACAGCTTCCTGCCTGTAACGTAAAATCTGGGAAACCTGGTGCATAAAGTAATATTGATTTACGTCTGGCGACTCTGCTGTGGTAATTTAATTTCCCGTTTAGTTTTGACGATTCCCGTTTCTTCGTTTGTGACGTTTTGGGTCCGTCCTTGCCTTCCATTATTTTTTCTTCTGACGGTTAAGTGTGATTCTACTACTATTTCGTCGAAGGCTTGTCCAAATGCAGCTGAAATGATTCATTAAAGTTAGAAACGCAAATATGGTGTATAAATGTCGTCTTAGATATATCTACAAACGCACATTTAGTGTAAACACACCCTAACAACAAGCTCCGCCCATATATTTAAATCACTTAACATTTAAGATCCGTTTCGTTTATTTCCGACAATGAGTAATTATGTGTAATTTTGTATTTAAATGTGTTGTTACTAGTGAGATGCCTAATTGATGAATCTCCGTCACAAAAAATACGGAAGAACCAGCCATATGTTTGCTGCAGCACGGAACTTTCTCTCTCACACACTTATTGTAAAAAAATCATTAAGAACTTACATTTTGAGTCTTTATTCGTGTCCTTGTTATCTAGAGGTGCAGCGTGGGAAACACAAACAAAAATAATAAAAACAAAAGTACAAGTGAGCAAGTGCTTCATTTTAAAAGGAAGTTGAATTTATTGTAACCTGTAATTCTCTCAATATGAAGAGAAAACACTGAACTTGTATTACCACTTGCCACTTCTACGACCTCGACGTTTTCTTCTCGGTTCAAACGACTTCAATATTTCGTGTAAAAAAAATATTAATCCCCAATTTGCCAATTCTGAGAGAGTTGGTTGAACCGGTTAGTGGTCGTTCTGCAGTGACTGCGGGTGCAAGCGGAGTTTGACTGACCACTTTGGAAAAAACACAAGAGGAATTCCATATTGTTTGCACAGATATTCAACAGTAATTGCTTTTAAGAACTGGGGATTTGTTTGTGAGTTATGTGTTAAAAAAATTTCGAAAAATGCATCAATTTGAGTAAGCAAGAGCAAGGTTATCTCCAGTTTTGTTGAAATTTAGAGTTTGTTCTTGACCATGATCGGTGAATCTTGCTGTGTCCTTGCATTACATAACTGATATCTTTACTTCACATTTTTATTACTTTACTTGAAACGTACTAAATGAATAATACAAACAATGAACGTTCTATGCTTTGTCAACATGTAAACACGTTTGATTTTTATTACTATTCTCCAAATTTTTTTGCATACTTTACACGGTATTATAATGAAGGTGTGTACTTTAAATTAAAAATTGTTGTATAGTTCTGCCTAATTGTGTGAGTTAAGTCATCATCATAATTAACCATTCGTAAAGTTAATGATCTCATGCAGTATTCATTTGTTTAATTTATAATATAATTCTTATTTGTATAAAGAATGACTAATATAATAATAATAGTGACACTTTCGCACCTTCTGACAATCGTACATTGCATAGTAATGAAACTGATAATTTAATGCCAATAGTTCGAGGTACAATTTTAATGTTTATGATTTCATGGCCTACTCAAACTAATGCATTGACATATGACGTAAAATACAAGCCGCCTACGTTTTATTCTCAACATTTATTTTATTAGTTAGTTTCATTTAGTTCAATGTGAAAAAAGAAAAAACTTTTTTGTAGAATTGTACCTTGTAATGATGTAAAATATTATAATTTAAAAAATACCAAGACGAATAATGTACAAAATTTTATAATTGTAAATAACCTCCACCAAAGTGAATAGAAAGGTATATTTGTGTGTAAGGTTGTTTAAATACGTGTTTTTTTTTTTGTTTTATACGAAACTTTCAGAATACATTATTGCATATATTAGTTAAAAATTCTAGAAAAGATGTTTGTTAATTAAAGGATTACTCCTCTTAACACTTTTTATACGTGTCGTTGCAAAAGATATCACGTATTTTTCATGGTGTGTTATATAAAATACACAGTTTTACTTCCGCTTGATGTGGCACCATTTCAGGAAGGTCAGCATCTTAATTGAGGAGTAAATATGTGTTAAACGCTCATAGTTTTTTCCAATACATGTTCGGAATAAAAAAAAATATACATCTACTGAATTTCACTTACAGTTTTAATTCACCGTCATAATAATAATAAAACTTACCACAATCTGGATTACAATAAAATACATCCAGTTTTTTAGATACATTATAAAATAATGATATATGTGTTAAATTATAAGTAAAGAATCATCATATGCATATGTTTCAAGTGAGTTTTTTTACAGCAAAATTTTGTGATGACGTCAAGCAAGGACACGTACATTAATTTGAATAGATGCAGTGTAATATTAATAATGATAGCACTCTAGACTCAAATTCTAATACAGAAAACTGTGGATAAAATGACTATGAATAAGATTTATTATTTCCTGCCTGTTGGACGCAATTAATTTTGTAACAGGTCAGAAGTACAATAGCGAGCTAATTATCATACAACTTTTTATCGCAATACTCTTGTGGGGGTGTTAGTGTAGTTAGCATAGTCAATAAAACTTAGACCACCTGCGTTGACTTTGAATTCAAAACAACCAGCACATTTAGAGCGCAGATGTGAAATTACACCGCAGCGATTTGCTATGTATTTGACATTTCTAACAAAGAGTTATAATCTGCATCAGGTATGCGGTTTTGCCGGTTGTATTTTCCCATTAGAAAGCTGTGTTATTGATTTTTTTTTATAAATAGGGTCTGGCGACTTTTTAAAAGCGTCATGGCTTGCAGTTCTTTGGAATGATTAAAAATCAAAATCATAAAATCAAATATGAAGTTTACCATAGAAATTGATTACTGATTCAAAATATATTCAAAAAATTCCTACACAATGATGTCTTTCAATTTAAATGACGCATTTATCATCGTTCACAATATTATAATTTGTAATACTGAGTGACTAAAAACTCAGAAATCTGTGTGTTCGCGCATTAATTAAAAACAACTAGTAGGGTTATATAACTTTATTAAAAACTTAATTAAACATTAAAATACTAATAAATAAATAACGAAAATATTCAGTCAGTTAATAGTCGAAGAAGCTGAAAATAATACGATTAGGTATATATTTTTGAGGTGATAGTTAAATCTTACCCGCCGCCTCCTGATCCTTGAGACTGACTCTGGGACAAGGATCCCGAAAATGGTCCAAAAGAAAACGCGGCGGATTGACTCTGGCTTTGTGACCCATGTCCAGAACTTCCAGCTGAACTACTAGCATAACTTCCTCCATGGTGTACAGGTTCTGGATGGTGTACAGGTTCGGGATGATGTACAGGTTCGGGATGATGCACGGGTTGCGTGTAGTGACCGCCCCCTTGATTACCACCTCCAAATAAAGCACCTAGAAGTGGCTTCTTCTTGTTGAATAAATGGGGCGAACGGATTTGCCGAACTACAACGTTTCAATCACATTTACTATTTTTTCTTACTATTATTACATTTTTTTATTTACCGGATGGTTGTTCTTCATTGTCTAGTGGAAGGGCGTAAGCCACCGCTAGAAACATCACACATAAGAGAACTTTGGAATGCATTTTGAAACACTTTCAATACAAAACTAAGCACAGTTTTTTTGAAGAAACTAGTGTGCTATTGATTTTTATAAGAACTTCCCCTCTACGAATTTATTTTCTTGTTGTACTTGAAAATCTGCAAAACGTGAAGGTCCTGCATCTGTATATCACTTAAATTGCAAAAAAATGAGTACGTGAGGATGAAAATCTTGAAAATTCAATGTTAAATTTAACTCCTACTTAATTATTTTGTGGAAGTTTCTGTTCATTTACAAAAGTTTATCGCTGAATTTATGGTAATAGTTGACCTTAAATGCAAGGTTTGAAAAGATTATTGTACAAGTTCATCCTGTCATCGAAGTGAACTTGAACTTATTTACGAGATGGAGTTCACATGGGCAAATAGTAGACAGACGTTTAGATCAACACCTTTACACTTGATTTGCTGCGGGGGATTTACGCGACCCTGGTTAACGGAAGTAAAATATCAGTGGTAATTCTTATTAGTAAATCGTAATTACCCACAAATTTAAATAAGTTAGAAACTTATCAAATACACGCAACTATCAAGTTTTTGTATTTGGAAAATAAAAATAAATGTGACGTCTCGACATCTTAGACACTTTAGTTCCCTTTGAATGTTATTTGTTAGGTTTATTTTATTTTATTGCAAAATTATAAGCAAAAATTAATTATTTTTTAAGTTCACAGATTAACTTTCAGTTCTATTAATTTAGAATATTGTTTATAGTGTTTATTTAATTATTTATTGAAAGAAAAAGTTTTTACTCGATTATGTTAAAATGTGTGCTTTTTTTCAATAAAGCCCTAAAAAATCATGTTTCCAAGAATATAGCTTGTCAATTTAGCCATACAAAATGGAAAAATGTCTTTAAAGATTTCAAGAATGAAACTCTAAAATATACACTGCTATGTGACAGTATGTAAGATATTTTAAATTAAACTTCTAAACTAAAATTATTCGACCTAAGTTCCAAACTTTTGCAGACGTGGTACTGAACCTACACACCCACAGACTTCTCGTGCCCTGAACCATTGTTATATACTAGGTATATATTTATTTAAGCAATGCCTACACGATGGTACATTTTATGCAACACACAATACATTTCTACTCCATTTATTAAAAAGAAAATCCAATTTACCGGTAATTTCCACAAAAAACGTTCAATATTGGATAAATTATATCACATTTTTTGTTTATTTTATGTACCCATTATTGTGTTTATTTGTATACTTAAAACAAACAAAAAATAGAAAGAATATATTTTTTTTTAAATGAAGTTGGATAAATTTCAAATGAAACCGCAGATGAAATTCTGCAAAATGAAGAAACCGATGAATCTGAAACAAGGAGTTTCGAAGAACAATCAGAATAAACATATTTTGTGGTAAATAAAGAAATGTTTTAACATAAGCCAACTCTGCAAGGTTCTCGCATTCCTGGAACCCATACAAAAGGATTATCCTAATCTTTTCGGCTACGAAATTTACCTGAGAAAAGGATCGAAAAAAGTTTTACCATTTATTTCAAGAACTTTGTACCACAACAATGCAGTCAGACAGTCCATCGCCTGCACTAAAAATGTTTCCAGTGTCAATACATACAATTTCGTGTACCTTCATAATAGTAAGTGAAATGGCTACTATTTGAAATCAATATACAAGGCATTGTTTTCGCAGTTCTAAATCATGAAAAGTGAATGAGATTTAAACTAAACCGTTATTGACATAAATGGAAAAATACGACATTGTAGTATTAAAAAAATTCTAATGGCGTGTTCAACCGACAAAGTAAAATGAATGCTGTTTATAAATAAATAAACGTGATTTTATTGATTGCTTTGAATTTTTGCCTGTAATATAACGGTACACATTATGTTTTGAGTTATTGAGCTACAAAGTGGGACATTCATGCCTAAAAGTCAAGTGTATGTAGTGTAGTGTTGTACAAGGTATTTTGACACAAAACTACAGCGTGGAAACTACCTACAGAATAAAAACAATAATTAATATTTCACAAACAATGTTGTAAACAATTTTTTAATTTGATTTTTCATTCCATTCGGTTGTTTGTAATGTCATTAACTTTGAACTAGACGTCATTTGTGCTATTAATACCTCACTCTATACCATGTCTCTAAATATTTCAGATAAATGACAAAAAAATACAGTTAAGTAATAATAAGATTGTTAAAATAAATTATTTTAACTTAGTTTAGAGGGTATTTCCTCTCTGACAAAATAGAACCGGTTTGTACACCCGTTTATTTTTGTAATTATGCTTGTCACGCAAAAACATGTTTGGATTAATTATAACTACACTGTGTTAGAGCTCAAAGTTACAAAATCAGAGATTCTAGAGGCAGTTTTATCTTAAATATTTACGCGGGAGGCCGTAAAATAAATTCGATTTGAACGCTACCCCCACTCTTTTAAGCGCTTAGAACCTTTCAAGACCGGCAAACTAGTGATTTCTGAGGTTTATGTTGGTAGTTCTGCTTGTGTGCCAACAATGTACTGACGTTAGTTAGAATAACTCAACAAATATTAGATTTTTTGCTTGATTTTGCTTATGATTGTCAAAAAGTATACACATCTTTGATAACACGTTTAGATTAAAAAATCAAATTGATAACAACTGACAGCTCAATAACAACTGTGACCTCGAGATAGTGGGAGTGGTTCTGGTAGAATGTTTTTAGTTATGGCTACTGTGGTATGAGGTATGTCTGCATTTCTATGACTTCATCTGATGATTCATAAATGAAACGATGTATTTTAGTTGAGTAACTCGAATTTTTACGTTTGTAAGTTTTGGGTGTTTGTGGTAAGAGGAAACGAATCTCGTCTATTTACAGGTAAGCATTTTTTGTAAAACGGACATACCTTTAAAGGTTGCAATGAGAATTCTATTGTTGTATGAGAAATAAAGGACATTGTGTTTCCGGGAATTGGGAAAACTGACCTGAAGTATCCTGTTCAGACAAGCCGTTTATGATTAATTCTAGCTGTATTAGTGATATTAACTGACGTTCTCTTGAACAGATATTATATTTTTTGTATTATTATTAAATGCATATACAATATATCTAAATATATATTTTTCATAACATAACATAATTATAAAAAAAAAAACTATGCAATAAATAACTGCCGGACTGTGGGTCATCTTAGACTATTATTCATATAATTTTAAATTTCAAGATTCGGCGTAATACAACTTCCTGACGACTTGGTGACAGATCGGTAATTACCAGAAGTTGCCGCCCAACTATATTTGCTTTCACATCTGTCCCCAATAAAATATTTTTAATGTGTCATAAAATTGGTTCACGGCACTCTTTACTGCTTACAACGTGCTGCACTGAAAATACAGTCTTGACAATTTTTGAAGTAGTCACCTATAATTTCCGCATCGAGTTATAAATTGTTTAATATACAAATATGTACTATTGTATATATATAATATGTATACATGTATTTTTTGTTGTATGTTCATGGATATTTGTCGATTTTATTTACATTATGTATTACTGGAAATTATAAGGGAATATACCCAAAAGAAGAGAATATAACGTCGAAAGTCATTTTCATTCATGAATCATGGTCCTAATGGAGGTGCATATTATCTTTCTGTGGAGATAGTGTAATGCGATAAAAACCGAGTTTAATGACATATTAATTAGTACAAAACATTCCCTCTGAATTTTTTTAGTGTTCTTAACTTTTCATTTTAAATAGAATCATACTATATTTTTTTTGTAACATGAACAGTATTGGATGAACACTTTTTCTTAATCGATATAAACCACGTCATGTAACAACGCTCTCAGTTGTGTATTACTCAATAAAAAAAATCGATAATGTAGTCAACCACTTATATCTCTATGCGTTGACAGTAACCACTAGTAGGAAGATTTAAATTTTGATAAGTTCATATACACGCCTATTCTTGTTTCACTGTTTGGCTAAGATAATTGAATAACCATTAACTTGGGTAAACTCTGTCAAATTTTGTTTGTACTTGTGGGTGTAAAGTGTCATTTTATTTGACGTAATCAGTAGATTGCTGCTTCAGTATGTGTTACATTTCCACAGTTCATTGGTGTTAAAGTTTTATATTTCCAGAATCTCAAACATGAATGACCATTTTGGCTTAAAATGGGATCCTAAGAATCTCGAAATTCGAACAATGTCCGTCGAAAAAACGTTGGAACCTTTAGTTTTACAAGTAACAACACTTGTAAACACTAAAGGCCCCAGCAAAAAGAAAAAAGGCAAATCCAAACGGGCCAACGCTTTAGTGAGCACCGTCGAAAAGGCAACCGAAAATTTCATCGAAAAAGGCGAACAAATCGCATACGAGAACCCTGACATAACCCAAGAAATGCTGTCGGCGGTCGAAGAGGTACGCAAAACCGGCAACGCCATGAGTATCGCAGCTAGGGAATTCTCGGAAGACCCTTGTTCCTCTTTAAAACGCGGCAACATGGTCCGCGCAGCACGGAATCTTCTGTCTGCAGTAACGCGTCTGCTAATTCTTGCCGACATGGTTGATGTCCATCTTCTTCTAAAGTCTCTCCATGTTGTGGAAAGCGATTTAGAGAAGTTGAAGAACGCCTCCAGTCAAGGCGAACTCTTGGACAACATCAAAGCGTTCGGTCAAAACGCGAACGAGTTGATGAATCAAGCTGCAAAACGTCAGCAAGAATTGAAAGATCCGCAATTGCGCGATGACTTGGCAGCTGCTCGCGCTGTTCTCAAAAAACACTCAACGATGCTGTTGACGGCTTCGAAAGTGTATGTACGTCATCCGGAATTAGCGGCAGCTAAAGCTAACCGGGACTATGTTTTAAAGCAAGTGTGCGAGGCTGTTAACACTATAAATGATGTTGCTCAAGGTCGTACACCGCAACCTGCTACTGGACCTTACGATGGACCGGGTGAATTAGCGGCAGCTCTTGATGATTTTGATGACCATATGGTTATGGAGCCTTTGGCTTATAACGAGGTCCATACCCGACCGTCGTTAGAAGAGAGATTGGAGAGTATTATTAGTGGGGCAGCTCTGATGGCAGATTCTAGTTGTACTAGAGATGAAAGACGAGAAAGAATTGTAGCTGAATGTAACGCGGTGCGTCAAGCTCTTCAAGATCTGCTATCAGAGTATATGAGTAATATCGGTAGCAAGGAGAAGAGCGAAGGATTGAACAGAGCTATAGACAACATGGGCCGTAAGACTAGAGATTTAAGGCGACAGTTACGCAAAGCGGTAGTTGACCATGTCTCTGATAGTTTCCTGGAAACCAATGTTCCTCTTTTGGTACTGATTAAAGCTGCTCAAAACGGTAACGAAAAAGAAGTGGAAGAGTTTGCTGTAATGTTTACAGAACATTCTAATAAGCTTGTAGAGGTAAGTTTCCTTAACTCACATACGATCTATGTACTTAAGTAACCCAATTCATTGTTTAGGTTGCCAATTTAGTGTGCAGTATGTCAAATAACGAAGATGGCGTCAAAATGGTACGTTACGCTGCAGCTCAAATCGACAATCTTTGTCCAGAAGTAATCAATGCCGCCCGAATCTTAGCGGCTAGACCACGTAGCAAAGTTGCTCAGGAAAATATGGAAGCGTTCAAACAAACTTGGGAGAACCAAGTCCGCATTCTGACAGAAGCAGTTGATGATATTACGACCATAGATGATTTCTTGGCTGTTTCTGAAAACCATATTCTCGAAGACGTGAATAAGTGCGTCTTGGCTTTACAAGAAGGTGATGCAGATACATTAGACAGAACGGCAGGTGGTATCCGAGGTCGGTCAAACCGTGTCTGCAATGTTGTAACTGCGGAAATGGATAATTACGAACCTTGCATATACACAAAAAGGGTGCTGGAAGCTGTGAAAGTTTTAAATGATCAAGTTATGCCAAAATTTAGCCAGAGGGTCCAAGTTGCAGTGCAAGCTCTGTCTAGCAATCCTGCAAAGGAAGTAGACGAGAATGATTTTATTGATGCGTCGAGATTAGTATACGATGGGGTCCGCGAGATCAGAAGAGCCGTCCTGATGAATAGAGTAAGTTGATAGACATGTAACCTCTATGATATGTAGAATTCATGTGTTCGTGTTGATAATGACTGTTCTGGTACCATTTTATAGGCTGATGAAGATTTGGACCCAGAAGATGTGGAATTAGATGAAAACTACACTTTAGAGACGCGTAGTAAATGTAAGATCGTTCGTAATGCATATGTATTGTATATCTAATTGCTTTTTTTGTTTTAGCGAGTGCCCATACTGGAGAACACGGGGTTGACGAATATCCAGATATTAGCGGTATTACAACCGCTAGAGTAAGTAGGTATTGTTTTTGTAGTTCCGTTTTCAGCCTTCCATTGTAGGAAGCTATGGGCAAGATGCCAGAAGAAGACAAACAGAAAATTCTCCAACAAGTCGAATATTTCAGGAGTGAGAAGCTCAAATTTGATCGGGAAGTCGCAAAGTGGGACGACACCGGTAACGATATTATAGTCCTTGCGAAACATATGTGCATGATTATGATGGAGATGACCGACTTCACCCGGTAGGTCAATTGTCTTACTATCCATGACATTCTCATATCTTTCGTGTTAGGGGTCGTGGTCCGCTCAAAACCACCATGGACGTCATCAACGCCGCTAAGAAAATCTCAGAAGCTGGTACAAAGTTGGACAAACTTACCAGGCAAATAGCAGAACAGTGCCCAGAAAGTTCGACGAAAAAAGATCTTTTGGCCTACTTACAACGTATAGCGCTGTATTGCCACCAGATGAATATCACCTCAAAAGTAAAAGCTGATGTTCAGAATATTAGTGGAGAGTTGATAGTTTCAGGCCTTGATAGCGCTACTTCTTTGATTCAGGCAGCTAAGAATTTAATGAACGCTGTCGTTTTGACAGTCAAAGCGTCGTACGTTGCTTCAACCAAATATCCCCGACAGGGAACTATCTCGGTAAGTGTTTTTTTTTATGATTACTTAATTCGTACGCCGCTATATCGGATTATTTCTTTGTTTTAGTCTCCAATTGTCGTGTGGAAGATGAAAGCCCCAGAAAAGAAACCTCTGGTGAGACCTGAAAAACCAGAGGAAGTGCGAGCCAAAGTCCGTAAAGGGTCACAGAAGAAGGTTCAAAACCCTATCCATGCCCTTTCCGAATTCCAAAGCCCCACAGAGTCGGTTTAAGTAATATTATATATATTTATATATTTTTTATTTTACGTGGTCATATCTCACATTAATTTATACGTTTTGATGTCACTATGTACATTTTGCATTGGTATAATTATTTATTATTGTTAATTGGTCGTTGCCAACAAGATCTGATTAAGATGTATGGGTAGGAGCACGAACTGCACTGTGGGAAATATAAGCAATCATAAACAGTTTACATGTTTGTAACCATTTCTATTTTTGTTATTTTTCTAAAAATGTTTTAAGATAAAAGTGTGGCTTCCAATATTTGGATACTCATTTAAGTTTATAAGTTTACTTGGCAAGAACTGTTAACAACTTGCGTGCTTGCATACGTGGTAATAAATATCATTTTTACAGTAATGTGTGTGTAAGTCAGTACCTGCAATCACTAGAAGTTATCAAAAATGACGGAAATGTTAAAAAACGTATCATACAATCTAGTCATTTTGATTATCTGTTTTGCTTTTTTACGCGTGAAATTACAAGCCAACGGGGATAGGAAGTAATGGCGAAATAAATAATGCACGATTTTTAGCGTGGTGCGCAGTACTTTTTGTTCGTATTTTGATTAATCTTGAATTTTTTCTTTTGTGTCGTTATATAAATACTTTCCTTTGTCACTCGACCGTATCGTACGAGTAAATGTCGTTTATTGATCGCCGTGGAGTGGAGGGAAAACGGCGCATCCTCATAATGGTGCACTAAATACTTCGTCGTAAAATTTTATATCATGGATACTTACTTACGTAAAATATGTTTTTATTGATTCAATTTTGCTTTTATTTGAGGCATTTAGATACATGTGGATAAATTTTTTATGGGAAATCGTGTAGTTGAAAAGCTTTGGGTCGTCACAACACTCCCCACCGCAAAGTAAATTAAATTGTTCGTTCGCAAGTTTTTACGAGCCTGTGAGGAAATTGTTTTATTGATGATAATGGATAGGTTGTGTTGAAGTAATAACTAATTTGTAGTGGTTAGAAGTACGTGTATATTCATACGAATCAAAATTTGTCTTTCGTTGTTTCTTACCCTTACGCCAATACTCATTGATTAGAAAAAATTGACATAAGTACATTTTATTAATATTCACAATATAAAAATATTCCGATCAAACAATAAAGAATAAAACTATTTGATAATATATTTATTTAATTAGAAATTCTACCTCACAACTTAATTGTGTTATGATTATATGTATATATAATATATATTTATTCATTAAAAAACATTTGATATGTATACATAATGAACCAGCCTTTTATGTAAAATATTTCAATCCAGATAACCTTCAATAGAATTCGGCGCACACAGAACACAAACATCTTCACTACCAGTCGAAAAAATATATTATATTTTCGTGCAGATGTGATTGTGCGGACGTTCAAGTCGAAAGACTCACCTATAGCATATTGTTGGCAAATGTCAGGTCGTTATCTTAGCGTAAAGGTGTGTCTTTCGTCACTAACTAATGATATGTACAGAGAAATCACAATATTTGCATAAATCACATTGGCAAAGTGATCGTTCATCTGGCGAGAGGGGGCGCGTCAGGCCCTTTGAACGCGTTAGACCTTGCACCAGATGATTGCCAGATTGCCACTGTTTTACATACAATATTATTTATATAGAAATGTTGACTTAAACAATGAGAAAGGGAACCTGCAATGAAGTGCTGCACCATGTACGACAAAGAGGTTCCGATACCTTCGCATTGGTCTGAGGTGATGTCTGCCGGACCGGCCGGATTTTGTCTACACCCCACGCATTTTCGTTAGTGCCACACTAATTGTATTGGGAGTCGTTTGTTATTATCTTAAAAGTGATCACAATTATTACCTACTTATACAATTTGAACAATCGTATCACTCAACGTAAGTGCGAGCTTACGTTTTGTGCACAACTTGATTAAAAACATCCAGAGAGATTGAAACATTTTAAGAAACTATAAGTTGTAATTTCGTTAGAGATTGTGATCACACCGCTTTTTATAATCTAAGATATATTCCCTATTTTTTATATACCTAATGATATGTGACGTGATGTTCCAAAGTATCCTTTGGTGCTTGATATGTTTTCATAAGTCTGGTTACTTGGCCGTTGCTCGTGATTACTTACCCTCCGAGACAGAAGAGGGTGATTAACGGAAAAAGGGTATAATGATAGGGGACGGATCTTAGCGGACTCTGCTGCTTTACGAAGATAGACAGACAGATCTAGTAAGGAAGATAAGAATAAAAGGACTTGCTCAGGGGCAAGTGTGGTTGGGGGTGGGCGAAGAAGACAGCAGCAGGGTCTGGTATGGTTCAGTCTAAAAATCCTGTATTCACTAACTTCTCCAAGAAGAACTTTACATCTCCTAATTCTGAATCTTTGATCCCCAGTGACTTTAACATTCCAAGATCTCCGTTCTCTACCGCCATGAATACTGAACGTAAATGTTCTAAATCTGATCGCATTAGGTGAAGAGCGGCACCGAAGTCTTCGATCGTCTGTGATTCTACAACCACGTTTTAAAACTCCGACTCAAGAACCCTATTACTTACCTGAGAGTGCTATGGCAACTTTGTCAACTCCACCCAAGGGCTTCAAAGCATCTCGCGCCTTGTTGCCGAACAACTTCTCCAAGTAATTTGGTCCGTGACTAGCTAATAAAGACTTTAAAAAGCTTCCAGTCTCTTCAACTGGTGGTCGCTTTGCCGCTGTGCATAATCTTGAATCTTCATCGTACCCATCTGGACAATCAGGAGCTCCATCGCAGAGATACTGAATTGATATGCAATTTCCGTCTCCCGGACACTTAAACGGCTCGTAAGGGTGGCAAGCATCACCTAAAACGCCGGCTTGCATCACTCGGATGTTCTCTTCCCAAACGAAAAATTATTCGCGAAAAGTGAAAAGTGCATAGCGATGACGTTATTGATCGGTTTAGTGCGCCTCTTTCATAAAATTTTCTTTAACTCACCATTACGTTTGGAGCTAATGTGTCCATAAAGTCTACTAAGGTCTATGGCCATAACAGCATGTGGAAAAGTCGCACATACAGCCATCACTATTGTGACCAGTAGTAACGGGTGCGGCGAGAACGCCACCCTAACCATGGCTGGTGCTCAACGCTACTGGGGACGGAGAAGACACAGCTTACAATAGCACTCTCCTCGTCGCCTAGTATTATTTTATACTGGGAAACCGGTACGTACCTGCGTAACGGTTCCACACCAATCCGATTTTCCTTCGCGCGCACACACCCACCAGCTGTTGATTCAATCAATAGTTCCTAATGTCAACTACTTGTTTAACGGATGGGCATGTTTCAAATGTAACCCTTATATGACTTACTTCCAAGAAAAGGTCATTTATCATTCAGTCGTTTAGCTCCGTATACCTTTTTTATGTGAACTTTACGGTTTCATTACGTCGGGATCAATATAATCTTATACGCTCTACCTATCCGGTCACTGGATTTTTTTAATATATGTATATATATACACACTTTTTTTAACAAGAAAATGACCGAGACTTCAGTAATACAACACAATACCTCGAACTGTTTGTTATGCTGAAACAATTTAATTATTTTTTTTTTTTTTACAAACTAGGTTTGTCCTTTATCTTAACTTTTAGGAGTTTTGTATGTCCCTTTGCGCCTGAAAACACAGGAAATGCATTTAAAAAATTACTCCAACGTGTTGTGCAGGAGGACTTTATGTCTTTGTTTAAAGTTTTACTATATAACACAGGCACAACAATACATAGTGGAATTTTCATTAGTGCTAATTGTCTGACGTGTATTACTAATACATAGAATAAAAAATGATTGTAATCTTTATCGGACTGCGTGTACTAGAGAGAAATGGTAGAAACTAACAATTACATTTTCTCGTGACTTCGTAAAATAAAAATCTACATGTGTCAATTTTTTGTGCGTTGAGTTCATATCACCCGTCCGTCGCTTGTTGCGTAAACATCTCAACACCGTCATTACTTCATCCACTTTAGGTGTAAACACACGATCCCTCCGTTAAATTACAGTTGGAGCAACTAAGAGCGAGTGACGCTCGTGATTCTATAATAAATTGTCCTTAGGCTTATAAAAGATATTGTAGAGATTATTTACTTGTGCGTTTAGCGACCACGTCTTACTTATTGTATTATTATTAATTATTGTACATACTACTTAAATATGTAATATATTTGTTCCGCTCCCACGAAATACCACACGTAGTTTCGGTGTTCTCTGAAAATTGTATCTTATTATTACATTCTATGCTGGAAGCAGGCAATAATGTCTCATTAGTAGAAATGCCACACATAGATTACGATGCTCTCTCAAAATTGTATGTTATTACATTACATACTAAAAACAGGCAATAATATTTCATTAGCAGAAATTAAGTTTTAATTTATCGCATAAATCTGTTTCTGGAATTTTCAACCAGGAACGTGGGTTGGATTCTAGAGTGAAGTGAAAAGTCCCTTGATGATTGCCGGGTCAGGTATTATAGCAGTGAGACTCCTTGAATCACTATGTAGACACAGTAGACGATTAACAAAAAAGCAGGAAAGGTATTTAAGAAATGAAGTGAAATCATGTGCTACAGAGTTATTTGCTTTAATATTAATAAAACTTGATTTTATTACTATTTATAATTATTTCTTAGTTGTATTTTCAGCACACGCGAACATAGTAACCAGAAGTAAGATATCCATCTAAATAAAAGTGGAGTTCATTCTCTGGTTCCTTGTAATGCTTTCGTAAATCTTTATCACGTCACTCAGTTTTTCAAGTTACGCAAGTAAATAAAATTTACCACAAAATTGCGTTGTATTATGATATATGCATGTCGGGCGTAGGTTGAAGATTCAAATAAACTTTCAGACAACGTAAAATATGATGATGAGTAGTAGGTATCCCTTAAAACGTGTTCCGGAACGAAAATAATTTGAGCTATAAATCAGTTTTTTCGTTGTAAAATTTCAATAGCTGTTTGGCACCCGCGAATTTTGAACATTTTGACGCATCTGTGCATGATCACGGTAAGAGATAATAATGTCAACAATAGCTAAAGTAAATCATTGGGAAAACACTGGCACATAAATATAAAGAAAAAAAAATCCCACCGGGTGCAACGAAACTCGGCATTAATATGTAAATGGTGCTGCAAAGGAACAAAAAAACCGGAAAGGAGGATATAGCATGTTTAATTTTTATTATTCATTAATTACTAAGCAACGTGCGCAATCGATTAGGCTTAAGGTACAAATAAAGTGGGTATATTTTATGTATAGTCGACACAATTAATATTTAAGGGTCAATCTATTTTTTTGCGGACGGGTCTTTTTATTTATTTAAAGATCAATGTTTTCGGAAACACAGGTAAATAATTACTACTGTCACAATGAAAACGACCCATGTTTTTGGCCGAATAATCACACATAGTAGTTTTTGTCAAAAATTAGAATAGTTTGACGTAAGCTAGGGGCAAAAAGTAAAACAAGACCAGAACTCTCCCTTTCGTAATTATATTGCAAGATACTCGCAATTTCCCGTTTTACTGTAAAAAAACAATGTAATTTGTTGTCAAAGAAACTTAATAGATAGCAGCGACCCTTTATCTTTGAATAAACCATCCTCTTTGATGTTCGCGCATCACCGTTAAATTAAATTCCAGCTCTTGCGTTTCTTTTTACAAAAGATCTGTGCATAAATAACGACATCTTTGAAATTCGCAGACGTTCATCATTAGAGATTCACGGTTTCCGGGCTTGTAATGTAACACTTCAGATATATTTGTATTTTGAAAGGTTACTTATATTAGGTAGGTTCTGTAATTGAATGTCAAAGATCAAATGAACATACTTTGAGCATTCAGATAATAAAAAGAAGTCAATGGAGAGTTACTGCCTGGAAATTTTAGGCGATGTGTATGATATTTTGTAACCTTCAAAAAATAAATTTTCTAGTTAAAGCATCCCTTGAACAACAGTTAATTGCTAATTGACGCTAGTTAATTAAAATTCAAAACAACGAAAACTACTGAAACGGAGCGAAGCGAGCATATACATTAATACACCGAAAGAGATATGAGCGGATGGATAGATAGCCAACGTTTTTACGCATATGAGGAATATAAATAAATATGTTTTGGCGGTGGCGCCAGGTGGTGTAGTTCGATGGCACAAGTATAGAAAACAATTTATTCTCAGCATGAATGATAAATTTTGGACGCTTGTAAAAATCCACTTCTGTAAAAGCACCAAATTTGATGTAAAATCTACGCAAGTAAATAAACCTAACGTAGTTGCCCATTCACTTAAAAAAATGAGTATTTGACATTTGAACTATCAAAATTGGCAAAATCGCCAGTGCATCTCAACTATAACTCAGAAAAACAGTTTTCTAGCAAATCATTAAAAAAGACAATGAATTTTGTTTATGCATATCGTTGGAAAAAACGCCCGCTGAACTGAAACATGTTCCGCTTCGTACAGATTAGGCCCTTGATAAATATTAGATCGAAAAACTAGGTAACTTGAGAGCAAAGTTAGCACAACTGAAATATTTCTCATCCACAGACAAACACTCAGGCACAAAAAGTAGCTGCCTTTTCAGGGAGAATTTTTTTATTAGATTACACGCTCCAGCGATCGGTCCTTTATTGCCTTTGGCTTTATTAAGTTTTTTTGCAATCGATTAATTACGTTTTATTGTTACACAAACTGAAAAACTGCGGTTGTCATTACTGAAATATTGTGGATGGAATTGGAAACCTGATTAAACGACAACACGTGACCAATTTTACTCGTTAGAACTGCGGATGACGTCATAAAGTGAAAAACCAACATGTGCTTTAAAAGTGGTTAATTGAACACAGATTGAGTTCGTGATTCATGCATTCAAAATATGGACAGACAGATATAAATTACATTAAAAAATCTACAGTGTTCCCTCGTACACCTACAGAAAAATTGACACAGTTTTGTGATTTTGATTGTAAATAAAGTATAATGTTTTGACAATGCTAGTGTCAACTCATCTTTTATAAATTTCACTTTTCGATTTTTTTTTTAATTAATAGATCTTGTGTAAAGCTTATTATATGTGAAATAACACACACAAGAAATGTGTAGCACCAAAGTTCAACATTTGCGTACCGACCACGGTGGTAGAAGTAAGGTGTGGAAACCTCATTCATAACTTTCCTCAAAATCATTGGTAGAAAACACAAATCGCGTGGTTTGGATTATATGTCATTATCTGTCCACACCGCAGCGACGTCTAGAGAGATCAGTTGAAATTAAGTAATAGAAAACTGTATTAAATCTTTGACATTTATGCCAATGTCATTTATTACCCAATCACAAATGTCGAATCATCCACCAATCACACGATTCACACCAAAGACCAACCACAAACCGTAGTGCTGTGATTTATTTTCCCTCCAACGAATCTGTCACTTATTTCATTCATAAATACACTGACAAGTTGAAATGTTAATACATAGATGGACATACTGTGCTGCATACTATTTCGTAGTAAATAAGCCTACTGGGATGCGTGTTTTATTCAACAAATTGGAGCGGCTTGTTTCCACACCTTACTTCTACCACCGTGGTACCGACATTCCAACTTTGGACAAGTGATTACGAATTTAATAAGTCCATAATTAACTTTAAAACTTGATGGTTAGACAACCCTTTATATACATATGACAGTTTGGTTATCTGTCCATGCGAAGCCTATTTAGAATATTTGTTGTATTTATTGATTCATTCATAAATACTGCCATTATTCATTTTGCATTTTACTGCAAAAATATGTAATCGTACAAATATGTAATCAGCACAAATATTCCGAAACTTCCAACTAATTAAAAATTTAAGGTATTTAAACATTGTGGCAACAGCGCATACTCACCAATGACAGTTAAAGTGGGCGGGGTATCGAATGTGTTTACGTTTCTAATCCTTTGCAACTGTGTTGTTAATTTAAATTGGGTGTGACATGAACAAAATATTGTGAAAATTTCACCACAAAAACGTTGTTTATAGTTGTTTTTTTTAGTTTATTGTTTTAATTTAGTGTTTTTTAGGATGAAGTTGGTAGCTAGATTAATTATAAGCTAATGGCTAAATTAATTTCAAGCTATTGATTATTCCCCCAATGTACACCTGTTTTCTCTAGAAGAATCTCAATTAAGGAACTTATCCGTCCAATTTACTTACATTCGTACATATCAGAAACATGGCGATATTAACTTCGTGCTGGTCTCCATGCATTTGGACCAACAACCTCAAGACCAGCTGTAAAGTGATTGCATTTTATACGGTTGCTATGAGTATAGTTGTGATGACTTTTATTATTTTTGATATGTCTGGAGGAGACTCCACACAATTGTACAATCCATTGTTTGAAGCAGATATTCGTTATTGTAAGTTAAAATTGTTTTTATTTGGGTTGTTTATATTTATTGTTTTATTAGCAATGCAAGTCGTTGGAGGATGTTTGTTGCTCTTCTTTGTCTACCTCATTGGATCAGCTATATTACTGGTTGTTGGTTTAGGCAGGATGAATCGTGGTTTGATGTTACCATGGATGGTGGCATTTGGAATTGTTGTATTGTTTCAGTTAGTGTTTGGGTTATGGCTGCTTGGAGGTTATTACATTTATGTGAGTATAATTGGTAGATTGATTAAGTTTTATGTCAAATTCAATCAAGTAGAATACTTCATTCTAAATCAGTATGGCAACACGTCAAACTTAAGCCAATAAATAAAGTAGCATTTACATTTAATCCGGATCGTGCGCATGCGTATAACTTTGTACACTACTTCTCTACTATATTAAAAAAGTTAAAACTTATGAGACATTTAGAACTTCTCTCCTTGTATTGTTTAGGGGTGGTTTAGGTTTGTTTACGTGTAGCTAAGATCAGCTTTTATGTAATATTATATTTTATGTACTTTAATATGTGAACATTTATTTTCAGTTGGAAACGGTTCTCTACACATTCGTAATTTGGTCGTGGATGACGTACAACGTAAGAAATTTGTTAATTTGTGATAACATAGTTTCAGGTACTTTGTAAAGCTTTATTAAAATGATATTCTTGTAGGGATATTGTTGGTTGGTGGTTTATTCCCAGTATCAAGTATTTGAAGAGATGCAATCTCCAAACATTGAATTATTGTGGCCTTAATTATATATGTTTATATATTATTTTAATTCTTGTAGCATTTAGATGCACTGTTAATGACAATAAAATGTTTTTTTATATTTCTTTTATGTGGTGGTTTCATTTAGATCATCAGATAGTTGTATAACTTAATATTATATCGTTGTATCTGAAGGATTTGCCTTACTAGATCCAGCTTTATAAATAAAGATATTGAAACCACTAAATGACTAAAACGAAACATGGTGCACAGTAAAATATCATTTTGCTTTAAAATGTAAACATATAACAATGTATAATTTTGGTAACTATTCTCAGACCAGTTTAAGAATGATATATTGTTTTATAAGAAAGTATATATAACCTGAATTGTATTAAGTTTAAAATAAAATGGTTTCTCGTAAATGTTTTATCAAGCTTTATTTCAAATTATGCTCTAAAGCGTCATTTGGAGTCATAACTTCTTAATTTCGGTCAAAAATATACTCACTGCTGCTTCGGATCTTCTCACGTCAACATCTCCCAACATTCACTGACCCTAGTCCAGAAGAGATTGCATAGGTGTCATTTTTGCTTCACCTAGCTGCAACCGATACATCTTGTAACACTTGCAAATTGCAGACACATCGTTCCGAAATCCACACGTCGATCGAAATTGCGTATTGCATTATTTATTTTCCAATGTAACACAGGATGCACGTTTCAAACGTTGCCATTTGAAAACTTGAAACTAGATGAGTTATCTTTCGGTTTTAGTAGCACGTTCCGCCAATAAAACCTACATTGCAGACTTACTACAATAGGAAGGAGCTATGCAAAATTACGTGAAAAGAAAATGTCAAACATTAGAAAAACGGGAAGGTATCCCAGGTCTGATAACACTGATAAGCGCAATCTAAAAGTAAAGAAATTTTGCAATATATTTTGATATATGCAACACAAAATACACACCGGTTTGAATTATCACGTATAGCAATTGTAAAGGAAGACATAAAATAAACAAGATTTGACAAAGAATCTGGAATATTCGATAACAATAATAATATTACCCTGACAGTAAGAGAAGGTTCCATCGTCAAATATACTGTTCCCCCGTTAAAGGCGAATAGTAATTTCTAGAATCATTTATTGTTCACAACAAAGTAAGAATAATACTGCAGAAATTACAACAACGTAATAGATATCATGATTCTAGATGCATTCAAGGAACGATAGTAGTTAGATAGTGGGGGTTCTGGTTCACTTTTTGGCGACAAAATCTGGATTAGTGCGCATGCACAGCAATTTTCCCGCTTAAAAATGAGCCAGAATTCGCACATGCGCAGAATCAAGTTAGCTTGAAGCCCCATTTTGCCGCCAAAAAATGATGAAGAAAAGGGAAAAAATTTTACAGAGCATCAGTAGTGAAACTTTAATCATAACAACTTGAAACATTTTGTGCAGGAGACATGGTCGAATGAATAAATTATATTCCTTTTGCACTCTGCTCCAAAAATGCCAAAAAGATGCCTTTAAAGCATTGAACGGTTGCATGGTTTTTAATCAAGACGACTAAAACTCAAAGAAAGGTCATGACTCTTCCCCTTATTTTACTCTTGCTGAAGTATACACACAACTCATGGTAGAGGGAACGCCGAAAGGAAACTAAAAAAGAAACTATCGAGAAGTGGTTACGAACAACAGCTTGACGAAAGAATTCCAGAGAAGGAAATGTTTTAAGCAAGATTCGAAGACAAGAACAGTTAGTCTGGTGAAGGATTCAGTTAGTGCAAGAAACCACAGTTAATGCAGTTAAAATTGTCGAGAGTTGTAAACAGAACTGAAAAATTTTGTGGAGTTTCCGTCAAAAATAATGTTAGTGATAAAATCATTCAGGTGAGAAGGGTTTCTCACTTAAATACGGTAATTTTTGAAGTTATGTGTTACAACTAGCACAACATAATAAAAAAATGTAAAAGAATACAAAAACTGGTCAATGTACCACAGAATGACGTTATTCACGTTCTAAAAAACCGACTTAACTAAGTGACATTTTTTCTGTTGGGCGAAATCTAGGACGCCGATATATGACACCAAATACTTTAGTACATTCTGGGCATGGGATGGGCTTGATTATTTACAAAAACGGCAAATGTCGAATTTATTCGGGTCATAAGGCACCAAATGTTTTCAACATGTAGTCGTAGTCCCTTATTTAAAAACGTGTGGTAAGCTGATATTTTAATGCATTTTATAACCAGCATCATAAACAATCACTCTAGTATATTTTAATTCTATTTGAGCTTCTGTTTACAAATTCAGTTGTTTATTTCTCGCACAGAGATTTTTAAAAAAGACGTCCCACGAAATTTCCCCTCCAATAAACTGAAGCTGTTTATTAATACAAAAACTATTAAACATCGTTTGTTGCGTTGTGGGCACGCGCTTGTTCGGTATTAATAGGTAATCGGACACTCAGGTTACGTATCAACGTATCGCATGAGCCCAGCATGATCAAATAACCAATTGTAAACGGTTGTTTCGCATGTGTTTTTATGGCCGGAAATACACATATTTAGTTGGAAGACACTTCGTGATTCTCGGTTTGAATGTATAATTTGCGTAATAAGGGCAAGTGTGGTAAAGTTAGTGCTCCCGAAGTGTGTTAATTCGATCATTATTCATTCGAAGAGTTGTGTGATTTGGTTACTTAAATCAATAACAGTGTTGACACTGTTCAAAATACGTAAATTGTTTTAGTTTTTTTGTTGCAGGAAATATTTCATCACGTTAAAATTATTGGTTATAATGCAGGCCCCCAGCTAGTCGTACGAAGTGTATCTATATTCCACAGATAATCATTTTCTAAAACCATCATTTTGTTAGGTGGTATAATTTACAGTTATAAGTAACTGAATAGTGTTGTGCAACAGCAATTTAACCCACATCATGTAGCATAATATTATTGAATATTCTGTTTTAATATATTCCGGCGGAGATATGTGTAATGCGATCGTTATTTGGAACATATTTTTAAAACGTCCCAATACACCAGCCTTTCCAGTTTTCGTAACGTAAGTGCATAATTTATGAAGATCATACTTTCGTTTAAAGCATCTAAAACAAAATTGAGTGCTTTTAAGACGAACGTTGAACCAGCTGCTGATTGAATTTTCAATATACTGTAAATAGAAACGGTTCCGTTTTTAAAAAGATTTATTCAACCGGCAGTTGGTTAAATTTGCCAGTTGGTCCAACTGCCCTCTGAACACATGGGGGCAAAATCATCACCAGGTGTGGTTTTTACAAATACGCCCTGATGATCAAATTGATAGAAAACCCACTGCATTTTGGTGTAAAAACTGTGTGATGTTCGTCGTGTATTTTTCATGAATAGATGAAATACACTGTATTAAGTGAATGTGATCCATGTCGTAAGAAAATGGTGCGCTGTGGGAGTTGTAAGAACAATAAAAAAACCTGATTTATGTAATTCCTTGTGTGCACTTGAGAAAAACTCCGCAACATAATAACCACATGTTCGAAAATGAGTGTTAAACAATACTTCCGGTTTAAGCTCTTGCCTTCTGTTTATGTTATTTCAAGTGGTGTTGTAAAGTCTTCGGCAAAAGCTATTAACTTCTGTCAAATATTTCGGTCGGATTATGCATGACTGATGTTGTTGTAAACGTCTGAACATAAAAGACCTAAACATTCCTAGCAGGTAGAGGCCTATTCACTTGTTTTCATACAAAGGACACTAAATACCTAAAGAGGGTGACAAAAATTTTTTGAATTCCTTTGAAATGAATTATAGCGTGCGTGTGTCCGAATTATCTGAAAATTTTCATCGCGTAACTAGCACACATATAATTGTAAGTAAAAAGTGATTAGTGGCGTTCGTGCGTAATTTATTCAAATAACGAAGCGATAAAATAAGTTAAATACCCACTTATTGTTTGATTTGAAATGGGAGTCACATTTGAGGGTCTATACCCTCGAATTTGGGACAATTTACTAACAGCATTAGCGCTTAGTTAACTGCATATTTATGAAAACAAATATTTTCCTCTTGTTAGGTACCATTTCGGTAGCTGCACACATTCCACACGATATCCGCTAGATTGAAATTCATTCATTCTCATGCACGGTGGGTTCTTCCGACTGGGGAACTTCAGATGCTCGTGGGAACATTAAAACAAAGTCTAAGTCTTCGTGCGTGAATGAATATGCCCGCTGGATAAGCAGACTTTCACTTTATTCCTCGTGTGATATATTATTATGAAATTGTCAAAGATGTTTCGGAATGTGTCGCAACGTACTCAGCGTTGCTTTTGGGAACAGGTGGTGATCTCGTGATCTCGTGCTCGCCTACAAGCCCTCACTATTCTTATTCTATATATTTCACTTCAAATATTTCCATCCTGTTTCCCTTCCCAGCCTCCCACTTCAACATTCAACTTTGCCCACTTTGCCAGTTGCCACTTTTATATTCGGTGTTTTTATTGTTAGTTGTGCGGTTGTCTGCTGGTGGTACGTCACTGCGTTGTTTGTTTAGCCAGTTAGTCGAAGATAATAGTTTGGTCGGTGACGAATTCGGAGTTTCGCGGTTTGTGGTAATTCGCTGGATGGTCGCTTGACTCAGAATGCCCTTGTTTTTGACAGTGTCAAATCGTAGTCAAAATTTGGCGATCAGTGCGTGCAAAGTGCGTGAGTACCGTCAGTTCGTCGCCGCGTTTTGTTTAACGCAAATTGTTGATTTTGTAGGTACAGTGTACGGTGAAGCAACTTGATGTACACAAGATTGGCTCACTTCTTTTTTCCAAAAAAGCTATTTCCTGAATTAGCCACATCGTGCCGTTACACAATTATGTGTTTTAGATAACAAAAGTACATGTAGGTATGTGCCTACTGGGTATTTGTATATTTTTAGACTGTTTACAGCGTGTTGTTGTGTGCTTGCCTAAGTCTATTCATTCAAATACATATAACAAACGAACTATTCAAAATAACAATAATTTCCTGATAACGTTGTTCATATCGAGGTTAACTAGCTTTTTTCTGTCGTTATAAGCCACATGTTCATGTTCTTTACTTGTGCTCGACGAACACATATCCGACTACGACAACAAAACAATTAAAAGTAAATTACACATGTAATTATACAGCCTGAGGAAGACTTAAGTAAATAATTAATGTAAATATTTCATTAGCTTGGTTATAAAATTAGCTAGCAAATAACAACATCCTGAAGGATATTATCGTCAAACATAATTTCGAATCGCTTTAAAAATCATCTTTTTTTTCACTGATGAATGACGAAAATTACCATGAGTCAACGCATACTACTTTTTTCTTCGAATCCTAACATCATCAAACATAATAACCGCATTATATTGTAAATTTTTTTTCGTTGAAAATTGCGCGCCAATTTGGTAACTAGTTGTTGTCAAGTGAAAGACGGACTTAAAACGGGCGATGACTATTGACAATGATCTTTTTTGATGATAGATCTTTTGAACGTTCAAAAATGAGTGATTGGTTAATACTTTTATTAAGTGGTTTCTTTGAGCTGGGTGAACCTGTTATTCTTAGTACGAAATGAAACATCGTTCAATGGCGCGAACAACTTGACTATAAATATGCGTAGTCGATAACGTTGTTATGGCTTGGACGGTCTTCAATGCCCCGGTTGTGGCAGCCAAATAATATTAATATGTTGCCGCCAAAAGATAAAATGCACTGGATATAATGATAAGTATCATAACCCGCGTTATTCGGTATGACTCACGCCCATATTTTGGTCAATTTACGTATTAAGAGTTTTTTCACCAGGCAGTTAGAATATAAATAGATATTATCAGAACAGTGAACGTACTTTTTTAAAAATAATGTTTATATAGATATCAAAATTGTTGCAGCGAAGTATTTTCTGGATAACCTTGACATTTACGACGTGCATTAATACTGTCGTAATCGTCCGAATTAATTCGCGCACAGTTCGTTCGTTTCATGGACGCCTACGATTTCAAATTTACCTGAACGTGTAATGCATATTAATTTTTTTTATGTATCGTTAAAAATTTATATTGGCACGTCAATACAGGTAATTTTTTGTCATGTAAATGTCAATATTAGTATAATTATACAGTAGTAAGTACACGTAACGTCACAACCATGACGTCAGAGCATTTCATAATTATTTTTAAAATGCGGCACATACGAAAGGTATTTAAGACACGTCCACACATTGTCATGCATGGATTTGCGTTCTCTATGATCAGTAAAAGACGATATCAAATTGATATTCCGTGTTCGATTGTATTTCTAATCGTCAGTCATAACGTGTTTGCATATTGTCAAGTTGAAGTTTAACTAACCTGTTTGTGGTGTTTGATCAAAGTTTTGCATCAAATGTCATAATTTTGCCTCAAGGATACACATTTGTAGATTGTTGATAAGGTGAAATACTCGGGACAGTGTGATATTAAGGGTGTGGGGACAAAAAATCTGCACAAATTTCAAACTAGAATAACTGTATTATAAAAGCAGGTATTAATAACGTGATCAACAACATTTATAAAAACAACTTTAAAGAACACAATCTGCATCATATCTGCTTGCTTTACGAATTTTTGTTTTAACACGACGCATTAAATTTGTAAAAGCCGATATTTTTGTTTGCCGTATTTTCAGCAGTATACGCTTCTTTAATTCTGCATGTGTCGAGGCTTCCCATCCATTTTCGTACACATTCCTCTTTAGGTTTCTCCAAAAACGTTCAATTGGGCGTAGTTGAGGTACGTTGGGAACATTTTTGTCCTTAGGGATAAAAGGAATGTTTAACTCATTATATGCAGTAATAACGTTAGCTGCGTAATGAGCTGTTGCCATGTCTGGCCAAAATACAAAATTGCCATCCGAATGCTTTTCTCTTATAAAGCGGACAAGTCGAGACCTAATGCACTGTTTTTCATAAATATCTGCATTAACAGAATTTCCAGATGAGCAAATAAACGCAGTAAAATGTCCACGTGAAGAAATGGCCAACCAGACCAACAACTTGGACTGAAATTTTTTATAACGTTTGAATTTCACTTTATCATCTACTTCTTCTCCTTCCTTGCAATAGAAATGTTTATTGTTAGCAGTATCGCTACCATCAAAAGTGAAGTAGGATTCGTCATCGATGATTATTTCAGTTCCATTTGAGGGGGAAAAAGCGGATTCAGAAAGATGCCTTAATTTTCGTTTTTGTTCCAGCTTTTGTTTTTCTGAATAATTGGGGGCGGATTTTCGCGTTGCAAGCTTGACATTATTGTCCTTTAATATGTTGCTAACATACTTTTTGTCAATTTTAAATTTCCGTCCAAGCTTTCTTAGTGAAACACCAAGTTTACCGTGACTTTGATTGACTAAGGCTTCTCTCTTCTTCTAGGGCATTTTTCTTGCTGGTCTTCCGCTTCCTACTTGTCTTTCTACCGAATTCCCATTCTCTACTCTTCAGCAAATGCTATAAGTTGTCCTTTTTGATATCCCTATTTGGAAAAAGTGATTAACGGTGAATGACTTTTTTAAATGCATATGCCTTCTATAAAATTCGGCAATCACAGATCGGCGATCATTTTCATTTAAGTGTTCCATTATTACAAAAAATATTGAAACTTTCAAGAGGAACTAGGCATAACAATTTTTAACAACTGTCAAAAAATGTCATAACGTCAACCGTCATTTTTCTCAAAGCTAACTCGATTTTCGGTAAATTAAAATTTGTGCAGATTTTTTGTCCCCACACCCTTACATTTGTATAATGAACAGTAATATTTTTGTTCATGACACTTTGCAAACCGATGACACTATGACATTTTTATTTTTATAACTTTACTAACTCTGACGTAAATATGACATTTAGATTTAGAGGAATGTAGTTACGCCAATAGAAATAATTTTAGTACCTACTACATACATCATTTATTTGTAGGTATTACCTAATCTAGAATGTAAAATAAATCTGAGATGTAAATTACGCTGATGTGATTTCATTTCTGACATCAATGTATGACTTTCTCAGATTTAATTTTTTTCTATTCTGTAGGTAAAAGTTAACTTGCGTTACAAGATGGTTACAGGTGATACAGAACCATAAATGACTCAGAATATTTGTTCTTTTACCTTCAAAGAACGCTTGAACAATGCTCAAAAGGGTTGTTTGCACTTTCAATAGGGCTCATAATGCGGTGTCATTAACACTGTCAAAAATATAATCCATTTCACAAGTAGATAGCCATATGCAAAGTTTAACATTTCTAAATCTGGAACGACTACTGTATCTACCAATTCTTGGGATAATTTATGATTAACTTATTATCGGGCGACTGTGATGTGTCATTGTTTAGACTGACTTGCAAAAGAAAAATTTCTAGTTTTGCAACTTTTTGACGCATTAATAACCTGATTTTGAAAATATACCACATTTGGTTTTTTGTTGATAACATACAGAGTGGTGACGTTCACTGGTTAATACTGTAATCTCGGAAAGGGTAAACGATAAAAAGTCGGTTAAATTATAAAAATGTTGTGCAATTTGATTACAAATAATTATCTAGTATTTATGAAATATAAATGTTGCCAAAGATGAATATAATCTATTTAGGTCCAAGACTACTAGAGTTTGAAATAGTGCATTATAAACACTCTCATTTGCACTTTGCCGCTTGCTCGAAAAACGGTCTGCACTCCGATTATTCCGCTTTCCGGAAAACTGCATTTACTATAGGTGAAAAAACATAAATAGTGTGGCATGCGTGTTTTTTGGTTTATTACCACAATTAAAGCCTTGACAAGCTAATGGAACCATGGGCCAAAACCATTGTTTTCGAGAATTAACATAAAACGGCTTCAGTTCAGCTTTATTCATTGCTGTTGGTACGTAGATAATATATATGTGCAAACACAATTATTGACACGTAGCTCCTTTAACTTTTTACTTTTCAAGGTTTCGATTATTAACGTTCTATGTAAAATAAATAATTATTAGTTTCCAAATAAAAAAATGTTTGTATAACAGTTAACTAATTTTATAGTTCTTTCCTTTGTATTGAATTCTGGATAATAATAATAAAAAATTTATTTGACTGAAACTACTTGTACTGTTATTTCCTGTACAAATGCACATTAAAATAATAATGATAAAATAAACAAAGATGCTGTGTTTACATCCGTTAAATGTTGCACGCTAAAATTACATATTTAATAATAGCAAGAACAAAACATTGTCTGTCACATTGTATACATAGTTGCATTGATTAGAAATTATATTGTTTGTGTTATATATACATGCAATCGCTGGCTTCACAGTGTTATTATTTCTCTAGTTGAACCGTAAAATATATCCTGCGAGAATTACATCTAGGAATAAGGAAATTCAATTTGCTTGTTTTATAGACCCTATATTTTTAATTGAGTTTACCTCTGACAGGGGAACCACAAAGCGCCTATCTCGATTAAAATTTCAGAGAGAATTGAGATCCCTAAATGGTTCATTAGAATTTTAGAACTTCGTTATTTGCGTAGCCCGAAGTTAAAGAGCCGAAATGCAAAACACTATAAAGTGAAATTTTATATAAATTCGTTTTTTATATTGCCGCATTTAATTAATTTAAGCTATACTAATAACATAAATTTAAGATGTATCTAATGAACACGTATGGTGCAACGATGCTATCTTGGATGTCTCCAGCTGGATTGAATTGTCATAATCACTACTAATGATTACATTACAGTGTTATTGGTCGTTTTTATTTCAATATGAAACTATCGTATTTACCATACCTGGTTTATTTTCATACAGTGACGGATCAATTATTCAGCTTGTCAAAACAAGTGACGTTTGACTTTTAAAAACGCAAAAATATGCGTCTTTTCGTTTCTATTAACCTTTATACAGAGCAGATTTGTAATTCTAGGTAAATCTCAGGTATATGTAATATGTACTTTGCAAATCTGTGTGTTTGTGCGACGTCGCACAAATCTGGAACTCGACATAATAAATAAATACAGTTTAATATTCCACTACAGCAAACACAGAAATGGAATTTTTTAAACCGAGTTGACTATCTACTTACTAGAGAACACAACGGAGGTGCGAATTTGCCTAAAGGTGTATAAATGAAAGAACACATTATTTCACCAGTACCTACTTCGCACATGTTATTTACATAATTGATAAGTTATGGAATCAATAAATTATCGCGGTAACACGAAACGAAAAATCTATTCGCGATAACTCCTCTAATAAGAGATGTTTATGAATTCACAAAGTTGCAAATTATATTTATGTTTTCCGTTAAAGATAAGTGATCTTAAAATAGTATTGGATGATATTAAATCAGTTGTATATAATTAGTAAGTTAGTCTGTGTTTATGCTGTACCCATTACTGTTATATGTAATGAAACAGGAAAAGCGACTATTATTCAGGTATTTTCTGTGGTGTTATGAGTAGGAAATGAACGATCATAATTATGGACTGTACAATTTTATAACTGTTTAAAACGTTGTCGAGAATATAAATGTGACGTTGATGTTTGTTTTATATTTATGAAAACTTTAGCAACCAAATTATATTATCAATGTTAATAATCCAGGTGTTGGAAACTTCGTTTAAAATTATAAATATTTGTGGCACCGTACCCACTTCAACTTTTATATTTGCAAATGAAATTAGTGTTACATGATTGCAAATAGGAGAAGTTAATGAATGTGCAAATGCTATTCAACACATATGTATTTACACATCAGTATTGTAAGATTTAATAGGTACTAAAATCCCTGAGAGAGTCTTGGTAAATTCGAAAATCATGTACGTGTAGCATGTGGGTGTAGAAATTTAAAATAATTTTTACATTCAACTATATCAAGCCTCAAGCAATTTTTGGGCTTTCCCAATCAGCCTGTTTTGAGAATTTTTTGTAAATCTTAAATGTCATGTTTTTTGTGACATTGACATTAATGTTATTCATGTAAAGCCAGAGCAATTTACAACATGCATTAGTATGTTTGAGTGCGTCTTTTTAAATAAACACTCTCAGGTATGTCTTTTATTATTTGTCTATAATTGGCTATGACATCAAATCTGTAAACGTTTGATTGTAAAAGTTAGTTTCCAATGTATTTTATTAGGAACCAGTTGCAAAATAAGGTATGTTATGTCATAACACCAAAATAGAATTTGTTATATCACGGTGTACGGTGGACATTAATCTTCAAATGCTTAGCGGGAAAGATAAGTCCAACATACGATTTATTATGTATGAATTTTTTGTCTAAATTTGAAGCTTATGAATAGCTGGCAAGCACATTTTGTATTCAGTGCTCAAACATGTTGCTTAACTTGAGTAACAACGTAATTTAGCTTAAGTAACACAGTGACTAATCCTTTCTTTTGGTGTTTGTTGAAGGTAGAGACCATGTCTCAGAGAATCCTTCGTTGGTGAGGAGAGAGGGAAATGAGCCTGTGTGACCCATATCAAGAGCTAGAGCTCTATCTCGAACGGGCTAAAGTAAGTACGAGTAAATTATTCCACATTCTATATTTCATCCAGTTCACAATAATTTATTTAAGTACGCCTATTAATTACAACAATAAATTAAGCTTAAAGGGTTTACATGCATGTTTTTCCATCTTCAACACATACAATTTACATCTACTGAATGTCTGCACTTCTCTCATTACCATTTTCTTTTCTACCTACTTCTAAAAAATACGGTACACCTAAATTTTGCAAATACTTCAATTTCCTAGGCGAATTGACTCCAAAAAGAGTCCTCCAGAACTGGGCAGCAATATTCTTGGAATTACTCTCAGAAAAACTTTTTTTCCCTCTTGCAACATAAAAAGGTTCGTTGTCATTTACATCTTTATCGTCTCGTCGCACCAGAATCCAGTGTGGTTCCTCCGCGTACAACTTACTTCTAGAATAAGTAGGGTCCTTCTTCCCCCTGTTAGCCCAAAAGGGCCCAAACTCATCTTGTCCAGGTGATCTTTTAACACATCCTCCACCCGAACACGACACGTCGTCTTCCTGTTCCAAGACGATCGGTTCTTCATACGTGAATCGATCATTCGAAGCTCTCTTCCGTGGTTCTTGCGCCTGCAACAGTTCAATTAGAAGTAGTACAAATGACACGATCTAACCCTAATCACGTGTACGCCCGTTAGAGTTAGTAAGAGTAGCCATTTTATCGAAATAAGCATTGTGTTTCTGCGGCTGCTATAAAAATTGCACTGACCACTCGCAGAACTACTGCCCTTTAAATATACTCCGGTAGATTCTCTGGAGCTTGTAAAGGTAATTCGGCCTCCGGTCAGATTGGATTAGCCATGGGAATGTGGGAATTTATTAATGTTCTGTCACTCACAGCGTCGTTGTTTCGCTTCAGATTTGTTTCTTCCGGTGTAGTTTAATGTTGGATGTACTTTTGGAATGAAAATGGGGGTTTATAAGAAATTCCCGAATGTAATAAAGTCCAGCTTCAGAAAAGAGCAACAAGAATATGGCTTCGGGCTATTTTGTTTTTGTTAATATTTTGGAGATTTTGATGAAGAAGTCCTGCGAGGGAAGGAAAAATAATCTCTACTTTCATTTTGGTAGCTCTAATAACAGTCAAACTTTTGTGTCTATGAACTTTTGTGTCTATGATGACTTATATTAGTCGCCAATAACATAAGTTAAAGGTGACTTTAATTGTCGCTTTCGTAACATGTGAATTAAGTGCCGATCCTTGTTGCCCTCTAGCGGATCCAAATTTAATCACGTACTTATGAAAATTCCAAAAATTGTTTTAAATTGACTGAAGAAATTCGTATCGAAATGAGATAACGCGTCAAGGAAGAAGTAAATCGACCCATATCTAATATTTTATTTACAAGTTATCAATGGGAAGCTTCAGATATTTATTTTGATAAAGAGTTACATGTACATTGTACACTTCCGTTATTGAAGTTTTCCTCGTATTTTAAGTCCCCTAAATTACATATTGCACTGACGCCATTTTTCTATTGATTCAGATGTCTTTATCTAAAGAAGAGACATATATTTATCGGACAGAATTCCTATTAACTATGATGATTCCTAATTAAAAATAGACTTATCGATGAAAAATCTAACTCAAACATGATAACCATGTCAGGGTTACAATAATACACATTTGTTTTTGTCTAAAAACTTTAAATAGAATGTAATATTTATTTGTACACGTAGATCTTGCTGAAAATGTAGAATTCATGCTTTTTGTGACAGTATGAACTTTGTGGATTTTTTGCTGCAGTTGAATGACTCAGTGGATTTGACATCTGCAACGTCGTGCAGCTGCAACATAAATAAAGAAATTCTTTTCACTGGCTTTTCCTGGATGTATTTTTTGCTGGAATTGTAACATGAGCTTAAATAACCCTTTTTTAAGTAATTAAGATTATATTAGCTTTTCTTACATCTAAGACTTAAGTAACAATAGAGCTACAAGCTTGACACTGGATGTCGTTGGTCGTAACATTTTTTACACAAATTTCACAAGACGAAAATAAAAGATCTACTCTTTCAAATTCTAGGAGCTATAGGAAACGTCGTGCAAACATCAAACGCTCGAGAAATAATAGTTCTGTTGTTATTGTTTTTATAATTACTGTGTGTTTTTTCTTTACAAATTGTACATTAACTACAGGCTCAAGGTTAATGGTTTTCATTGTAAGATGTATTACATGAAGTTACACAATTTGTGTTTTTAATTATGTATATTTGAATTTTTGTTTCGAAACAGAACTATGACTAAAAGTTGGCAAAATGGTAGTAGCCATTACGGTTCAAGTTTCATATAACCCAATATAGTTTGATGGACGTCTCTGCCAAAAACAAAGTAATTGGGTTTTAAACGTGCAAATCTTGGCATGTGAAATTTTGCGTCGGCCCTCATTCCTTTACGTTGGATAAGTTGAAAATAAAGTATTTATTGCTAGGTGAAAAAGTTCTGGAATCTTGGTGTAACTACCGATGTACATTTTTAACGTTGATTTTCGTTTACTTTTCGTTCTTTATTTCTTCGCTTAATTTTACGAAGGTAGGAGTTTGTCCACCTCATTTATCATTAATTTGACCTTGCGGCTATAGTATTGAATTATTGACCTCCTTAGAATAATTAACTAAGTGGAGAAAGCATTGTTTCACGGCTGTAAATTACTTACACATGAACAATCTACCTCTGGGTAATTCACCGTTCATTACATTTTCAGAAAGAAATAACGCAAGTTTTTGAAAATGGAACTCTTGAATCGAATTCTAAGTCAGCTCTCGAAGAGGATGTTACCAAAAATGATAAAGTCGAATATGAATTAGATCCTTTCCTTGTACAGTTTAATGCTACAATAAAGTCAGATTTGACGGAGTTACTGTCTAGATATATAGAAAAACCAAATGAAAATGAAGTCGGTTATGCTATCGTCGACAAGAAACTTAACGACGTCGACGACGTTAAATGGACTTTTGAAAATCTTCCTTCATTTAATAAGGGTAGTGATATTTACAATAACGACAGCGAGGACAAGTCTTTGTTGAGCGAAAAACTCTACAATGGATCCAGTTTTGAATCATTATTAGGTTCCGTGAGTTGTTATAATTGTTGAAAACGCATGAAATATAAAAAAATATGTGTAGGTAATCGTATCCGAAAATCGAATAAATGCAGCAACGCAAACATCCCCCTCGTTATCGCCAACGTCCAGTAATTTAACGTGGGCATCCGAATGTTCATCATCCCCTTGCCTGACATGTACGTCCGACAGCGATTTAATCGATGAGGATTCCCACTCGGCTTCGTCGGACGGAAAAGGGCAGTTTTTGTCTACGTGGAGTTATAAACCAAATTGGCAACAAATCCTAAGTACAAAGTCTTCCTCGGCACCTGTTTTGAAGAAGGTGCCCATCAAGGTTAGTCGTATTAATCATGCGTACGCGCGCCTTTGAGCTTATTATCTACATGAGTAGCCATGCATAAATGATTCTGTATTCTCAGGTGAGCAAACAATCCCGATCACAGTCGGATCGACACCTGGCTGGTGAGTACATGCAATATGTCCATCCGTATCAAAGAATACAAGTTCTTCCGTAGTCTCAGTGTAAAAGTAAATGACAACTGGCCGGTGCGCAAAGCCGAGCAGCTATGGAGGCAGATGCGAAACCACAAAATCGCAGGTTTGTTGCTGGCTGCTTGACTGTTTGCCTCCGGTCCTTAGACCCCACTTCTAAAATAATATCCTTGTTTTATAGAAATTGAAGCCGCGGAAGCATGCAAGTGGTTACGAGCCACGGGGTTCCCCCAATATGCCCAAATGTACGAAGGTAGAGTCGCTTTTTCTACCTCTCGGAACGCGTCATTTCTTTTTTTAAAAATTGTAGATCTCCAGTTTCCTATCGACCTTTCGCCCGTTGCGCAAGATCACCCTCTGCTAGAACCCGACGTTTTGAACTCTCTCTTCCGGAGATTGCAAATTTTGAACAGTTGTGTCCATATACACCAACAGAGGATAGCACATCCTAATACAGACGAATCCGAAGACGAATGTTGCGCTTTGAGCGATAACTGGACATACCAGACTGACATCAGGAGGTGGTCGCGGGCTTGCAAAAATCAACCACGTACATATACCTATACCCCATTGAATGTACCCTCACTCAATTCATGCATATTGTAGCCGAACCCGACAAAAGCCAAGAGAAAGATGATGTGTTTGAACAATGTACGGAAAGCCCTAAAGACAAGTTACGCAGAGCGGGTTCCACGAAATTCCGGCGACGACGAAGAGATGGCGTCATTATTAGCGAAGGTGGATCACCGCTACTAGACTCTCTCACGCATCAGTTAGCTGACCTAAAAACATGTGAATTAAATCACATATCGGATTCAGAATGCACGCCGAAGCGGAGCCAGAGAACAAAATCATTCGATAATACAGACGCATGGCTCAATCCGCAAGTTCCATCAGACGACAGGTACGTATGGAAAACTAAATTCCGCTCTTTACTGACAATTATTTAGAGCTCTATGGCACGCTTTGCCGCAAGAAGAAGAACTATCGCCTCAAAAATCGGTCAATTTGGAAAATGGCGGCCCGTCTATGTACACACTTTCGTGTACCCAGTTGCAAGTTCTAAGAAAACTAGCTCTTCTAAAACTTACCGCTCACATGGAAAAGCATTGCCCCTCGCACAGAACTGGCTGGAATTGGGACTTGCCGAAGTTTATCCGCAAAATAAAGGGCCCTGTTTATAAAGGTTCGCTCAGGTCAGCCTCGTGTGTTCTATTTTTCGTTGTATTGATTTATAGATAGATCTGTGTTCGGCGTGCCTCTTACAATAACGCTTCAAAGAACCGGCCAATCAATCCCTAGAAATATAGAGGAGGCGCTTCAGTGGTTACAACAAAATGCAGCTGACCATGTGGGACTTTTCCGTAAATCGGGCGTGAAGTCACGTATCCAGCAACTAAGAAACATGGTGGATACCACTTCCGAAATTCTAAACTATAACGACCAACAGTCCTACGACGTGGCCGACATGATTAAGCAATATTTTCGAGAACTGCCCGAAACCTTATTAACCAATAAGCTTTCAGAAACTTTTATTTTGATCTTTCAATGTATATAGTAGGTGTCTTCGACGATACAATTTTTCTAAACCGAGATAAATTTTAGATGTACCGCCATACCTCCGCCGTGAATCCGTACTATGTGCCATTTTATTAATGCCAGACGAGCATATTGAAGTCCTTCAGTTTCTGCTGCATTTCTTGCTAAAAATCGCCGAACATTCCTCTTCGAATCAGATGAATGAAAGCAATTTAGCTCTATGTTTCGCACCGTCTTTATTCCACTACTCGCAGAGTACTTTCAAACAAAATTTGGGCTCTCCGCACCCGAAGGAACTTGCGGAAACTAGAGCCGGTCATGACTGCTTGCTATACTTCCTAAAAAATTACAATACTTTATTTAAGGTGAGCACTTAGTTGTAATCCCGCTTGGCCTTAACCCAATTATGTCCTCTAGGTGCCAAAGGAGTTTGTTAACCAGTGTAAATCAAGCGAATTCAGGGAAAGCAAAGCTGTAAAATTGAGTGAATTGGGTAAAAATATGGGTGGATGGAAAGAGTACTTGAATGAATGCCAACTCGCGCTTTTGAAGGAAGTGAAAGAGCGCGGTCGAGGTTGGATCGTTGTTTCTGGTCATAATCCAAAAGTAGAAATATCTTATAAAAAAGTCGCTGACGGTCACCCTCTCCGTTTATGGAAAGTTTCAGCCGAAGTTGAAGCACCGCCGTTAGATGTTTTGCACAGAATTATCCGAGAACGACATATTTGGGATCCTGACTTGCATTCAGCTAAGATCGTCTCTCAGATTGATAAAAATGTTGAGATCTTCCAATATGTTAGACGCAAGATCGTTCCTCTTCCAAATGAGGAGTACTGCGTTGTTCGTACCTGGAAAACCGATTTGCCAAAAGATAGTTGTTTAATTATTGAAACTTCCGTTGAGCATCAGGATGCTGCTGCTATCCCGAATACCGTGAGGGGGATCGTCCTAGCGAGTAGATTTCTCATAGAACCTTGCGGATCTGGACGATCAAAATTACTACATCTTTCAAGAGTTGATGCAATGTAAATTGAACATATTTTTTCATAGTTCGTTCCATTTACATGTTTTTATTTGATTCTAGGGGTAAAACGCCGGAATGGTATCAAAAAAATCATGGACATCTGTGTGCCCTTTTTGTTGCGAATATCGTAAGTTCATTTTACCACGTTGCTGTAGGACCAGAAAGTAAGGTATAAAGCCAAAGATGTAAATAATAATGTTGCTAAATTTAATAATTATATTTTTATATGAAGTAATATTATTATTATATCAGACACATGTTGCAGTTAATGATAAACAGTTATTAGTACCTACGTCAGATTAAGTTGTTTTTTATATTATTGAGCATTCACACTAGTTAAGTTTCATATCGTACATATTATAGGACAAGTTGGCACTTGCCATTACGAATTGGTCGCTAAAAATTCGCTCACTGCTTTAAGTTCGCTGGTCAAGTCGTAAGTTAATAACTTTCATTAGCACCATTATTTTTCTAATTTTTTAACGTAAATTCTAATTTAAGCTAATTTCACATAATTTGTAATTCGTACAAGGTGCCAGTTTTTCTGTAATATATATTTTATTTTTATTATACATATTTGTACAAACTCTACACTGGGTACGCTTAACTGGTGATATTTTAATCTTATATGATTAGAGGGATATAGATACATGTGTATTATCGTTGTATAACTAAAAACGGACACGACTACGCTTATCAGTTGTTATCGCCTCAAATACAGGGTGGCAAAAATTAAAATGCGGTTAAACGCCAGACTTGTTTCTCACCATGTTGAATTTGTTTCATAGTCGTCACTTTTAAATTTAAGTACAAACTATAACAAATAACCATTTTTAGACTATCCATGTAGAATATGCTATTATAACTATATAGGTTTACGGGTATTATCATCCTAGATGTGTAATTTATACGCATTTATTACTACAGCTTCACCATGGCTCAGTGTAGAGTCTCGTTAATCGTAAGTATATTTAGTTACCATAACCACATCTAATACCTTTATCACACATTTCAACTGGGTGAGATCAAGCTTGTCAATGTTTATGCTAGTCAGACAAATTGTTTTTAGTCTTATATATTAGGTAATATATTTTTCCATTAATACAGGCCAGTATTGTAAACTTTCCTATTGTAAATTCAGAAAATAACACAATGTAACGTACAGACCACATAAACTTATATATTCTAGTCTGAAGTTTCAGTTCCACCTTTTTGTGTTTAAAACGAGAACGAAAGATGCGCGATTTGCATGTTAATTCTTCGGGACGGTAAAATCGATTGAGAAGTTTGCCTCTGTTCCGACAAGAGGCGCTAAATGAGTCTAGACAGAAAACTACTATAAAACTGTCACATAGTAAAACGTAAGCACGGAATTTTACAGAGATGTCGCAAGATGTAAATCACGGATCAGTAAACCCGTCCTTTGTACGAAATGTGGCCATGCTTGACCATACAGAACAGTCACAAATGTGTACCTAAATGCATTCCTCAAAGTAAAAGTACAGACCTAAACATTGTTCGTATCCAAGGACGACTAAAATAGCGCAAAGGACAGGATTTACTGCTTTAGACTAGTCAACATTACAGTGGAAACACCCGTTATGAAAATTAGGTGACAGGATAACTTCTTAAAGGTTGAACAAAAAATGAACTGACCTTGCTCTATGAACACAATTTACTTAGGAATACCACAAAAAGATGAATCAGCATTAATATTATTACGTATTCGATAAGATGACCAAAAATATGTATCAGAAAGCGTTTAGCTATTTTGTGCAAAAAAACGGTGAGAGGCTGAATGGTCCTATCCGAAACAGTGTGTCAGGTTGCATATTTGGTACCTTGTTTTAGGTAAGTAAACAATTTTAACCGCTCACCGCACAGGAGTCGAGAATGTGGGACCTAATGAAATGTGGTGGTTCCTTACAATTACCATACTTTCAGTACCTACCCGGGTACTCGGTACTGAAACGGAACCAGGAGTACATGCACATACGGTGGTCCGGTGATGTGTCATAGTACAGCATCTATTGAGCTGCCTCCTGCCATCTCCTAAGGCTCGAAGGATAGCGGTGATCGCAAACAAAGAGACAATGGCAGAGGTTGCGCATAGGTTCTGGGTTCATGAGAACATATTTTAAGACCCACCATGGCAATGTTCGGTCTATAGGAGATAGTGAAAAGCTTCTTCGTGGTATCTCTAATTAGAATAGTTGCGACAAAAGCGTCAGGGTGATCCCATATGACTTCAAAATATCACTTATGCCAAAATCTATAAAAGTCGGAAAGTTAGTGATGCGTACTACTGTTTTTTTCGACTTCAAGGAATAAAGAAATATTGACATTTGAAGAGTGTTTTTGAAAATACTGTGTGTAACTTACCTATTTCATCTTTTTAAAAGTCCGTCGCTAATTGGTGGAGAAAATATGTTAATATGCGAGACTTGTGGTAACCAGCTGATCTTAATGAACTCACCCTGTAAATGCTGTAAACTACAGCACGAGGTTTCAAGTTGAAGGACAAATATGTTGCGAATGCGCACAGTGATTGTTTTTTTTTAAAGAGTCAATACATAAGTCGGGGTAGTTTTTGTTTATTTTTGTAACTACCTCAATTTTATTGTAAAAAGTCGACTATGTTAAGTAGTTTACGCATATTTCTTTGCTTGCGAGTGAATTCAACTATGATGTATGATTGATGGGTAGTTTTTGGGTTTCAGAATGATGGTTACATGTTGTATAAAAATAAAAATTACCACACGTTGTTTATTACATGATATTAGTTTTATTAAACAGGTAAACACCGAAATCAGGGTAATTAAAAAAGGGTTCAAGGTCTAAAAATAAACAGCAGGCGCATGCAGTTGGCAAGACTTACCTATTGATTAGTTTTAGATATTCGTATGTTCGAGAACTTATGTTTAAAACAATTATTTGGTTTTACTGGATTGGATGAGGATGAATTAGGGGCGTTCAATAAAAATGAGCATAATGGTGTATAGGAAGGTAGAATAAGAGAACACAATTATTAATAAATATACTTTAATATAAAATTTAATACAAAATTAACTTCAAACCTGTAGGTAGCATCTAATACATATCTTTTGATAACAAAAGCCACACATTTTCAGTTAGGTACTAGAAAAAAAAGGTACTTAGGTATAGTATTTGTGTTTTATAAAAATAGTTGTAATTAAAATGTACAATTTAATCCCTATATATAAATGAGTGTACTTTAAAGCATATACTCTAACACAAACATGTTTATATAATTTTGCTTGTCAGGCATATGTATAGATATATGTATTTAGTTGTGTTAACTGACATCGATGTGAAGAAATGAGTCGATAGCGAAGGGGATGGGATCGCGGATAGTGAGATTACACAGCGAGACTTTACATAGGCCTAATCGCCACCAGGTCCGAGTGATAGCTGGTGTTATGTCGCAGATCAACCCCTATGCTAATCGAGCCATCGCTCAGGTCGTGGATTCGTGGTCGTCGAGCGCGTTTATGGTGAGTCGTTGGATGACAACGGCAGTCGCAGTGCATAACACATAAGGCCACAGACGTGGCCAAAGTGATCACAAACGGCACTGCAAAGTAGTGGATGATGATCGCCACCTGTTCATCTCTCTCGTAGTGAGTTAACACCACCGTGCGGTTCTCGCGCGAGTGGTAGCAGGGGAACACCGTGCCCTCGGCACCGAAGGCCTCGGTGAAGTTCGCGCAGAGCACGCTGGGTGGGTACCCGCAGCCTTTGATGTTCACCAGCAGCACGGCGTCGTCGGTCTGGTTGTGCGCCTCCCTGGTGTCGTTGTAGCTGACGTAGATATGGGTGCAGTGATATGCGTCACTGGTGCAGCCCTCGCGGCAGGAGCTCCACGAGCAGTTGGCCAGGCCCGTGAGCTCCTCGCGGCGCGTGGTCACGCACATGACGGGCTCGGTGACGAAGTTGGACGCCAGCGTGGAGATGGCCGGGTCCACGTACAGCGGCACCAGGAAGAGCAGCGAAGACCCCGCCGACATGGCCACCACCGCCAGCAGGCTGGTGGAGTAGAACAGGGCCTGTTCGCGGCACGACCGCCCGCCTACCTGCTTGCTGGCCCGCTTGGCGGCCGCGAGCTCCTTGATCTTCCGCTTGCGGAGCTCCTCTTGCTGGTCCAGGAGCAGTTCCGAGCTGCTGCTCCTCATTTTTGGCCGCACTAAGACATTACAGGCTCGCGATCCGCACCACGGGGCATTTTATCGGCGAGCGCGATTTTGTGGTTACGACATCTACGACGACGCCTCAGTCAGACCGAGCGGACGCTGGAACCGACGCCTGCGTCCTACGGACGCCCTACTCCACTTGACACTTTTATTAATCATTAATGCGAGCCGTGTCGTTAAATATTTTTTCACTCGCGAAAATTGCCCAGAGGACATATTTTATGCAGACGTCATCAGAGGGGAGATTATGAGGCACAATGAGAAAACGCGCTCTTAGGCATAACGAATCGCCGAATATAACAAAAACAAAGGAAAGATTAACGGCGATTTATTCGGCGAAAAAAGAAAAAGTCGACAGCAATATTATTCTTTCAACATCACTCCCACCTAAATTTATAGCCATTTATATCCCTTTTCGAGCTCTAATTTAAATTAAGCACCCACGAACAATAGCACCAAACAACCCCCGCTTCTCCTAAGATTTCTAAACCTCATCTAACTATAATGATCAATTCACTACAAAAATATTTTTTGTGTTAGACACAAAAAGATCTGAAATTAATTAAAAACGATAAATCCTTTGAAGCAGCGTCTTTGTTTACTCTCCTTGACGAAAAGGACAAAGTAAACACAATATTTAGATGTTTTTCAGAAGCTTCAGTTTTTGATGAGTTTGTTCCTGAAGTGTTTGTTTCAGGATGTGCCGAATGGCACACCGATCGTTCCACCTAGGCAAAACAACGTCGCGCGAATTCAAATATATAATGTCTGGCATTGTTTTGACAATTCTAGGTCACGTGCGGTTGCCGCATCGCATACCCTGTACGTGGTCGACTTAGAACAATATCGGAGCCCCACAAGACTTAAATGGGCAACAACTGACCTTGTTGTTGCGCTATTCCCCCCCCCCCCCGCGGCGAAACTCGCCCTTTAAAAAAGGGGATACTTGGTGCGGCATACGGCACGTGACCGACTATTGTCAGAACAAACCAGGTGCTAATTTGAGAAGTCCAACATAAAGAACTAAAGGTGAAATTGCCCTTCCTGGTGTGCCGTATGACGTGACGGCGGGCGGTATAACACCTTGCCTTGACAAAGAGTGGAAAACCGGAGATTTGACCGTTTTTAGCAAACGTCCGTTGGACCTGAGGCATTTCACGAAGAGTGTTTGTATCACGTTTTGTTGAAACGCCGCTCCAGTTTTCATCAAAGCGTCAGATTGCACAAGGAATTTTATTTTTAGAAGCGTATTTTCATTAAAAAATTAATTACGCCAGTATATTACTTTAAGAAGATTATTAGCTTTTAAAATTCGATAACTGTCTCTTTCTCCCGTTGAGACATACTTATTTTTATGAAATTGTTTTGGTTCTTGATGACTTACTTTACTTGTCCCTCGACGACGAAATATTCGGAACACGGACGCTCTTGTATTTTTCGAAGAAAATAGAATCCCGAATTTCTCGATATTATGTGACCTGATATAAAATCTTTCAGTGCTATCTCTGCATTCTTGTCACTCGGTTCTGATAATAAGGGTATTGGTAAATACGTACCACCACCAGCCAGACTTGAGCCTCCATAATTCTATATTCCTGATGTATACATTTTTTATAGATATATTAACCTAGATGACTGGATGCAATGATTTTGTACATCGTATTGGTTTAGTCGGCCTACGAGTGAAAACTCATTTACATAAGGAAATTAATTTGAATGGTAGGACCTAAAAGTCATATGTCGTTGCAGTGATACCTGGAGTGCCTTAACCCCTAGCCTTAGCTCCGGTCCAAACTGATAAGAACAATGGTTGTAAAATTTGCATAAATCTGAGCCGTTCCTTCTAATTTACAAGTTTAAAATCCATGCAAACAAGTTGTACAATGATTCTAGATAGGACTTTGTAAAATTTGATCATGTATTCATAAACTTGATGCTTCAAATACTGCATAACGTGTAAAATTTTGTTAACTACATGAATATTGTTTAAATTATCAAAATATCTTTACCTAGGAAGTGTCCTAATCCAAAATGAGTTGAATGGGTTAATGCGAAGATAACAGTGGACCGGATTAGAAATGCCCGACCTGGACCGAAGTCGAGGTTCTCCGAAATGGCCTGTTACCGATGTTGTTGTAGATATTTTTTTTATATTTATGTCATTTTGTATATCTACTATAATAACAGTTTTCCACATATTTTAATACAGATTAGTTTCATATTTCACAACAAATTAATTCAGATAAGCAGAGTTTATCAAGTATGTGTAAATTTGCTCTTTATCACACACTTTCTTCACTTTAATTAAAACGACATTATTTAAAACCAAATTAAATATTTTCAGTTTTACTCATCATGTTTAAACATCTTAAACGATTAACTGCATCAGTTGAGTAACTAGGGGAGGGTTTAAAACCTCACGTTATGTATTTAAACCAAAAGTTTCCACGAAATGAGAATATCCAATTAAAAACAAATTTCTTATGCTAAGGTGTCATTTAATTAATTATAATTAATTAGCATCCTTAATCGGTCAACCACGAATTCAAAAACTGCAAACACGATTAGGTGTTTCAATACCGTCTGAAACAAGGGAAAGAAAATTGTGTTTGAAGTTATGAACTTTAGTTTGTAAAGACGAGGGGAAAAGCCTAAATTCTCTGGAGGGCGTCGAGAAATTACTGAAATTATAAACACTTAACGAGAAAGTTTAACATCCAGTTATATTGATTGGAAATGGCTTTCAGAGTAACTCGAGAAAAACACTTCAGAGTCATGGATATTATGGAACATTTCAAATTTTATTTATCGAAGTGGTACGTTTTATGAACGTAAATAAATACACATATCAAATGCTCCGAACAGTCCATTCTGCATACTTTTATAATCCCTTTTAGTATGATACGAATGCGAACATTTGTAGCTTGTACTGGGTTTTTAATATTTCTTTTATCTGTTGTAATTAATTTCAAATTTTTCACTTCAATGAATTATTGTTGCTAGGCATGCACGCATTATGGTAGTACATGCGCAAATGCCAAGTGACAAGAATCTCTACAGGAAATCACGTTTTCATTTTTAAACAGATTTGCGCGACCCCTTTTTAAGTTTCTAATAAATCCTATGGATATCTCCATCGTTGCGTGTTGAACAGCACCTGAAGTATATGACATAAATTACACAGAAACACTTAAAATTTTGGAGGTCTGTTTAATGATCTACCCCTCATTAAAGAGTAAAATGGAAAACCATATTTTGAGATCTTGATCCCTAAAGGTTTTATATTTGCGGCTATATAAAATAATTTTTCTCTATGTAGGTGTATTTGGAGCACTAAAACTGAGTTACTGCGTTCCGTCTTGATTAGTTTTTGGTCTCGTGAATACAAAGAAGGCAGAAAGCTGCGCCAGAATGAAAAAGTAATTTTTTAGCATACCATATGACGCAGGTATAATTTTATATATGACAGCACGTAGATGTTACCACGGCAAATCCAAAGTTAAAACTGCCTGTTGACCCATTGATTATTTCATTGAATAAGTAAAAACGTTGAAAATATATTGTTGTAATCTACACAACACAATGTATTATTCAGAGGAACTGCATTCGGTTCTCGTTATTGTTGTTCACAGTTTTTACACGTAGCCGGGTCCCAGAAATTAGATTTAATTTTTAATACAAGCTGTGAATAAAAGATTACACTTTTTTAGTAAGGTATCTCATGCCTACAGATTAAAACGAATTACGTTATCAAAAAATACCCCTCATAAATTTTCTCATCTTTTGTTTGTTTTGTGTTTTATAGAGATATACTTCACGTTTTGTCCAAATGAGATTTTCACGTAAATTATCTCGGTAATTTTACCTGTAGACTAAGGCACATTCATTATTCAGAGAGCCATTCGCGAACACGAAAGGGCCTGCTGTACAACAGTGGGCAAACGTTCGGAATAATCGTTGTAGCTGGAAAGCACACTTTTTTTTTATTCATGATACTACGTGAGGTTTTAAATTACACGCAATGATTTTGTGTAATTTTCAAATTTTTCAGGTCACGTAATCTTAACATCCTCATTTCTTATATAAATGAAGCCATTTATCTTTCCTATATCTTTTTTACTTAATGTAACAGGAAAAACATTTCATTTATATGTGTATATATAACAAAAATGATGGCTGATTTATTTTGATTTAATGACGTTACTAAATTTCTTATTAGTCACAAATTAAAACTATAATAACACATATTATTTCAGTACCTCTATCCAAGTAAAATGAATGTGGCTTTGAAATGTATTAATTTAATAAATAAAATAAATAAGTCAAAATTAAACCTGCTCTTGTCACACTATACGTATCACCTGTGTATAAAATAAATCAACAAATTTTGTCATTAAACTATTCATGTAAATGTGTGTTGCATCCCAACTACTTTATCGCATTTTTTACTTTTTTTGCGTGTAAAAAAACTATGTAGTTATGCAGCGTCGTTTCATTTTTGCCATAACTTATCGCATAACAATGTGCATTTTTTTTAATTGGAATTGTTTTCAACTGACCATACTTTAAACGAACACTCGTATGTGATTGTGATTTCCTAATATTGTGAATATAAAAACCAAACTTGGACTATATTCAAACACAATTTGAGTAACGCCACTTTAAATTAGTGAACGGTAATTTATTGACCAAGAAAAGCGGTGCGCGATCTATCTTTTTTAGTTCTATAGTTGGTAGACAGGTATGGAATGACGACCTTGGATGAGTCAGATGATCATGTCACGTCATGTCATAAGTTCATAAATGACATAAACTATCGTAAACAGTGATGTTGACAGTGGGTACTGGTTATTTCGTGTTCTGTTTTATTTATTATTGAGTATATATCATTTAAAATTTATTTAACACTGTTTGAACTTTATAACTTGTTTTTACGTGTATAAACACAGTGATTATGTGGCGCAACACTACATAACGGAGGTGACATACCAACATTTTTAAACGCCAATTTTATTTAAAATGTAGTGTTTATTTTGATTTATATTTTTATCATGATCATATTAAAATTTATTACTTTCTTTGCTACATTGGTTTTGATCAATGCTCAAACTGACTATGAACTACTACCGAACTGTTTAGAAAATCAGGTCCCAGGGTAGGTTTTTCACATTAAGTTTTTTTTGTGTGTATTAATGTAGATTACAGCTTAGTTTTGGTCAGTACGATTGATGGACGATTTTCCGCTCTAACCTCTGAAGGTACCCTACAATGGCAAGTAGAGACCGACCCTGGACCTTTACTTGTTTCCAACATCCACCACATCGAAGTACGTTATAAAAACTTAACAAAAGCGACACAAAACTAAAATAAACCATTTTAGTTGTCAAACAAAGGGAAATGGATTCGAATGATCCCATCTTTAAGTGGTTCTATATATCAATTTGATGGCCACTATATTGACCCTGTATCACTATCAGCAGAGTCTTTACTCAAGTCGTCATTTAAACACTCAGATGACTTGGTTTTTGCAGGCGGTTTAGAGGTTACAACCTATGGAATAGGATTTCGCACTGGAAAGATATTTTATACGTGTTCCACGCAAAATTGCATTAACAACACGAACAGTGAAAGTGAAGCTGAGGACATACTCCTTCTGGAAAGAAATACACAAGTCGTAAGGGCGGTTGAATCGCGAACGGGACATGAGAGGTATTTGAAATAATCGTTGTAAAATTTGATTTGCATATATATGAAAATTTACGTCTGATTAAGTGAGAAAACGTTAAAAAAATGATGAAACTGACATTTTTTACGTTAGTGATAACCCAATTAAATTATTAGAGCGTAGAACCGGAACAAAGTCGTCGACTTTTCTAAATCCGAGACGATTTAGACATCTGAGTGTATCCGGGAGGGTCAAAATTGCGGATACAATGCTTGGGTACCGAAATTGGGCGAGAAAACTGATTCTTGGCTTCAATTTGGGCATTTTTTCGAGATTTTCGTAACCACGGGGTATCGTGGACTAACATTTTGTGTCTTTTTTTTTGTATATATATATAACGTTTGGAAATAGTGAAAAGTAGTGAATATATTTCTTATCATCAGCAACAAAATTTTATGTGACTGCAACTAAGGCGTATTTATAGATGGAACTTCAGTGTGGGTCATCATAATATAAAATCAACCCAAGTTAGTTGTACCGACCCCACTACTAACCTATTCAACTGGAATGTCACTGCTATAATGCCAGATGGGTTACTAATAGCATCCAATTACCAAGATAATGTTAAAATCACGTGGCAATACCACTTCACATCTCCGATTGTCCGAGTTTGGAAATGGAATGGACACGAACTTACAGAAATAGATCTATTTCAATCAAAAAGTGATAAAGAAGCAAGTGACACGCAAGTATCACCCGCTATCTATGTCGGAATGCACAAGAAACAGGTATTTTCCGTGCATTTTTCGAATTCTCGGTTGTTGACGATAATATTTCAGTTATATATTCATGAATCGTTCGCATGGCAAAATAAGTTACATTATGGTACAGAAATTGTTCAAACAGAACGTTTGGGTAGAATACCGTGGAAACCAATATCAGCTTCCGGTCTCTTAACAGAAGACGATTCTACCGCGACTTCAGTTTTATATAGCTCAGAATATGTTAACGGTAGTCACACTAACTTCACGAGTTTATGAAAATTAATGCTTTTTTACAGGCCGTGGTTATTACTTATACAGCGAACAAGCAATAAAACAAAAAAATAGTGGCTTATGTGAAAATAATAGTACACTTAGGTTCAAAGCTTTAACATATAAAGAGAAAGCAGACAGTATTCGCTGGTTCCTTTCGGGATGGTGGTACGTACTTTTACAAATGTTCGCAGTTTTAAGTTTAAGTATCTCCTAATTCTTGTTTTTAGGAAAGAAATCGTAGTTATTTTGCTAACTACATCGCTTTTATTTAACTTCATGTTTCGATCGCTTACCCGCCGCCAGCAACAAAAGCAAGTGATTTTTGTGGAACGCCCTGTAGAAATTCCTCAAAAGGACTCCTCGTCGTCCGACAGAATTTCAGAATCGTCGGACACATTCTTCAGTTCGAGATATCTGCACGATTTTGAAACCCTGCGATGTTTGGGAAAGGGCGGTTTTGGAGTGGTTTTTGAGGTTAAGCAAAAAATAGACGAATGTAATTACGCAATCAAACGGATCGTATTACCCAACGAGTATGATACTAAAAATGTGATTTATTTTTATTCATGGAGTTATTACAGGAAAAATAAAAGGGAAGCTGTAATGAGAGAAGTCAAGGCTTTGGCTAAACTTGAACATCATAATATTGTTAGATATTTTAACTCTTGGGTAGAACAACCTCCGCCGGGTTGGCAGGACCAATATGACCGAGAATGGATAAAGTAAGTTCTACACTTTTTCCGAATAGTGTACAATCAAAACGTGAACGCATTCTAGAGAAAGTAGTGAATTTCCTTCAGAAAGTACAACGAATCACAATACCGCATCTTGCGTTAGTAGCAGAAATCAGTCCTTTGGGATTAAAATGGAAGACACGGATTCGGCTGACAGCTATAGATGTGTACCCAGCAACAAAAGTAAAAGCGAGGATTCGTTTATCGTGTTTGACAGAAGCGAAGAAGATGATAATTGCAACGAAACCAGCAGCACCAGTGATACAGTCTCATATGACGGGTCGCATAGCCCAGGGGTTGTAAATTGGCGCAGACCTAGTAGACGCTATCACTGTATTAACGACAACACGCCAACTCTTGAAGACCCACCCGCGTTTCTTTATATTCAAATGCAGCTATGTCAAAAGCAGAGCTTGAGAGAGTGGCTGGTTGAAAATAAAGAGCGCCACTTTTTCAAAACTTTGGACATATTTAAACAGATCGTTTCGGCCGTGGAGTATGTACATCTTCAGGGATTGATTCACAGAGATTTGAAGGTAGGATTTGGAGATGGGGAGACCGAGTTTTATTTTGTCTATTACAGCCGAGTAACATATTTTTTTCTTTGGATGGTCAAATTAAAGTGGGCGATTTTGGCTTAGTTAAAGATGAAGAGGAATCTCACGACGCTTCTAACGGATTTAATTCTTTGAGAGGTCACACAAGGGAAGTCGGTACGAGTGAGTTGTGGTAGTGTGACGAGAGATTATGTGGTGGTTTCAGGTACACGACTGTACATGAGCCCAGAACAATTGAATGGGCAAAAATACAACTACAAGGTGGATATTTATTCGCTTGGATTGATATTTTTTGAGTTATTGGTGTATTTTTCTACTGATATGGAACGAATTAGAACTTTGATGGATTTGAGGGATCATAAATTTCCTATAAATTTCGTCGAAAACTATGGAGATGAGGTAATATCGTTTTTGTAGGGTGTATATAGTTCTGATTGTTATTTTATTTTTAGCATAATTTATTGAAAATGATGCTTTGTCAGTTACCTGAAAAAAGACTTACTACCTTTGGGGTACGGGCAAGGCCGCCATTAAGTAACTGTGATAACGACTATAATAAAGCTTACGATTTTGAGTTGCCAAAGACTATCAGAAATATAGGCTTGTCAACTAAAACTTAATATGGAAAGCGATGTCGAAACTGACTATGTATTTTAAAAAATATGGTATATACAAGTCCAAAGTTGTTGGCGCACCATTAGCACTGTTCATTTGAGGTTGCCTAGGAAGAATTTGAAAATATTTAATTTGCCGCTGTTTGCTGTGGTGCACTGATACCTGAAACACTGTATATACTTTCAGCTGACTGACGCGATTGAAACTGCTAGAATTAGACATTCCAAGGTAAAATATTTATGTATTTTGTTAATATCAGTAAAATAAACTGGAGTGAGTATTGTGTAGACTTTATCAGACCCCACGCCAACAATCCTGAAGGTGTAAATTTAGTCGACGAAACATCTCGATTTCAGTGACAAACAAGTTTCAAAAAAACGTAATATTTATTCAAACATAGCAAAAAGTAAAAACGTTAAGTACCTACATTACTGTAAAACCCAATAGTTCCGTAGCAATCCCAACTAAACTCTTCTAAGTCTACCTTTTTATATAAAAATAATAACAAAACCTCTATATCTATCATAATCGTGTGAAAGTAATTACAAACTAAGTTCCGTAAAAAATGTTTGTAATTTTTGTATAAATACACCACAGACCTATACACTGATAGGTTACGAAAGTCAGGTCAAAAATTTTAAACCCAATACTGATTTCTACGCAGCATAATGTTTTTAGAGGGACACGTCGGATCAGATGCTTCACAACTACTCCAGTCATCTGAATGTTGCTCATCCACGCCATATGGATAACACGCATGCGATTCAAGCTCACTTCTACTCAACGGAGTTACTTTACACTGTGGCAGTGCTGTGGGTAGCGGTGGGGTAAAACCATCTAAATGGTGCTGTTTGAGTGGCGAAGGTGACGCCAGCAGCCGGTCCGGAGGCCTCGGCAAAGGTATAGGTTGCAAGCATTCTTCTTCCTTCTTCAATTCCTCCGCTTCCAGCGAGCGGCATTTAATAACTACGATTACGGCGACACCGAGAATTATCACCCCAGCGACCATACTTACTGCAACAAAATCAATCGAACGTTATAGATTTAGCGCAGGCTGTTCATGCGACTTTTACGTGATCACACAATAGTGTTATTCTTACCTATAAGAAAATAATCTCGGGTCATATTAGGACTTGCAAAATGTAGTCCTCCTTCATGACCCGCAGGATCACTAGGCCCCGCCAAAGTGGAGTAAATGTCGTTACTTAGAGAAGACTTGATATCAACCCTCAACTCTCCAACAGCTGGTTGGAAGATGCTAGCCGCCAGTAGAAAAATTAACCGTTCTTGTAGCCCATTCCACGGCAACTCTATACTTTTAACGTACAAATAAATCAACCCACTTTGAACTTCTTCATGAGTGAAGGTTGATATTATTGTGTTCAGTACATTTCTCTTCTCTCCCGAGCTTCGGATTACCTTCCTTATTTGTATGCATTGTGGCATGTGCGTCACGGTATACCGAGGATTGCTATTGGTCAGTTTAGCTAAAGGTGTCGCATCCAGTACACTTAACGTAATTCGATTATACTCCCCAGTGGCTACGGTGAAATTTCGGATTTGCATTAATGGTTGAACTTTAATCGTGACGTCGACTTCGTTCCCCACTGACGTGTTTCCGGAAATGATCTCGCCCATTACTCTGAACGTGTCGTTAGCGGCTGTCATATCAGTCTGAAGGTACATGACGTAATCATTACTTAAGTCACTTTGAGTGAACACCAATGAGGGTGTATCTTGCACGTAGAGAACACCACGTTTAGGCTCACTTTTGACCGAGTAACGTATTTTATACTTATTAGCATTCGTTTCGACGAAAAACTGTTTTTCGGATAGGAAGACCACATCAGAACCTTGTTGTAGATACACCGGCGGTCCTGAAGAAATATTTATCTTGATGGGTAACACTATAATATTAAATAATCGGAATTCTGGGGGGAAACTTCCATCCCAAACACGAAAATGGAACGAATCTTTTAAAATGGAACTATTATGTACATACACGAGTAGCTGGTTATCAATATCAGCTTGAGTAAAGTGCATAACTGGCACCCTGTTCGGTAACAGAATGAGTTTACCTTCCGTGGGTCCCGCGTTTATTACAATGTATTTTATTTTAGACGGTGGTGTGTCTGCATCTTCTGTTGCTAACTCGGTCCTCGTAATGGTATGGTTCTCCCCTTGAACGACAGTCAAACTTGGGGCCGGCGTAATCAAATTAAACGGTTGATCATTAATGGGGTTAATAGTAATAGGCACTGTTATATTGCATAAAATCACATATCCCGGAAGCAGATACAAAGAGAAATGGATATTATCTCCCAACGAATCAGAATGGTCGTGTTCGTAATACACCTGTCCCGACTCTAGCTGCTGTTGGGTGAAGGTAGTTATATTCCTACTATTTTGCAAAAAGATTAGACCATGCTGGGGAATCCCGGCCGCTGCGTGTATTATAGGCGAGCGAATCCCTGCATGGTTTTCCAAAAAACTAATCACTTTGGATAAATTCAACGAAATAGTAGTGATCCCTCCTTCATCTACAGATATCTTAGGTATACTAACATACACATCCAGACCACCTGAAGACACAGATATGTCTATCTTTAGCATCTGGTTGTGTAAACTTCGAGCAAGGTGTGCTTTTACGTTAAAAACAAAAGAATCGTTTGCGTATAAATCGGAAAACTGATGAGTATGCTCGTAGAAAATTCGAGTGTTGTTGAGGTCATCTTGAGTGAAACTAGACACCACTTTAAAAATGCCTCGCGATTCTTCGGATTCCATCATCAGGCGCCCGAGACTAGGCGGAGTTATCACTTCGTAAGAGATAACTCTTGCGGGGTCAGACACTGTAGTTAGTAGATGCACGGAAGTTATATATTTTCTCTGCAGAGGAAATATGTGAAGAGATTTGACATGGAGTTGTAACTGAACGGGTTTTGTTTTGATGTAAAAGGTGTGTTCTTCTGTGGTGTGTAAACCATCACTGACGTTAAAAGTAAATTTAGCTTCCCTACCATCTGAAAACGGTTGAAAGTGGTTTTAGTTTGTAACTAACAATAACACACTTACTTTGATTCTTGAAAACGATCATCCCTTTGTTGATTAACTCTTGCGTGAAGTGACTTACTGACGTGGATAAGTCCGACTTAAGTGACACGCTTCCCCACCAACTGTTGAGTACTTGGTACTTAAGAGTATCGCCAGGTGCGTCGTCATCAATTGCAGCTGAAGAATACACAGGTGAGTGTTAACTGTGACTTAAGTAAGTAACTTACCCAGCATGGTGTTAGTTATAACTTCGACCCCGCCTTCCCACATTATCAGTCCTGTGTTATTTACAAGCCTCGGTTTTTGGTCGTTGACTGGCAAAACGTTGACGTTCAAAGTCACCGCATTGCTTCTTTTTTGATTAACCACTGCAGTTATTTTGATTTCGTCTACTAAATTTTCAGAACCATCGTGGGCGTAACTTATACTACCCCCGACTAACTTTTTGTGTGAGAACTTATTTACTTTACTACATCGTTTATCAATTTGTACGCAACCGTGTCGAGCGTCTTGTAATATCGCGTACTGTATGTACTGCAATTGTGACTTACTTTTATAGTACTCGGTGAGTATAAAAATATGTGAGGTAGATAATGTGGCAATACCACCTTCGTTCACTGTTAGGTTATGGCTGCTTAGATATATCTGTTCAGGTATTATTTCGGTGCGTAGAACAACGTCGTTTTGCCAAACCATCCCATTTGTGACATTGAAAACGATTTTATCTTTAGTTTGATTAGCGACGGACTGTATATACAAAACCCTGTTGTCGTTTATTAAGTCTTGTGTAAAGTAAAAGACGTTATTGGGTTCATAATCTGAGCGTTTAGAGTCGGTTATAACGCTTATATAGCCGTTCTCGGGAGGTCGGTTAATATAGTAGTAAATGGCAGATGGAGGTACGTTTAGTTGCGAAATCTAAAACACCAACGATTTTAGGGAATCCGCACTAAATGACGTTCAATTTCTTACCTCCAATATATTTTTGGTGATTATCGCACTCGTTGACTCTTCTACGGACAATTTGTTTAAATTTTTCACTTCTAATGGTTCCCAATACGTGGACGGTAGTATTAGAACTCCTAATTGAGCAACATTAATAGCGTCCCTACACCTAACAGTGAGCTCAATTTCGTCCGCATCGGAATTCGGTACGTCGTTGATGTAGCTAACCTGACCTAAGTTAATTTCTTCTTGGGTAAAATTATCCAACGACTAAAAGAACGGCGAAGTAAATGATATGCGACACAATCACCCATTTAGCTACCATAAATTGCCCGAAAAGTAGTACGCATAGTGCGTTTATTTCATTTATAGTCAAAATAAGACGTTTTTATTAAAATTGCGGAAGTATGGTAGCTAAATCGTCTAAGTCAAGAAAAGTTCTACTAACGCAGAAAGAGACACTAGGAAAAATATTTAGTAATGTTTTTCTAACAACTTCTCTAGTATTACCTTCAAGGTTTTCGTGGCTACTAGTCTCCCCGACGCCGGCTGTGAGCTGACTTCATACACCACATCCTCACTTGAAGCAAACACGTTAGTGGAATACGACAAATTCTCCTCGCTCACAACCGCTAAACTACTTTGTTGAACTATCAACTTCTTCCTGTGATGCACATGTACAAAAGGCGCGGATGCTTGCACTTCCAGCATTCCGCTAACGTGGAATTTGCCATCAGTGACCCATAGTCTGACTTTAGCAAACTCGGGGCCCTTATGCCGAAATAAAACTCGCCCGTTATTGATATCCTCCTGCGTAAACTCTTTTATTTTTATCGTTCGATTTCCTACATGATAAAAATTGCCATTCGGGGACTCCCTGCACGTATAAACGATTTCAGCAGGCGTAGTATCCAAATCTTCGTCTGAATATTTTAAATCGTTAGCTGTGACTATGCGTTCACCGCCAACCACAACATGGAACATTTTATCAACTGTCCTCACCGGACTATTGTCATTTTTGAGGTTAACTTCGATTTTGAATTCACCCACATACTGAAAATTTTCGTTTATAGAAAGGGCACAGAAAACGAACCCGTCGGAACGGGTTTCAGAACCATCGTGTTTGTAACGGAGTTGTTTCATTCGTAGTTCGGTCCAAGTGAAGAAGTGGGTGTCGTTTCGGGTGGTGTCGGCGTTTTTGACTTGGAGAACACCGAATTGGGGTTTCTGGGTGATGTTGAACACTAGATCCGTTACAACTGTGGTTTTTAAGTTCAGCAATGTTGAGTCAATTGTTTCGCTGGAACCTTCATCTACTGAGAGCGGTTTTAAGTGAAAAGCCACTCTGGAAGTTACGGATTCGGATGGGTTGTAGGTGATTTTAAAACTGTGAGTTACGTTTTTACAACCTGGTGATAACACAACGAACTGGAAGCTGTCGTTCACGTACGAGAACGGTTTCTGGTGAAACTTGTATTTTATATTCTGCGACTGTATATCTTCCTGAGTAAATGTATCACATGAACGTAGTTTATATTTCGACATTGAAGAAAAAAGGTATCCATAAAGAGGAGGCGACGTTATTACGTAATGTATTGAAGTTGGAAGAGTTTTGATTGGTTGCGTATGGAAAGACAAGTATTCTGGTGCTAATGTAGCTTCCCAGGTATCGTTCAAAAGAAGCAAAAGTCTTGTATTCACGTTCAACAACGAACACTTAACGAAAGTTAGTCTAAATGTATAAAGAGACGATTTATCTAAAGTTAATCTAAACTAAAAACAAAGCAACGTTAATTTGAGTCAAATACATACAAGTGTATTTACCTGAAATTCGTCGTAGTCTGGTTTTGACGTTGTATGCCGATATCTCACTCGATGTTGCTTTAAATCGATATTAGTAAATATTTCCGACGCTTCCCAAGCGTTCATATTCTTCTCGACTTCAATCACACCATAAGAAGGTTTCTTCACAACGTGGAATTGAATTTTATGATCAACTCCTACCACGTTAGAGGTAAAACTCAAGTTGAACGGAGTTATTACCGCTGACGTTTGATGCAAAACAATTAAACCCGTGTTGTTTTCCAACCTCCAGTATTGGGGAGACACGGATACGCGTATTTTTGAAACTGGACTCGTTTCAATGCCATCTGACACTTGTAAAGACACAAATGAATCATTGTTTGGCGAACTGCTATGATGGACGAACATGATTTTCTTATCTTCGACCTCTTTTTGAGTGAAAGATGTTATTTTGACTCCTTCTTTACTTTTATGTTCGAAATGACCGCTGTCGGACTTTATGATGTTGTAAATGATTTGTTCTGATGTGCTGTCGGGATCTTTAACTTTGAAAAGATCACCGTCTATGAGCTTTTTTGTACCCTACAAGCAGGAATTTTTGTCTAGTGAAAATAGTTAAGAAAAAACGGGCATGCATTTTTAAATATACACTAAACTGGTTGTGGTGGAGGGAATTCGTAAGAAGTGGCAGTGGATAAACGTATTTTCTCACAACTTGAATTTGAACATTTATTCCCACTCACTCAGTTTAGTGTAAATTTTCTCTACAAAGATGCAAATTAAAACGACATATTTTTTTAATCTACATCTTCAATGATAAAAAATTCAATGTTAAGTTGAACTACTCACCATTTCAACTACAAACATTTCATGCCGAAATTACAGCACATTCATCTTAAACAAAAAAAACTCAAATAAAAAAAAGTTAAGTTGTAGCCATTCTCGTTTTCAGATCTGGACCAATACAAATTCAGTGTGGGCAAAAATGACTACATGAATTTTTGCTCTTGATCCACACCTGTTTGCTGCATAAAATAAAGAGTTAGTGCCACGAAATTTAAAAAATTGAAATTCGTACAAAAAAACTCGATGATTTTCTACAAATTTTTAAATTACGATTATTTAAAACCTTCGTTGCTTTTTTTGCACGATTTTTTTACGATGTTAAGTTATATGTAAGTATTATTTAAGTTAACATTCAAAAACACGCTGCGCTAAAAATTTATTTGATGTTAATGACTTAAGTAAAACTAAACGGAATCAATTCACATGCTACGACTTAATCAACACTTACCTGTACGATGCGTAAAACTGTGGATTCAGAAGAGCTCAGTTGTGGAAGATCGTTGACAGGGACAACATTTGCCGATAAACTAAACCTAAATCTACCCTGTAAGTACCCCGGCAAAATGAATGTCTTTTCCGGTGAGAATTCAATTTCTAGAATCATGATGTCTTGATAGAATTCAGATCCATCGTGTATGTAGTGAATTTTGTCTTTCAAAATTTCGGCAAGTGTGAAGGAGTTTTTCTCGTGAGGTCGAACATTTATCGTTCCGTGGATAGGATTTTCAATAATGTAAAACTTAATCCCGGAATCCTTGATTCCGAACTTTTGGTAATCGAGAATCATGTGTAAGTTTTTTGAGGTTATAATCGCACTTTGCCCCTCTAAAACACTTAACGGTTCCACAGACAGTAATTCTAAATCTGTGGCAAGGCTATTGTGTGAAAACACTTTGTATCCTTCTGTGAAATTTAGTTTGACACAGAATTCTTCCTGGCAATGACACTGAAAGGAATCTAGGCCTTTTTGTACACATACGGCACCATCTTTACACGGGTTTTGTATACAGGGGTAGTGCCAGACACAACCTGGTAGCAGTCCTTCACTCACGTATACATCCGACAATCCCACTTTCATGTCTGATACGACAATATGGCGCATACATCCCTTGAAAGTAGCATCGCAAAATTTGCAACCCTTCGCCATGGCTCTTGACCGGCGACCCACTTCCAACCCTCCTATATATAAAGCATCACTCAACTGAAAACCGTGGCCGTGAGGATTCTTCTCATTTTTCATCTTTCCATCTACACTGACTTCGATAAGAGTTGAGCTAATATGTACATGTACCTTATGCCAATAACCATCAGCAATATATTCGCTATTTACAAGTTCCGCAGTTTTTGATTCACTTTTGATTATACACCGAATGCTACCTTTCCATATTTCTACTAGAAAATAGTCTAACTTTGTTCCACGACCCATATTATAAAATAAAATACTTTGTGTCGTTTTGGTTTTCACATCGAATTGAATCTTGATATCTTTAGAATGAAAATTACGTGACAGCAACATGAAGGCGTCATCTTCTACAAAACTAATTGGATGCTCAAATGTGGCTTCGAATTCGCTCGCACAATTCCAAGTTATTCGCTGGACGATTGATTGCAGTTGGCGAAGCCTTGCTTGTTCAAGGACCATCACTCCGTTATAACTCAACTACAATAACAAGAACGATGGCAAAATACTTTGGGAACTTTTAACGAGAAAAACACATTCGTACAAAAATTTTACATGAACCAAATCACTAATGTCAAAAGTTTAATAAAAGACGATCTAAAAGTCGGGCGTGGAATTGTAGACTTCGCATGCACTATGCGTTGCACGGATAAAAATGAAAATATTGCTCTATCGGAAATGAAGTCGGGAGTTCCTCCAACATTTTTACTTACTTTCAATTTAACTACGTCCCTCAATGATTTCTTGGCGTAACAATATCTGGTTATAAATATGTTTTTCACACGGTGTTTTCTCAATGTCACTTATTTATATTAAATTCGCAGGATCGCTGCTGTACCTCTAACCTTTACTTTATTAAAATACTCCAATATGATGTTTCAAGCACGTAACATATTTTTTCACTTTGTAAAGCAATTTTCTGAGAACTACAAAAGATTTTTATTTGATATTCGCCGACGCGACGGTTTCTTTCAACTCTCAATTGAAAATATTAGGGTGAAATTTTAGATTAAAATCGAAAAAAATAACTCACTTTAATTTAACGATGGAGGGAAACGTTTACGCTTTTATAACTCCCAACATTCTGACGACTTTGATTTTTTATATTGTGAACAAATTAAAACTTGTCCATTCATCCCGTCTAAGAAATTGATTACGTCACTCAATATATCGTTAAGTACATCTTTACCTCTCCACCAGTGTTTTTAAATTAATTCACAACGGCTGTGAAAGAAATTAAATCCGAACCACAATTAGAATTTATTTATTCATCCCTTTCGTAACGTTCATGCCGTCGTCTCTTTTTTAATTTTAATAAACCTCCGTGAAAAGCACTCTTATTTTGAAGAATTTTACGCAGGAAATTAAAAAAGGTATGAACCAATTTATTTTAACTAATTTTGCTGAAATTCTGGGAACACGTTCGATTAGTGTTGGTGCGCATGCCCAGAAAAAAGTATTAAAAAAAAACACATTACGGGTTTTATTGAACTTCTGAAGCGAGGAACGTTCTGTGTAATAATTTATTATTATTTGTATGAAATCAATCCAATAGTGTTTAATATCCATCTTTTAATTGGAAATAAAAAGTCCAAAAGCGTGTTTACATAGTCCATTGATTAAATACATATAGATAGACCCATGCTATTGTTTGGAGCGAACAGGCCAACGGCCGGCGAACAAGAGATGGCGCACCAACGGTCGGCCGTCAAACGCCGGCGAAAAGCTTGGACACCAATCACGCGCATAGGTAACACAAATCACACTAATAATATATTTAATAAATCTACCACTCGATAGAGGGCGACGAAAAAATGTGTAAAAATCTCATAGTTAGGATTTAAATAATTTGCAACGTTGCCAGATGAGCCTAACACAAATTTGCCGTTATTTCTAGCCAAGTAGGATTTATTTCGTTTAAAAGTTTCTGATAAAGAAATGGGATTATTATAATGAATAAAAATAAATAAAACAAACAAATTATTAAGTACTTGTTATTTTAAATACTTGTTAGTGCTAACATTATTATAAATACGGTCCGGTAACTCAAATTTTATAGAAAGAGTGAGATGTTTCAGGACGAGGCGACCGTAGGGAGCCGAGTTTTTAATTTCGAAACGAGTTCTGCGAAAAGAGTTATCGGAGGTATGTCGTTATGGATTTTATTTCATACTGTCAACATATTTTTTTTGTTCGATAAAATAATTACTATTTTGGAAAAAGTTCAAATCAAGTCACTTTTTCTGACATCGTTAGCAACCGCTGTTTGGCTAATGTTTTAATTTGTTTATTCGTGCAAATCAGCATCAAATGTTTAAACTAAAATTTATTAGTCTAGAGACGGACAGATATATACTAAAGACAAAACATATCCATTCATATATGTCTTAAAAAACGGGTAACATATGCCGCATAAACTAAAAAATAAGACATTTTCTTTCACATTTTATATTGTAAATGCAATTAAGTATATCGATAACTCGCTACTGAAAATTTATTGAAATATAATTTCTGCAAAAAAAAGATTGTTGTGGTTTTATGGTTTATTGACATAGTTTACTTATTTAAAATGAATATTTTTCATACATAGCACAAGTTCTTGATATTATTTATTTTAATTTCAAATAATAATTGTGTTTCCTTTAATTTTAACCAAGAAAATTTTTCGGTTATTATCCAACATACTTTTGTACATTAAGAAACTCCATTCCACGTCGCGGGACGTTACAGAACAATATTTAAGTAAATAAGCTTCTCCAAAAAGAAGTCGTTTTTATGTGTTTTAAAACTCACTCTTTTATCTCCGGACTTTCGGCTTTTTAGTGTTTCACTTCGACACAAGAATATAAACAGTGGAAAAATGGAACAGTTTTAAAAACTATTCATCTATTTGTTCTGTCTTGCAGCGAGAAAGGAATATAGCATATTGTACCCACATTTCATAGTAAAAATATGGATCCGGTTTAAAATTTTACCTACCTACTTAATTATGTTAACAAACTAAAATTTTCATTGAAGAGACAGGCTGTTCTAGGAAACTTTATTACAAATCTCTTCATTTACGAGCTGCTGAAGGACCGCCGGTCTCATTGATAATTCTTACCTACTTCAGTTCTTACCTGGCTTGTACTTAAGAATGAAGCGAAAAATGTTCCAACAATAAAAACCAAAATGTACAGACTGGAAATATAGTAAATGGGGTAGTACCTACATACAAACGTATGCGTAATAGTTCGTTAGACATTAGGTATTTATCAAAATTAACCAAATCTCTTAGTTTACGCACTATTGGACGAGCACTCCTTAAAACGGTCAGAATACTTAATCGCATTATTCCATTCACACCTACCTTAAACTTTGCCAGATGAACCTAACACAAATTTGCGGATATTTCTCGTCAACCTGGTAATATTTGATTTTGAAGTTTCTAGAAGTATCTCAATGGGAATATTATAATGGACAAATAAAACAAACAAATTATTGTTATTATTATTTGTTGTTTTAATCCATTAGACGCTTATAGGCTATCGCATACTTTTCTTGAAAAATCGGTAATAAATTCAGTGAAGCATCTTTGCCCCTTAATTCCTATGGGTAAATTGGGATTTTGAATAGAGATCGCAGAAACATTTTTTATGGTTTTATGGTTTATTTACATAATTTACTTATTTACAATGAATGTTTTTAATATATAATACAAGTTCTTGATATTATTTATCTTTATTACAATTAATAATCTTGTGTTATTTTTCATTTTCAACAAGAAAATTTTGTCGCTTATTATCTAACATATTTTTATACAATGAGAAACACCATATGTTTCACATCACAGGACGTTGCAGGAAAATACTTAAGTAAATAAGCTTTTGCTATTTCACTTCGACGCAAGAACCGTTTCAAAGAAAACAAACAGTGAAAAAGCGGAACAGATTCACAAAGTTTTCTGTTCTTTTTTTCTTCGGTTTTGCAGTGGGTGGGAAATATGGTGTATTGTACATTTTACAATAAAAATATCGATTTCAGGCAAATTTCCGCACCACCAATGAGGTATTGCCACGGCGCGTTTTTTTTTTTGTTTTAGCAGTGCTATCCCCAATAGGCCTAATGCACTACTTGCCGATATTGATTCAGATAATTATCCGCTGAATTAAGACATGATACTGGAAAACTGACACAAATAAACCACTCAATTTACAAAAACTGCAGCTTAAAATATCCTGATTTTTTTACATTTAAACTCAATTCAAACCAGCTTCTTTGAATCAAAAACACCAAATTTGGATACTCGACAATTTTTTTTTTTATTTTGATGCCATTTTCCTTTTTTAAATAATTTGCATATAATTAGATGATTTAATATAAATACTTTATGCTCTTTACACTGACCGTCATTTATCCAAATCTGACACAATGAATTACTTTTGAACATTTCAATTAAAGTCAATTTTACGTTGTATTTATAATGAATTTCTTCGTAAACAGTCTCAAATATGTTTAAACATTCATCGATAACTTTTATAAAACTATGCGAAGGAGCTTTTAAACCGTCTGTACCTATTGGGGGATTATTTGAATATGATTTATTCATTATAAGTAATTCTTGAGAATTTGTTAACGATGATTGTGTAATAAGGGTTTTCTCACATACCTTACATTTAAATTTGATTTTGTGTTATTTCCAAGAATGGTTTTTTGTGTGTGACATTTAACATCGAGTATGCTGACTGATTCCCCGTACTCTGATCGCAGATTATCATTTTTGGATTTAAATTACATTTTCGCAATTTCTCTAATAACTCTGGTATTAACTGCACTAAAATTGTGTTGGAAACTGGTTTGTGTGACAAAAAGTAACTAACAGGTAATTTCCAGTTTGAATATATACCTCTAAGAAAAAAAACTAATGCATATTTTGCTAAAAGAGGTTTTCTCCCTAGGTGACCCATGTCCTCGTATCCTTCAAAAACATCCATATGTTTATTATATTCTAATTTGTCAGAAATAATCATTTCGTCAAAAACTATTGTGCACTTTTTTTCGGGCTCGGGAGAAGCGGCAAATTTTTTTGAAATTTGTTTAAAAATCTCTTCGTTAAAGCCTGGTTGAAATTTAGACTGACCAATCCATCTTTTAATAGTAGTTAAACCTGGCAAAACAATTCCTTGATGCCGTAGAAACTTGTACGCGGCTGGGGACTTATAAAATAACATGATAGAAAAATTTTTCTCGTCAACATTCCATTTTTTTTTATTATGTTTCAGTTGCATTTTCGTAAAAATTTTAGAATTACTCGAACCAAATTTAAAAGAATTTATAAAATAATCGATGCTAGATGTTTTCCTTAATTCATGTACTTTTACTCGTAATCTCGCATTTCTCAGTCTAAGTTTATTTGCCTTAGATGTATAGTACTCTAATTTACTTTTTTTTGCTTCGATTTCATATTCATTATCAAAAAGTCGTCTTTTCGTTAACTGTTTACATGAGGCTACCAAAGACATGTCAATTACTTTATCTAAAGAAGTTACACTGTTCGTTGGTGAAGCTATTGTATCTAATTTTCTAATTTCTGCAACTTGTTGAATTCCGTATTTTTTTATAGGGGTTAAAACTTTAAGAATTTCCCGAGATGAAGAGTAGTTTGTATTCGGTTCAGTAGCACGTTCTAAATTACTTGCCAAAGTGTGTTTATTGTAAGGAATTGGAACAGCATTTAAAGTTAATCTGTGTTTTTTCAGAGGATCTCGAAATGCATCTAGTTCAAAGTGTTCTTGACAAATATATTTATTTCTCAGTTCTTTTTTTTCATAATCAAGCAAAAGAGTGTTCCCTGAATTAAAAATCCAAGTCTTTAAACGCTCATCAAGTGGAAACCTATACATTCTAATATTTGAATTTTTTTGTTGTCTTTTTAAGCAAGTTATGTAAGCACAGCTGTTTCCAGGCATTTTGCAATAGTAAAATTCAAAACAATGGACTATTTATATTAAAGTTTGTTTACTTCAGTGTAAAGAAAAAATATTATTTTCAAAATATGACCACCTTTTCAACATTCAACTAATATCGAGCACACTATCAGCTGTTAAACAATATAAACTCGACACAACACAGATAATTTAACACAACAAGAAAACTTAAAATACAAAACTTACTTTTAAACTGCACGGAAGCACTGCTTAATAGAAAGTGCCAAGTAGAAAAATTTTTGTAATAAGGAAAACTAGTTATATATTACTAAGGATGCTATAAATCCGTAATCCGGAAACGGTGTTGTTGCAAACTACTACCCGACAGGGACAGGGAAGAACAGAACAATTAAGCAACCATGAAAACCGCAATTAGACGGTAGGTAACAACATCCTGCCACAAATAAAATCTTATTTGCTTGCATTTGGGCCTTCACCACGTTTTATTTGTGTCAGTTTTCCAGTATCATGTCTTAATTCAGCGGATAATTATCTGAATCAATATCGGCAAGTGGTGCATTAGGCCTATTGGGGATAGCACTGCTAAAACAAAAAAAAAACGCGCCGTGGCAATACCTCATTGGTGGTGCGGAAATTTGCCTGAAATCGATATTTTTATTGTAAAATGTACAATACACCATATTTCCCACCCACTGCAAAACCGAAGAAAAAAAGAACAGAAAACTTTGTGAATCTGTTCCGCTTTTTCACTGTTTGTTTTCTTTGAAACGGTTCTTGCGTCGAAGTGAAATAGCAAAAGCTTATTTACTTAAGTATTTTCCTGCAACGTCCTGTGATGTGAAACATATGGTGTTTCTCATTGTATAAAAATATGTTAGATAATAAGCGACAAAATTTTCTTGTTGAAAATGAAAAATAACACAAGATTATTAATTGTAATAAAGATAAATAATATCAAGAACTTGTATTATATATTAAAAACATTCATTGTAAATAAGTAAATTATGTAAATAAACCATAAAACCATAAAAAATGTTTCTGCGATCTCTATTCAAAATCCCAATTTACCCATAGGAATTAAGGGGCAAAGATGCTTCACTGAATTTATTACCGATTTTTCAAGAAAAGTATGCGATAGCCTATAAGCGTCTAATGGATTAAAACAACAAATAATAATAACAATAATTTGTTTGTTTTATTTGTCCATTATAATATTCCCATTGAGATACTTCTAGAAACTTCAAAATCAAATATTACCAGGTTGACGAGAAATATCCGCAAATTTGTGTTAGGTTCATCTGGCAAAGTTTAAGGTAGGTGTGAATGGAATAATGCGATTAAGTATTCTGACCGTTTTAAGGAGTGCTCGTCCAATAGTGCGTAAACTAAGAGATTTGGTTAATTTTGATAAATACCTAATGTCTAACGAACTATTACGCATACGTTTGTATGTAGGTACTACCCCATTTACTATATTTCCAGTCTGTACATTTTGGTTTTTATTGTTGGAACATTTTTCGCTTCATTCTTAAGTACAAGCCAGGTAAGAACTGAAGTAGGTAAGAATTATCAATGAGACCGGCGGTCCTTCAGCAGCTCGTAAATGAAGAGATTTGTAATAAAGTTTCCTAGAACAGCCTGTCTCTTCAATGAAAATTTTAGTTTGTTAACATAATTAAGTAGGTAGGTAAAATTTTAAACCGGATCCATATTTTTACTATGAAATGTGGGTACAATATGCTATATTCCTTTCTCGCTGCAAGACAGAACAAATAGATGAATAGTTTTTAAAACTGTTCCATTTTTCCACTGTTTATATTCTTGTGTCGAAGTGAAACACTAAAAAGCCGAAAGTCCGGAGATAAAAGAGTGAGTTTTAAAACACATAAAAACGACTTCTTTTTGGAGAAGCTTATTTACTTAAATATTGTTCTGTAACGTCCCGCGACATGGAATGGAGTTTCTTAATGTACAAAAGTATGTTGGATAATAACCGAAAAATTTTCTTGGTTAAAATTAAAGGAAACACAATTATTATTTGAAATTAAAATAAATAATATCAAGAACTTGTGCTATGTATGAAAAATATTCATTTTAAATAAGTAAACTATGTCAATAAACCATAAAACCACAACAATCTTTTTTTTGCAGAAATTATATTTCAATAAATTTTCAGTAGCGAGTTATCGATATACTTAATTGCATTTACAATATAAAATGTGAAAGAAAATGTCTTATTTTTTAGTTTATGCGGCATATGTTACCCGTTTTTTAAGACATATATGAATGGATATGTTTTGTCTTTAGTATATATCTGTCCGTCTCTAGACTAATAAATTTTAGTTTAAACATTTGATGCTGATTTGCACGAATAAACAAATTAAAACATTAGCCAAACAGCGGTTGCTAACGATGTCAGAAAAAGTGACTTGATTTGAACTTTTTCCAAAATAGTAATTATTTTATCGAACAAAAAAAATATGTTGACAGTATGAAATAAAATCCATAACGACATACCTCCGATAACTCTTTTCGCAGAACTCGTTTCGAAATTAAAAACTCGGCTCCCTACGGTCGCCTCGTCCTGAAACATCTCACTCTTTCTATAAAATTTGAGTTACCGGACCGTATTTATAATAATGTTAGCACTAACAAGTATTTAAAATAACAAGTACTTAATAATTTGTTTGTTTTATTTATTTTTATTCATTATAATAATCCCATTTCTTTATCAGAAACTTTTAAACGAAATAAATCCTACTTGGCTAGAAATAACGGCAAATTTGTGTTAGGCTCATCTGGCAACGTTGCAAATTATTTAAATCCTAACTATGAGATTTTTACACATTTTTTCGTCGCCCTCTATCGAGTGGTAGATTTATTAAATATATTATTAGTGTGATTTGTGTTACCTATGCGCGTGATTGGTGTCCAAGCTTTTCGCCGGCGTTTGACGGCCGACCGTTGGTGCGCCATCTCTTGTTCGCCGGCCGTTGGCCTGTTCGCTCCAAACAATAGCATGGGTCTATCTATATGTATTTAATCAATGCATAGTCACACTGGCGATTCAAATTATGATTACTAGTCAAGATTAACTGCGCGCGCATTTTTTCTATAAATGTGGCTTCCCAGCTGGTCACTGACTGGATTTGCTTCACACAATATAAGCAAATTTAATATTGACAAGTATAAATTGACAGGTCATATTTTAACTGTGTGGACACTACAACCTTTAAATGTACTTAATTTTGGTTCATAAATGTTTTGTACATCTAGTGGCCCGTGAATTTTAGAACTGCTGCAGATTTGCCGCTTCTCAGTCATAGTAGACATTTTTAGTTTTAATCAATGTCATTTATTAGAGTAATTACGACATTTGAACTGATTATAGTTACACACACGCTACGAAAGAGGCGGAACAAACTCGGATATACATACAACCAAAACAGCGTGTCACAGCAAATTTTGTTTTTTTTAATACGCACGCCCCTCAACTGAATTATTTAACAAAATCAAAAATTTTTCACATTCCAAATGGTTTCCTTGACCTTGAAATGTAAATCAGCTCAGGAGGGTTGTAAAACATTTTTGGCGTGCTAGTTATCGTCTAAATGCGTGTTTTGCAACCTACTATAAATTTTAACCCACTAAAATTCAATTTCGGATTTGGTTCGATGTTTTTGGAATGGTTAATATCTGCTACATCATTTTTAAAACGGGACTTTTCACCGCAAATGAGAAAATAAGAAACATCAAACTCACCTCTGACAGACATCCTCTAAAATTATCCAGATGACCAAAAAATATTTCTGAGAAATTTCCATGTCCACCAATAAAAAGACCATAATGAATATTTAATTCAAAAAATTGTCCAGGAAGTTGTTTTCTATAAACACTTGATACAAATTGCACTTTATTTATCTTTTGGCACTTACTGTACAACTTGTCCTTTGTCAATCTGCATTGACAAATTAGCTTCCCTTCTTGAAATAGAAACTTCATGCCACTTAAAATCATTCAGCTTTAAATTATGCTGTGATAAGAGTTCAGACTCCCCAGCCCCTAAATTAATATTAATTTTAATTCTTCCATTTTCCAAACGAACAATGCAATAATCAGTGGTGCCTGCCACTAAGAGAATCAAAGCATTTGGTAAAAGAGTTCGAAATTGAAAATGTATATCTGTTGAGCTTTTTGCTTCTTGAAAAGGTAATGATATATAACTGCTACCGTAAAAAGATGCTAAAAAATAACAAGGGGTCATCATCCATACACAAAAATAAACATCTCACTTATATACCTTGATCTATGCATATACTTAAATGGAACAATAAACTTGGCAGCAACCATAACACAAACAACTTACACTCCATGACAATTTCTTTTGTTTATGTCATATTATTATTTATTTTAGCAACACAACGCGTCAAAAAAAAATCAAACATACGAACTCTCTTTTGACAGCACATCCCCACATTTTCGATACTTCATTTTTCATCGCAGACATGTCAATCCAATGACAGTAGTTGCGTTCCATGGCGGCAGAGGGCGAAATAATACAATTAAAAAAAAAAAAAACGTTTTACTGGTTGCATACCTAAAATTAAATTCGACTTTAAATGTATAGGATGTTTCAGTTCATCATTTTAAATCAATGTATTAAATCAGAAAGAGAAATAACACTCCAGTATATGGTAACATTATATTTATATTGGTTTATACAGTCACTTTAAAAATATAGTAAGTTAGTTTCTAACAATATTCAGAGTATGACTGGCATTGAGTTACAGTCTGGAAGGCCCTGTTAAAAGCATTATTCACGTACATCATAATATAAATTCGTATTTATTTGTCCTATATTAATTAAGTTTCGTGTTTATTGAAATATAGCAGATTAACTCTCAAAAATACCCACTTTTCTAAGTAATCTCACAATATGAAAGGCCATCATGTACGTTCGTTATTTTGACACACATTGTATAAATATAAATATATAACAAATAGAAAATATTGTGCTTAACAAACTTGAATAGAAGTACACAGTAAAACATGAAACTCGGGGACGAGTTCGTGGGTCACGTGTCACAAGAACGGCTTCTTATTGGTCCACGAACTCAAGCCCGCGATTCTAAAATCACGTAAATGCAAAAACCTACAGCATTCCTGGAGAATCCCCTTCTTTGTTCCTAGATTTTTCAAAGAACATTGCATCCTGAAATAAATCATTTCGTAAATACAGGTACACCCAACTTGTGAAAACATACAATTAAGAAGCAAGCTCCCAACATCACGGCTTTCATCCTCACGTCCAAATCCATCGGGAAAGTAATCCCGAAGTAGTCGGTATCAGTGAACATTTCTCGGATCAATCCAGACCACTGTTTTGAGATTTTCCCAACTTGAGTGTTCCCGTCAGCTGACATTATTTTAAATTCGACGTCGCCGCAGATGCTGAAAGTACAAAAGGGGCCTTCTATTCTTAATACGGTTTCACCGCTTGGGTTTTTGATGGCAAAGGTAGGGCAGAAAATGCTCCATTCTTGTTCAACTGATCCTACGATAGTGCCGGGGGGTGACGACACTTCGATGCTCTGAAATGAGACGATTTACGAATGACTCATTTTGATGGTCATACTATTTGGAATTTGGTAAAGTACCTGTAAACAACACGGAAAACAGCATGAATCACACGCTAATGGACGATGAAGATGGATTACTTCGTTCTTATAATTATCTAAAATATTCATGTCGAAAGGTCGGATGGGCCCACAACAATTTCGAGTTAAACAATCAGAGTCTTCCACGGCATAATATACTTTTTGGCCTAGGCTATTTTTCACAGTAAATTTATTTTTGGTTTCGAATCCGGTAAGAGCTAAAAACATTTATGATTGGTGGAATTATAAAACGTCTACTGTATGAAATATACCTTCTAATAACTCAACTTTTTGGTGGACTAGCAATTGATCAATCATAGTAAGGTATTCCAATCCTGGTGGGCAGTTGACTTGTCCTTGCGGCATATTCATCCAACCACCTATTTGTAAAAGAAAATGTAATTCTCGATTTGTTAACGCCCGTTATAACCTTGACTTAGCGTGATTATGTAGATGTTCCAAAGTTTACAAAAGTGTGTCAAATTATCAAAAATTTACATTAACATCTCATATTTTGGGACTTTGACAGTGAAATATTGACATATTTCCGTTTTCTGGTATGCATATACCAACATTAATTTACAGTGTCAATATTGACAGCCGACTTAACGGTTTCATTCATAGAATGTGGTTATTGCTAATTTCATATTTAACAAGTAACTGACGTACTTACTATAATCCATCTTGTTTTAGAGAGAATTTAGACACGTTTGGAACAAAGTCAGTGTTAATGAAGGGACTGATAATGGGTATAACTATGTCACAGTACTTGCATAATTTTGTAAACAAACGAAATTGTTTGATAAGAGTGTTCATAGTTTAATAAAGTTTAGTAAAGTTTTGCAAACACAATAACATCAACGTAAACAAGTGTGCAGTGATACTTGCCTCTGTTCGCTCTCTGAGAGAAATCTATGGTAACCCTTATTTTTTGGAGATTTTTTTATTTTAAAGAATTTCCCAAACTTTTTATACAAAACTCGCGGAATTGCTTTAAATTTTAAATGTGTTCTTAGTTCAGGCATGGTTAAAACTGACCCATTATTGTTCCTTATTTTTATCTGTTCAGTGAAGACAAACAAACACTTTTTATCATAATCAACACAGATCATTCACTTCATATTTGTAGTCTTTGGATCTATTTTCACTTATCACTGTTTGTTGTTAACGATATGCAGCGTGCATTTATTTTATGTAGAACAACTGAAACACTACTTTGGTTTTAATATAGTTACTTAATGTTGTGTCCTTTCTAACAGTTTTATTATCTTATCATAATCATTACTAAACAATATACTTATGGTATTACTACATACAAGCTTAATCTTGTTTTTTTTATGGTTTGCTTACCTGGAGCACCACCAGGCTGATTTATAATAGGTTGAGGAGGCCCATATGGCCCAGGAGGTGGATATTGCCCTGGTGGTGGATACTGTCCACCTGGAGGTGGATACTGTCCTGGAGGAGGGTATTGTCCAGGAGGGGGTTGAGGATACCCTTGGGGTGGAGGACCGTAACCTGGGGGTGGTCCATATCCTGGAGGAGGTGGTGTACCGTAACCCTGTCCTGGAGGAGCAGGGGGATATTGACCTACAAGTCATTAAGCACTTGTGCAACACATTAAATATAGTTCTTACCATTGTAAGCTGCAGGATAACCAGGTTGTTGACCACCAGGAGGAGGATAGGACATCTTCAACAAACAGCATACATTTATTAAAATATTATGCAAAAACAACACATTCAGAGATATTGATCTGCACTCTAAACCGTGATATCATCATTTCAGCATACCATCTATATTTATCCTATCTTTTTTTTTGTCATTTCTAAATGGGTGCAGTTGTTACGTCACTCTTATTCGCAAAAGTTAACACACTTTTTTGTAATACATACATTTTAGAATGATCCTAACAGGAGGAGAAGCAAAAACTGATATTTTTGTTTGTATTCAATTTAGAAAATCCTGTCTAGAAGTATGAGTCACTGGGCTATTGGGTCACCATTGGTACGACCATGGCCTTACTCGTACCTGCAAGTTATCTGACAGCCCATGGTATGTAACCACAGTGGATGATTATAAAAAAAAAGTATGAATAATCGTGAGCAAATACTACATACGTGATAAAATTCGGTAATACACTATTCTACGATTATAGATGGCGCGGCTAAAAACCCGGGAATTGCAAGCGGTGGAAGTAATTCTTATTTTTATTTGGCAAACACAAACAAGAAATAAAATGATGCTTTAAGTTTATTGTGACATAGTGTAGTATCTAACGACGGAAACTGATTATGATTAGATACATAAAAAAGCTATTCATTGGTATTACTACGCAAATTTATAGCTTATTTAGCAACAGATGTGAATACGAGCCATGTATAACACATAAAAACGTGGTCAGTAGTTATGGTTATTTAACAGGGTTATATGGTTTTACTTTTATTTTTATGTCTCGGTGTCAGTAATGAGACGCAGTATTACTGCGTGCGTGATGTATGTATATTTCTGTCCGCTCGTAGCCTGTGTCTCAACCACTAAATAGGAGGTGCCTGCTTTTAGTTACAACTTTGACGAAAAGATGGAGATGTGGTTGTCGCATATGGAAATATTTGACAATTGTTTTTGACGCAAGCGCAAGAAGGCTAGTGTTTTGTGTCCCCTCTCTGTGGAAGTCATTCCTCGTGGCTTTACGTCTAGCACAGAAACACTGCGAGATGAACAGTTCACTAAGATGGCGTAGTGTGCTTGACTGTTTTTTGAAATGGATTGCTCTAATCTGATAAACGTGATAATTGTGAACCCAAACAATCCAGTTGTGATTGTGTTGTGTGCTTCGGCATCGTGTTGGAAAAGTAATTAGTACTGAAATCGTAAGAATGCGTGAGTTTAAAGTTGTGGTTCTCGGATCGGGTGGGGTTGGGAAAAGTGCATTGACGGTTCAGTTTGTTTCCGGATGTTTTATGGAAAAATATGACCCAACGATTGAGGATTTCTACCGGAAGGAAATCGAAGTTGATAATTCCCCATGTGTTTTGGAAATCTTGGATACCGCAGGAACCGAACAATTCGCCAGCATGCGCGACCTTTATATCAAGAACGGACAAGGGTTTGTGGTGGTCTACAGCTTGACTAACCACCAGACGTTCCAGGATATCAGGTCCATGAAGGAGCTCATCACCAGGGTGAAGGGCACCGAGCGGGTGCCAATTCTCCTCGTAGCCAACAAAGTGGATCTGGACCATCAGCGGGAGGTCCAAACTAGTGAGGGCAACAGTTTAGCCCAGCAATGGGGTTGCCCCTTCATCGAGGCGAGCGCTAAGAACAAGACCAACGTTAACGAAGTGTTCGCCGAAATCGTTCGCGAAATGAACTTTAGCCCCGAAAAGGAAAAGAAAAGTTACTGTTGTTGTACAGTGCTCTAATAGCGGCCTCATTTCTTTAAATTTATGGGAACAATGTGTTACAACAGGCGACACTCCGCTTGTGTGAACTCTAATAATTACATTATAGCACTGTGGACAATTATAAATTTACATTTATAAATAATGCTCATTTCTAGTATACTTAACGTCATGGATGAATATTGGCTTAGAAATGCACAATATCTATATTTTTATACATTGAACAAAAATCAACGTAAACGATGCATAAATATTTTATTTACGAGTTTTTTAAACCGAATCATATCTACCATAAGATCTACATTTGATAGTGCCTGAAACTAGAAACACAATTGCGAATGTCTTACATGGTTGATGTTTAATGATCGGCCTAATCAAAAATGATTTACTGGGCCTTTATCATGATGCATACTTATCTCATCTTTGATGGTACTGTAATAATTATGAGCTCATATTGTACATACATACTTTAATCTAATATTATTTTATCAAAGATCTGTGTTTGTAACATAAAAACTTTTTTCAATCAAAAGTGATGTGTGCTTGGGGATGAATGCATGTAGAACTAAGTAATATTGTTGCGATAATGAGTGCGATTTGAGAGCCAAATACGATTTGTGATATATACGTATAATAAAAAAAATTAAGTGGACACCTTGTTTTATTTCTGTCACACTCGCAGGTGTCACTAGCTCGCTCTCATCTGAAGTGACGTCGGCACGTGTTGCTCACCTACCACAAAAAATACTTTGTACTAATATGCAACACGCAGTGCGATTTTAGCGTCAGGTTCAAAACAGACTTGTGTAGGTAGCGTTCAACATGCCACACTATTTAATAAGCTGCAAAAGAGACTTGGCTTGACCACCTGTTTCAAACAAGCTTTCTATCGTCAACTGTCTATATTTATTCTAAGCTTCAACACCCCAATCCATTCAAATAAGCAACTACTAAATTTAAACTGATTAGTTTTACTACCAAACTCATTTGAGAATCCCAACTTCTCCGACTAATGCATTTACTATTACCATATCGTCAAGTCGGTTAGCCAGAACTTATTCGCCATTTACGCCCAACCAATACATCTACTACGGAATCTGGGTAAGTATGAATCATCAAAATTAACAAATATGCGAGCAACGTTATTCTAAAATATTCAAAACGAGCTTTTTATCGTAGCGCTAGAACCGAACAAGTGTCAAAGGAACTCTATGCATAAATTAAATTATAACACAACATTAGAGGTGTCGATTGCCTTTTATTAGATCAAAGCCGGTATCAAATTTTCAATGCTCATTCGCGCTAGAAAATCCGATATAGTGTTACATTCTCTCAATTCAATAAGAGCAAACTTTGTTTTTGACACTTGGGAAAAATTGCGAAGCCGACTCGTAATAGGACGGCGAATTGAAAACCTGACTTTGCGTCTGACGAAGAGAAATTATGAATCATGTCAGCGGAAATACTGTTTTTGTGCAGGTGTACTACATACACAAACATGAACTTGATAATTAACTAAGATCTTTTATTGTAAGTAGGTCTAACATGATGTAAAATCTCGGAAAAGGATGCATTGACATATCGGTGGACACTGGAAATTATCGTTCATCTTCGATCAGACATACTTAAGTCACTAAATTACGTTGTATTAGCATATTTAGCTATAAACTGACGTTACGTAAAGTATGTATCACTAACAATCCTCAAATCCTGAGTAAATCTTGAATGATGTGATTTTAAAGGTGAAGCCCACAGTTTACTAGGAAATTAGCCGTAATGAAAGTGGTAGCTAGTTTTCTGAAAAAATATTTTTTCCCCTCTAGCGCTGTAATCACTATCACTGCACGAACCTCTAATAAAATACTGTGTTGATTCTAGTGACAGCGTCAGTTTGTGTAATTTATATAGCACACTTGTTTATTATGAAACATTATCAAGCTTACAAAACAATAACGATGTAATCTTAGACCCCGAACCGTTATTTTATACACCAAAGTTTTGTTGGGAGACACATTTCATTTTACGCTTTTAGGGATGGAATCGGATCGACTTTTCCATCTTATTTATTCAACACTTCAAAGATTAAGTATTCGATTAAATATTTAGATTCATCTCACAATGACTCAATCGTCGATGGAATTTTCAAATGAACGGATTCACGAGAAATTGTTGAAATTTCTCTTCATAAAAACATTAACGATTCCGATAAAGTCTGAATAGTAATTTTAAAATGTCGGCAATAGTTTCGAGTTCTGTGAATTCTCAAGTACGAACATTATCTAATCAGTTTATAATCTAACAACGAGTTCTTCCGATAAAACGCTTATAATATTTTCGTTTAAATATGCAGTCATAATTTTGGAGAACTATTTCAGCTGTTGTAATAACCCATTAGTCCTTGTAATATTACAGTTGTTTAGTAGTGGTTCATAAAACTGTCGTTACACTCAATCAAATCTAGAGATTATTTGTTTACCCGTCGTTTCTAAATACCTAAAGTACCGGGAGATCGAGTCTGCGTAAAAATTGAGAGTTGAATTTTTATACAATAGGAGCGGATGTCTTCCTCTACACCCGAAGTAAAATTGGCTTGGAAGTATAACTTGCAAGTTTTACGCACATCAATACTTCTTGGCACCTGTCCATTTAGATGTTTATCTGCAACCCTGGTAACGAGATTCCTAAATGTTCCATGGTTTCAGAGATTGAGACGTGTATTTTGCAGTAGATTTTAACCACTTAGGAATTGGATTGCGGTCTGAAGACTAGTAGCAAAAGTCATTTAAAATTCTCATTTCCTTAGGAGGTTCAATTCAGGGGTAGAGAAATCCACTGAGCCGTTCCGGTGTTTTCTTACATTTACATCTGCCTTGTTTTTCCTACGCGCAAGGATGCTAGTGACAAACTGTTATCAAACAGAAGTTAATGCCACAAATTTAGTACCCTTGCGTTGTATCAAACTTATCTTCCTTCCATGCTGTTATTTTTAAACTTTGTTAAATAGGAAGTTGTGTGGTTCTTGTGGCGGTACTTTCGGATTGTTTAATTGTTGTCTTATCGTTGGGCATTTTTACCATCGATGTGGTTTAGGGACGGACACACGGACATTTTTTCTCAGCGTTCTTGCGTCCTTTGTTCGACGTTATCGTGACAGTGCATATCTAAGTGAGTTGATGTTTACGACAAAATATTTTAACTTCACTAGAGGGGTTGAATTGGTTAGCAGGAACTCATTTAGGGTATAGTTTGATAAATTTAGTGTATAAACTACTGACATTTTTCAATGTCTGGATATGTACCTGGTACTATAGAACTAATTTCAGAAAAAGTTTGCTGCCGCAAAGATGATTTTATACACAAATGACTTTCTAATAACTTTTATCATGGGAAATCTTTTCTTACTTTTGTTGGTAGGGTGAAGGTCATTTTCCATAAAATGAATAGTATAGTAGGTATATAACAAAGAAACAGTGAAAATAAAAGCTACAAAAGCGTTCGACTTTTCCTAAAATATAAGCTTTAAGAATAATTGTGTTTTATTACAAAAGAAGGAATAATGTAGGTCGTGGTACCGCTAAACAAATGTATATCTCGACGAACCCAACGTAAATTTCGGTTTTTTCTAACTTATGAAATCCCTCCTGATCGAGATTGAAGTCGGCGCAGTTCCTCTCTAAAATCTTCATTTGTTCGTTTGTGATTACATTATTCCATTTTAGCAATTCCGTCTTAAGAAAGAAAAATCAATTTTTAGCGTATATTGTGGAGAGAAGATAGAATTTCACCCTAAATATTTACAGAACTTCAAATCAATACTTCAGCAACGTGCGTCAGTTACCAACTGATAGGACTTCCGAGGATTTCTCATATTAGTAATTGACATGGAAGTGATGAATGGTAACAAAAATATGTTTTGTTTATACTTTTTATACAAAAACAAAATCCCTGTCAAGATTTAAGCGTTACAATATTTACAACGTTGAATTAATAATGTACTTTTTGCTGTAATCGTTCATTGAGGTAATCTGTTCGTTCAATCAAATACACGATTAATTTTTTAGAACCCCCTAAATGATTTAAGAGACAAAAACAGCAAACAAAGCGTTCGAGTGAAAATTACTGCTCGAAAAACTGTTTACTTACGTTATTATATCCACACGTAACGGAGAAATATAAAATATTGCTTTGATAAAAATTTTATTTACATAAAAACTTAAGCAAAGTTTACCCGAAATACAGTTCTGAATTTAATATCGAGGAAAGCTACGTTGACATTTCAATCAACGGTGTATTTTTTGTTCAGATTTTTGAACGTAAAGTACGGTCGAGGTGAATTGGTTTTTCCCGGAAACGACAAATAGAGATGTAAACTTTAAAATAATACTCGCAAAAAGCTTTTTAATTGAATTACGCAGCTATTTGATTCTTCCTTCACTTTGATCCATGAAAACAGATTAAAAAGTCGTCAGTTCTAACTTTGTTGACTGTTAAAACTCGTTCGATATTGATAATTTAGTTATTTTCCAAGATAATTACGTTACTTGACTTGGTAATACAATTATGGACGTATTGGGAGGAGTCAGTACTTCAAAACCATTATCATAATGCTTCCATCGAAGCAATATTCCGGGAGATATTAACTTTCATTTGCAGTTATAATGAGTGAACTTTAGAATAGGGATAACATGATCAGTTTTGGCTTAACCCGAATAAATTGATAAACAGTTAAAAAGTGCTTTTCAGAGATGAAGTTCGAACGGGTTATTTATCGGTTTTTAGTTTGCTGAAACTTTCTACATACATATGCATTTATCTCACAAAATGTTATATTCTTTGGATAGCTTGGAGATGAATCACGGGTTTTATTTCTTATTTTATTCAGTTAAAAGTGTAATAAATAATCCTTTACTATCTTCACCATTACGCTCTTTTTTCCAAACCTTTTAGTGCCCATATGTCATGCGTAATGTTACGCCAGAAATCCACAATCTGTAACTGAAAACAGGTGAGTATCAAGAAACGGGACATTCATAATCAAATTAAAATAATAATAACAAAGATGTAAAGAAAACAATGTCAATGCTTATTTCATTTAAAAGTTTACCCAGCAAATTTTCAATCTAGCAATTTATTTCCTAGCTTTCGGTCTTCGCTGAGATTTTACGCCGCAGTAAAATTTCCTATTATTCTAAAAACGTAGTACAATATGTGAGACCGGCAAACTTTACCAAATTTCACTTTGTCGATAATCGTTGAAGATCTCTTAAAGCGTAGGAGATGAAATAAAAACCAACAAACATAAATCGTACTTGGAATATATACTGTATCTATAAACGATTGTCAGATCAAAGCAAACTAATTAAGCTGTCAAAGTGACGTCACACGTCAGTTCGAAAGTGAGCGGCAAATTTGGACAAATTTAAATTTCAGTCAATTACTTGAAGTGACATTCAGTTAGAGATTTGAAGTTTTCCAGTGGAGACAGGGAAATAATATTAATACGAATACTTTAATGCCTTCTCCCGTCTATGCAACGGTGTGTAATATAAAAACCTAAAACTACCAATATGACAAGTTCTTGTCATAACCTTCGATACGTGTGACGTCATCCTATGGACGATATAGTTGTGTAGACTGCGGCGAGTCCACTTT